TCTTAGGTCACACGGCCCTTAGGTCACACGAGAGTTATCGGAGTAGGTATTTGGCACTGCATTGGTCGACTGTCCAGCCTTGGTTGCGGTCGCTTGCGGATTGGGCAATGGCAATTTGGCATTGAAGTGTTGATGCCTTCAAGCGTTCAGTGCCGGTAGCTATATGGTGCTTCCATGGCATTCAAGGCGCCTCTGCAAGTCCTTATCGCGCTCGGGGAATAGCTGTATTGCTGTCGCATGTTAGCATTTGACAGTTTGTGAACCTGGATAATTGTCTGATGGACACTTCTGTCTGAATAGAGGTTGCTTTATCAAACAGTCAGCTTGAAACGTTGACAGAATCATAGACAGACTTATACGTCTTCAGCAAGCTGGTGATTGGCTCAGTACCCTAGCTATATGGAAGTGGTCCCAGTGCAGTTGCTCGTATGAGTTGCCACAATCATATTGTTGCGCCGAGCGACTGATACTATCCGGTGAAGGCCCAGGTTTGCGCTGTTCACTTTCTATCTGGGGTCCCACCCCCGGCAAAAGGTGAACAAGCTGTGTGTGAGAAGCTATGGGGAGGGGATGTCAATTCTGAGCGAGATGGACAACAAACAGAGGCAACCGAAAGAACCACCTGTTTCGGACGGCAATCCCCAGGAGTTGTGGCAGACCCTTCAGGTCAGTCCTCAATCAAGGTTCCTCTTCTTATGCCCTTCAGTTCGAATAGCACCTTCAGTATCTGCTGCCGCAGGTTTTGGGGGGGAACAATGGCTGCAATACTTGGCCTTCCATTCTATCTTGAGGCCTGTCCTGATTTGAAAGCATTTTAGGATGCTGGTGGCAAGCATTAGCAATCGAACCAGACCTGAGAGACTTGAGTTAGCACTAAAGACATGTTACGTCTTTTTCTGCGAGTATATGCTAGTGCCGCTGGGGAAGAATGATCAGTGGCTCCTTGTGAATCTGCTGTCCTAACCCTCTGCTAGGATCCCTTTCTTTCAGACGTCTCCATTCATGTTTGCTGGTCCGCACCTGATTACAATTTTTGCCTTACTGCAGCACTTGAAGGCGCAGTACACTGAAAGGCTCAATGATGTCAAACGGACAACCATCTCTGAGCTTGCAAAGCTCTCTAATCAGGGAAGGCCCCAGCTTCAAGCAGAATTGAAAAAGTGGAAGGGCTTTGCTGAAGAAGCTCTGACCATACTTCAGGCCCCCGACCCAAAGACTGCTGCGCTTTTGAGGCAATCACGCTTCCCAAAGGGCTCGGCTTATTTGGAAAAGCAATTGGAGAAGCCTCTCACTACCTGGGAGAACAGAAAGCGAACATGGGCGAGTTGGCAACAGGCGGTGAGTCCACAGCTCAACTTCAAGACACAGATGGCTGATGGTGTTGACATGCATGTTCTTCAGGAAATAAAGAAGCCTGGAATTCCAAGTGCAGAATTGAAAAGCCCTGTCACAATGACAAGGCGTGTCTAGGGATACCCGACTTGGCGACACAGGGGTTCAATTTTGACGGGCCCCTAGAGTCAACGGATCGGAACCTCTTATACACAAGCTCTTGTCTTTACGCCTCACATGGCAAGCAAAAGCTTTTGGTGGGAAACCGGCATTTTCCTTTTCACGTCCAGGGGCGACAGGGAACAACACCTAGCCAGACCCAAACACCTTCGGACGGACAAGCGGTTGCAACAAATGGGTTGCCAAGGCAGCAGCCAGAGCAGCACACACAGCGCCGGCCGCAGCAGGGGGGATCAGGGGAGCGGCCACCAAACGTTCTTTCAGTGAGTTCTCGTCATCTCAGGTTACTCGCTTGTCGCACATGGTTGTCTAGCCCCGTGCTTATGTCTGTAATTATTGACTTTTAAAGGTGAAAGGTTGATCCTAATTTGGCTATGTTATCCAGGAGATGTGAGCGGTTCTTTTCCTTGCTCCATTTTGACTTTCTTTCGTTTTTGGCAACCTCTCTGACGAGGTCAATACCACCGTTTCAAGTCTCTTGCCTGCTCACCATTCTGCAAACTCCTCTGATTCACGTTCTACTCCTTTGCTCACCACCCGACATGCTTCCCGCCCAACACCTCCCGAAAGATCAACTTCCGCATTCTTTCAGGCCCGACCAGTTCCCCAGCCGCAAGCTGTCCCTCCTCAGGCGCAGAAGGCGGCTTCAAAAGACCACTTACTACTCAGCGAGCAAAGGCGGTTGCACTTACAAGCTCTGAATAAGCAGGCCCCAGTGACGGCGCAACCGGCCCCCCCAAAGCAGGCGCAGCAGACTGCCCTGCAGCAGAGACAGCCGCTACAAGGCCCCGCGGTGGGGGCCAAGGGGCCGCAGCAGTCGACCTTGGACGTAAGAATTTGTCAATATTGAGTCTCTTTATGATTGCGTGTCCCAATTCTCTGGCAACGTTTGATTGCGGCTGCCATTGTGGAGTCAATTGGCGCAGGTTCCAGAGGGATAATTTTTGGAACTTTTCGTACCAGTTCTGCTGGTTTCCTGGCTCTCTTTCCTTCGTTTCTTCATCGTTAGTCAACCGGTTGCCCAAGCGCAACTCACTGCAACAGTTTTGTTTCTAACGCTCTTGCATAACACTCTCCAGAGTCATTGAATGGACACTAGATCAATGCCTGCTCACACTTTTCTGACATCCAGAGAAGCGTGTGTCATTTCGCAAAAGTGGAAGACGCGCTTCTCCCATATTCGAGTACATGGAACAATAAATGCGTGATCAGGCCTGCTTTCCTTTTGAATATTTCGATGCTTCCTTTCATCCCTCACTTGGTCCAGGGTCAAAGAACAGAGACGAATAAGGGCAGAATCGTCTCACAAAAACTATGTATTGCTGACGTCATCGTCTACCTTTCCCTGCAGAGAGTTATGCACGCTTTTGCGGTCAGAGCGAGCTTGAGCGTTGCGGAATTCACTGAGAGGGTGCGATCGAACCCTGCACTCAAGGAAAGGGTTAAGCTTGAGGTCAAGAAGCTCCAGCAACGCATCGCGCAGGGTGCAAGCGTAAGATCCTCAGCCTGGTTGACCTATTCCTTGAACCTTTTTTCCGGCGCGGATCCTGGTAGGATGGCAAGGATGACAAACAAAATCTGTTCACCTTCGCTAGATTCCAAGCACGTTATTACTTTGCGAATTTCGACCTTTTGTACGCCTTCCAAGCTTTCGTTGCTTCTCCGCCAGTATGTGAATCAGGTTCCATAGTGAGCACTGAGTTGCTGTTGCGCAATCATAACTTCCCTATACAAGGGTTGTGGGATATCAAAGTATACTCGAGGCACGGTAAGTAAAATTTAGATAATTCCGTACCGTGGACGACTGTATGAATGGTGTAAAACGTATGAAACTTATAACAAATCAGTCTCATCATTGACGATATTGTTCATTTCCTTTGAGACTTTTGATATCACTATGACGGATAGCTTCCCTTACTGAAACGCCCCTATTCTTATCCAGGCACAGGGCACTGCTGCGGCGACCGCTCCAAACTCCAAGGCGCCCCCCAATATCCCCTCGCTTCCAAACGTCATCCCTCCAGCGACTTCGCCAGCAACGCAGGCGCCTCCAGCAACAAGCCCCCGGTCGGCGCTACCCGTCCCGCCACCTTCGCAGATTCAGCCTCTTCCACCGCTCCCACCGCAAGTTGTCAAACATTTGCAAGGTGGGTTCTTGTTTTCTTGTCGCTTGCAAGTGACCGTTTGTCGAATTCAATATGAATATACGAGGGTTCATGTTTAACGGAGGTGGTTGGCAGACACCAGGGAAGAAGCTCGTGGCAGCTTACTAAAGAGCATCTCGTCGCCCAGCTTACTAAAGTGTGTCACCTTTCTGCTGTGCGTTCCTAGCGACTGTTATCTGTCTCGATTCCTCTCTGTCCCAACCCTTGGCTAATCAGCCGCTTGTCGATCAATGCATCTCAAGGAGAGAGATTCCTGATCAACCTTGTCAGCTGAGATACTGATGGAGGGACAAGTAGCTCCGCAAGTGTTCTCAGGCATATTTTCGAAGTCAATGAAGCGACCCGTGAATCTAATGATCAAACGCTCTGCTTTTGTAATTTCAGGTTGGGATTGAACCCAATCTTCGCAAGACTAAAAGAATCGTAAGTTGCCTTTCACCAACTCCAGATAATCGTAACGTCCCACTTGCTTTGTTTCTCCGCAGGACTGAGCTTGGAACAACTGCAAACCTGCATGGCAAGGTTGAGAGAGAGGCTAGCCGACGAAGAAGAACTTCAAGAAGGAGCTCCGATTGCTTCGATCTTGGGGAGGCTCAGTCGGATCCGCCTCTTACGTCAGCAGATTGCTTTTTGTCAGCAGCGCGCAGAAAAGCTCGCGGGCCGCGATGCGGCTGTGCCGACGCCCGGTGCAAAGGGGGCCGGGGTGAGTCCCTCCAACGTGAACGCGGCCACAAGAGGTGTGAACGGGGTCGGGAGGGGTGTCAACGGGTCAGTAAGAGGTCTGAATGGGTCCGGAACAGGTGCGCCTACGGCCGGACAGGGTGCGAACGGAACCGGCAGAGGCGTGACTGGGGCCGGAAGAGCTGTACACGGGGTCGGAAGGGCTGTGAATGCGGCCGGAAGAGGTGCGAATGAGGGCGGAAGCGGTGTGAGAGAAGCTAGTGCTCCTTTACCCGGGGTTAGCGCTGACGGGGTTGGTGTAAACAGGGCAACTGGTGGAGGGTTCGCTGATGGGGACGGTGTGAGATGGGGCAGTGTGAATGGGCAAGGCGGAGAAAAGACCCTCGCAATGAGGATGAGTGAAATCGGGCGGGGTGTTAATGGCGACAAGGCTCCTGATGCTGGAGCGCGTGAGTCTGGCGCTGGTCGGGGCAATGTGAACTGGAGCCGTGTGAATGGGGCCAATGTGAACAGGGGCGGTGTGAACGGTGCAAGTGGGGCGAAGCCCGCTAACCTCGGTGCGAACGGGGCAAGCCCGGAGGGTGCTACCGCACACGGTGTGAACGGGACCAGCCAAGGTCCGGCTGCCATGAAAACTGGCGTTGACACTGGCCGGGCGGTGATTCCTAGCGCGAACGGAGGCATTGCGAACGGGGCTACTGCGACTGGAAGCGGTGTGAATAGAGAAGGAGGGGTAAGGGCGGTCACGCCAGGCAGTGTGAACAGGCCCTGCCAGGGGGCATCTACACCCGGACCTATCCAAATCATGCCGCCAATTCTACCGAATTCGGGGAGCCGACGAGCGCCAACAAAAGCTGGGGGGCCCGCAGGCACGCCAAATGTTACCCCCACGAATGCGGCCGCGCAAGCATCGGCGCAACCGTGTGCGCGCACGCTTCCGAAATCTGTCAAAGTCTTCCGCACAGTGACGATAAACGGGGAGGAAAAACGGGTGGAGACGGATCCCCAGCAGATTGCGTTGCTCTACCGGAGGTTGGCGGAGAGGCGTGCGGCCGGGGGGGCTCAGAGATTGGCTCGGGACAGGGCCCCGGGGACAGGGCAGCAGGTCGATGGGGCGGAGGGTTCGCCTCGGGAAGGGGAACCGGGGCCAGCGCAGCGCGTTGGGGGAGACGGGGAAGCACCGGTTGAGCGGAACAACAAGCGAAAGTTGTCAAGGACCGAGATGGAAGTCAGGGCCCCCGAAGGGAGAGGGGGGGAGAGGTCGGGACAACCGGGGCAAAGGGGAGGTGCATCTGGCCTGCCGTTGCTGCCCCGGTTGGACGAGGGTGGCCCTCCGGAAAAGAAGCTGAAGGCGCAGATCGAGGAGCTGAGCGCGAGGCTGGGGGATGCGGACGCGTACGCTGATGGCCCCCCAAAGATGGGAGAAACGGTTGGTGTTAGCTGGAGGATCTTTAAATCGATGTCAAAGACTTGTAGAGTTTGCCGTTGAGGGATGCGCTACCTTTTACGTGCTCTGTGATTGTGTGAAACGTCTGCCCGGAGAGAGAGGCATCGGTTTGATGGTTGTGGACGGGTTGCGGCAGCTCTCCTGGCGCGGTTGCTGCTTTCGTTTCTCTTGGTGACGTCCAGCTGTTTGCTTCGGATTTGCCACCCTCTTCCGGATGTCTTGGACCTTCACCACCTGATTGGAGTCGGTTGGATCTCTTGATATTGTTGACTGTACGGTCCAGGTCGCATATTCGATAAGAGACTGGTTGTCAACGGTGGCAGGTTCGGCGCAAAAGGCTGTAACTAAGCTGGCGGAGAGAAAAGGAAGTAGCTCAGAAAAGGGGATTCCGCAGAGCTTAGATTCTTTTGTTAAAAGCGTTCATTCTAACCCAATCGACCCCACAGAGCAATTTGTGCCTCTCTATTTTGTGTCTCCGCTGTTCGTATGTTGCCGTGCAAGCTCTGGTGGAAGCACGCCCGATCCCTTTCAGAACTTCGCGGTCGTCGACATCACGCTTTGCTTGTGTGAGGGCTTTCCGCCTCCCTTGAAGCGAACCTTTCTCCTTCGACGCTCAAACTGGACGAACCCTTTTAAACCCTTCCTTTCTCTCTGGTGCAGCAAAAAGCAGTCCCAGAGTCAGCGTCCGCAGCCGGCGTGGGGCCCGAGGAAGGAACGTCACAGCGTAAACAGGACTGGCCGCCGAAGGTATGCATGTGTTGTCAAACATCATCTTTTTCAGTAACTCGACCAGAATTAGTCTTGCAAGACGGAGTCGACCAACCTTTGGCTTAATCCGATTGCAGCTCTTAAAGAAGGCATCATCTTTTCTCGTAGGTCAAAAGAACCAGTGATGACGGTTGGTTGCAGCGTACCGAACTAGGTATGCTGGCTTGCTGGTTGACAAGCGCTCCTGAAAAGGTGGCCCGTGCATGCGAGCTGATTCACACTATGCTGAAGATTTTGAGCCGGCAGCACATCGCCGATGCATGACCCTGTGTATGTTCGAGATTCCCAACCGCTCCTCTCCATTCTCGCAGGCCGATGCGGATCTCAACGTATGTGCAATTTGCGAGGAAGAATGGGACAACGAGCGCCGCAGAACTGTCATCATCCCTGGGCTGAACTACAAGTGCGGGCATGCGCTCTATTGCAACAAGTGTTTAGAGGATTTTTTTGAAAGGATGAGCGAAAAGGCAAAGACTGGGGCTTTTCATTATGAATGTCCCAGCAAGTGTAATCTAGGTCCGGATATGCCAAGGTTGATGCCCGTATTCATCGGTTGCTAAGAAGAATAAGAGTTTAGTGATCTGCTTAACCGGCAACTTGCTTTGCTCTTAATAAGGTGATCGATGAAAATGTACACTTTCATTCTCAATACGAGATGGCCAAAGCATTGGCGCTTGCTGGAGTAAAAGGTTTGCAGGTAGGTTGGCTTCTGCCTCTGCGTTTGAAAGTACTGCAGGGGGATACAGGTACATATCATGCAACGGAGGTGCGCGTGCGGCGTCCTCCTGTGCTCATTGTCATATGGTGGCATATGCAATTGCACGGTTGAAGCCTACCTATATGACTTTTCTACTTTTGAACAACAATTGAAACATGCAATCAAATGTCCGACATGCTCATGGACATATTTAATTCAATCTGCGGACAATTGTGCATCAAATGCGAAGCTCGTGCATGTGAGTTGGAAATGTCATGTGTGTCTTTAATAGCCAGCGCCTTTATCGGGTCTCTACGCAGTGCTTGAAAGCGGCCCGCACACAATTACTATAGGTGCAGTTATATATACTTAACTTTAATTAAAAGGCCGAAGCTATAATTAAGTGCACTGTTTGATACGTCATGATAAAGGTATAAGATAGGGATCGAGCTCTGCACGTCACGCGCCGCGAATTAACCAATTGCCAGCGCTTTCATGCCTAGGATTGAGCATGCACCGTCATATTAGATTGATGGTTTTAGGGTTTTCAGTTCATCAGTTGTGCTACTGTATGAGAAATTAGGGTCTCTCAGCTGAGCTAAGACTGGTGTCAGAATTAGACACATCACCTTGGCACTGAGCTCGCACTGCAGCTTCAGTAGGACTACTCATGCCAATGGCGATGCACACATGGTGGCAGAAGGGAAGTGCACCGCCCTCAAGACTTTTTGCTCCCTGCCACATGCAGTGTAGCTGTTTCAAACAAGGAAAGATGCGTGTGCTTTGCTGATTGGGAAGTGGCGTCGGCGGGGAGCGCGCCATGGACAAGGAGCAGCGCAATGTGGAGCAGAAGAGAAAGATAAGGAGGGAGGCAATCTGGAAGAAGATTCATACCACAGTGCACAAGAGACTTGTCAGTGATCGAATGAACTCGTGGTATTTTGCGGAGCCGGTTGATCCGGAGGCGTTGAACATTCCCACCTACTTTGATGTTATCAAGCAGCCAATGGACCTTGGCACCGTTGGGCGGAACTTGAAGACTAGACAATACACAGGTTTTGAGCAGTACGCCTCAGCGGTGCGACTGACTTTTTGCAATGCCATGACATTCATTGGTCCCACGAACAATGTGTACAAAGCGGGTGCATGTCTTCTTAGAGATTTTGATGAGGGACTGTGGCCAAGGGTCCAAGAGGACATCAGCGCTGAAAAGGCACTGACAGAAACTGAGGATAGGAAAGCCGAGGAGGCCGGGAAGCAGGCAACGTCGATGAGGGCAGGCAAGGTTGATAGAGGTAAGCGCTAGAAATCCCAGCATCGGTGGAAGCGTTGAGAGGCCGCTAGAATGAAGTGGTGACTCTGGCCAGACCTCGTGAAGGAACTTTCACTAGAATGTGCTGATTGCGAGCATCTGGCCCCTGTCCAGTAATTGCGAAACAGGAAGAGCTTGCCGGTCAAATCGGCCAAGGGGGTCACCAGGATTCCCACAGAGACTATCTCTGACGAAAGTAAATTTCATGACACACCACCAATTTTGGATTCGCCGCTCTCGATGGGAAACTTGTGACTATAAGGTGGTAACCCTGAGGTACCATGCTTGTACCAAGGATGTTACTTGAGCTGGTCTCAGATGCTTCATCATGACAAACAAGTGGATGTGCTTGGGTCATAGTTAGTGGCCAACTGCAAGGATCTTTCACAGTTAGTTTGGAGACCCTGAATCCTGTTGCAATTTGCTCGCTTCATCTGCTCAACTATTCTTCCTCATTCGCAGGGGCCAAATCGCGCGCAGAGTCTGCTTCGCCCAAGTTGCTGGATGTGGATGTTGAGCCCCAGGAGTTGTGGCAGGACCTTCAGGTCAGAACTTGGCTCACGGCACATTCTGAACCAGTCACACTTCGACGCATCTGGACTTCCATGTTTACCTGATATGATGAGCAAGCTGTATTTTGGTAGATTGAATAACCTGATTCTCAGCTTGCTTGATCAGGTTCAGTCTACTGGACTGGTGCAGCAAAGTGGGGGAAGGTGGTTTTGATGGGAAAGATCTGGTAATGAGGAGCCATTTTTTTTGGCTTCATCCAGTGTTATGGACGACCCTGCAGGGATCCATGACCTTGCTGAACCCGTTTCATCTCATGTCTGCAGCGTCTGAAATCTCTATACCTGGATCAATTGACCAAGCTTGGGGGCCATGTTTCCTCTGAGCTGACAAGAATTGAAGAACAAGAGCTGTCGGGGCCTCGAGGTTACTTGAAGGAATGCCGTAGCTTCGCGGCCACAGCAAGGACCGTTTTACAAGCACCAGACGCCTACACCGCTCTTGTGCTGAAGGAGTGCGTCTTCCCAAACGGCTTGGCGTTCTTTGAGCAGAGAGTGGCTGGATTTCTCTTGGCCTGGGAAAAGAGTGCCAAATCCACAGAGGTCTTGAAACAGAAGGTGAGAATCATCTAAGATCGGTCCACAGATGCCATTGAAAATCCAACAGACCTCTTAATGTTTTTGACGCAAATCCTCTCATTACGGAAAGTCTGAACTTGGTCAGAGTTTGGCTTTGTTGGAGGTCTGTGATTGGATGGAAGATCAAGACTCTTTTCTTGGTTCAAGTGAGGCAAAATCTGCTGTTGCCAGAGGGATTTGGGAGACAACGAGGTTACGATTCAAGAGCCCCTCCTGTAGAACAATTGATATTTCTGCAATCGCCTTGGAATGGCCTTGAATCATGTTGCAAGAAAGTAGGGAGCCGCACTTCTGAGTCACATGCCCGTATGTGATTCTTTGTCCATCTCCAGACTCTTTGCAAAGGAAAATCTATTTCTGTCGTTCAAGATAGTTTATGCAATATCTTTTCTTCTTCAGACAAAGCGCAAATTTGAAAGCAACCTAGTAGAAAAGTGGGACTCTTTTTTGGACCGACGCAGCATTCCAGGACTTCAGATTTTTTCGTCTTGCGTTTCAACCCCCAATGCTAACGTTGTTGTTCTTTTTGACAGTCTACCGCAGCTGCAGCTTCGCCGAGCTCCCTGTCTTCTCAGCCGAGCCCGTCGACCACTCCCTCAGCCGCCCTGATGCCTCCGCCCGCAAATCCCCTGCCAATTCCGCAGCTCCCTCCACTTCCGCCGCAAGTGGTTTCGCTTATACAAGGCGAGTGCGCGCACACAGTCTTTCGTTCGTGCGAAAAGAGGAGACCTGCTCGTGGCTTGAAGCGTTGAGCACTTGAAGACGCGTCCGCAAACCTATGGAATCTGTTTCTCGGGAATTACAGTATGAACGTACCGGACTTGTGGGACTCCGTTTTTCCAGCTTCAAGCAAAGTTTATCCATGCTCTGAGCTCAACGACGCAGGCAGATTCCTCTCTCCTCGATCGAACACTCGTGATCAGTGATCCGAAAAATGATACCAGAAGTAGTTTCTTACATCAGGGAGCCCGACTTCGGCCGACTTGCCCGTCTTGATTTTCGACTCGCTTTCAGTGTTCTGAAGCGCTCCGTTTGCGTTCAGGTCTCGGTTCTCAGCAATTGCACACTCACATAACGAAGCTGAAGGAGAGGTTGGAGCATGAGGAGCGTTGTCAGGGAAGCAAAGCAGTCGGAAGCAACGAAGACAAACTTTGGCGCATGGGCCTTCTTCGCCAGCAGATTGACTTCTGTCGGCAGCGTGCAAACGAGCTTTCGGATGGGGCGGGCGACAACCGAAGCCCACCTGCTGGTGTGCGGAAGCTTGCTGTCGACAGAGGTGATGTCAGCGGCGTTGCTCCGCCTCAGTCCGGGGGAGTCCCACGAAGTGAACGAAGGGTGCTCGAGCGAAGTAACAAACGGAAGTTGCCATTTAGTGGTCCAGAAGAGGAAGGGGAAGTAGTGGCTTTCACGGCAGGCGGCACGGGCGCCTCTGGGGGCGACGCCGCTGTCGCCCCATTGATCGAAAGGGTTCCCCCGGAGAAGAAAACGGAAACTTCGGACGAAGAGTTTCGTGCCATGCTGGGGACCTTATTAATTCAAGCTGGCGAACTTCAGAAGGCGGCCGCACAGGTAAGCATCTGTTAGCCCAGCGGGTCAGGCGATGGAACGATTTGAATATCAGGACCACTGAAACAGCAGCTTTTACCTTGGCAACTTTTGTTGCAGAACCGGTTGGTTTGATTGCTTACGGTCTGAAAGAGTGCTCAGCGGTTGTGCGCTATTAGGCTACATGAAACCTCAAGGGTTTTAAACAGCGAGGTGATGGCTGGAACAGTCAACATTGAGGTCGCTTCGTTTGCATCCATTTGACAGGCGTCTGAATTGGAATCTGCTTCTAAACCAACGCAGCAATACAGGGCTTCAGATGTTTTGTCCTGTTTTGCAACCTTCAGTGCTAACGCTATCGCTGTTGTTTCTCTTCCAGTCTACCGCAGCCGCAGCTTCGCCGAGTTCCCTGTCGTCTCAGCCGAGCCCGTCGACCCCTCCCTCAGCAGCTCTCGTGCCTCTGCCAGCAAAACCCCTGCCAACCCCGCAGCTTCAACCTCTCCCTCCACTTCCGCCGCAAGTGGTTTCGCATGTACAAGGCGAGTGGGCTCACTTAGTCTTCCAACACAATTCAGGATCCTGTATGTTAGAAAAGACGAGATCTGCAAATGGCTTGAAGCGTTGAGCATGTGAAGATGTGTCCGCAAAGTTACGGATTCTGTTTCTCTCGGGAATTGCAGGAATGAACGTACCGGATCTGTGGGACTCCGTTTCTAGCTTCAAGCAAAGTTCAGTATGCTCTGAGCTCAACGTCACAGACAGGTTTCTCTCCCTTCGATCGACCGCTCATGATCAGCTGCTTGGGAAAATCATACCAAAAAATTCATGGCAGTTTCTTGGAGGTACAAGTATTGGGGATCTCGAATCTGGCCATGCAATTCTTGATTTTCGACTCGCTTTCAGTTTCTGCAGCGCTCCGTTTGACGTGCAGGTCTAGGTGCTCAGCAATTGCACACTCACGTAACGAAGCTAGAGGAGAGGTTAGAACATGAGGGACGTCCCCAGGGAAGCAAAGCAGCCGGAACCAATGTGGACAAAGTCAGGCGCATGAGTCTTCTTCGCCAGCAGATTGATTACTGTCGGCAGCGTGCAAACGAGCTCGCGGAGGGGGCGGACGACACCCCGAGCCCGACTGCTGCGGTGCGGAAGCTTGCTGTCGACAGAGGTGATGTCAGCGGCGTTGCTCCGCCTCAGTCCGGGGGAGTCCCACGAAGCCTAAGGGGGGTGCTCGAGCGAAGTAACAAACGGAAGTTGCTGTTCAGTGGTCCAGAAGAGGAAGGGGAAGTGGTGGCTTCTACGGCAGGCGGCACGGGCGCCTCTGGGGGCGACGCTGCTGTTGCCCCATCGATCGAAAAGTTTCTCCCGGAAACGAAGAGCTGGTCGGACGAAGACTTTCGTGCCATCCTGGGGACCTTGTTAGCTCAAGCCGACGAACTCCAAAAGATGGCCACACAGGTAAGCATTTGTCAGCCTAGCGGCGAAAGCGACGGGACGGGTTGAATAGGACCTCTGATACAGCAGCTCTTGCCTTGGCAAGTTTTGTCGGAGGAGCGATTGGCTTGATCGCTTACATTTTGAAAAGTATGTTTAGCGGTAGTTGGCTGTGCGGCCATTCGACACTGCTAAGCTTCAGAACGGCGAGCTAATCGTCAACGATGAGGTCCCTTCTTTCGTGTGAATCTCTCTGTTGACGGGCATCCAAGGATATAAGAGGGCGCTGTTCCTGCTGACGTCCAACTCACTGGGCACCTTCGAAAGGTTGCTTTCGGGCTGGCTGAAAGCTTGGCGCACTCTCTTTAAAACAGGCGCACTCCTTATCCTCATGTTAGCTATCTCTAATTGAAGGTGCGAATATTTGCGTTTGTTTTGGTGCAGACAAGCAGCGTTCAGAAAACGGCGCCCATCAGCTCGGCAGAGATCAGCGAGCGGAGGCTCGAGACTCGGCAGCCCAAGAAGGACTCGACCCCCGAGGTATGTTTGCCGTTCCACTCTCAGCGTCTAAGGTTTCCAGCCAGGGAGGTTTGCATGACGGGTCGGGCTTGTGGGCCGTTGTATCTTTTGAGTGCCGTTGTTGGGGATCAATGGTGCCTTGTCGATGATGGGTTGGAAGTGCCTTGGTCTTACTGGACACACTTGTTTCGCTGATTGTAATGTCAAGCTGCTAAAAGCAGAGCAACGGCCTGGCCTCCTGCCAGACGCCTCGAAGAGAGCAAAGAGTCGCCGAATCTTACCCCGTCCTTTGTCACCCGGAAAAAGTCTGTAAGGAGCCTACATTTGCAGAGCCGACGTTTTCGACCTCGATTAGATTTGTTTCTTCTTTCCCTTTCGTTCTAAACTGTGTCCTGATTTGCACCTTTCGCTACCATGCGCTCGCTTTTTGCATGGCAGAATCCAATTGGCTCTTCCCAACTACCTAATACTTGAGCTGACTGCGAAATCTTTGCTCCCGCAGCTCTCAAGCACGCCGCTTGCCAGCTTCAGCCAGCGAGCGCCTGGGTTGGGACTCGCCCAATCAAAGCCAGTCGCCGGAGCGGGAGGCAGTGACGTCATCGCAGAGCCGAGAAATCCGCAGAAGAGCAGCAGCGTCAGAAAGGCGAGCGCGGCGACCTTGCCTGCGGTAGCGGAGTGGTGCTACGAGGGGCGCAACAAGAAGATGAGCGGGCCGTACCCGCTGGATTTGCTGATGATCGGGCTGGATGGCGGCAAGCTGAAGCCGCACCTGCAAGTGTATAAGAAGAAGAGGGGCGGCTTCTGGCCTCCCGTCAGGCTGCAGGACCTACTGGACGGGACAGTCGACTTGGAAGCCATGGAGGAGCACAAGGGAAAAGGAGAGGCGGAAGCGGGCGGGGGGGATCCCCCTCCTCACGGCGGCCGCTCGCTTGCCTTGGCAGGGGTTGATGCAAGCGGTCTAACTGGGAGCGTTCGGACGGGTCTAAACCGGGTCGGGAACGGGGTTGGGAACGGGGTGGAGGGAGCAGCTGCAAACGGCGTCGAACAGACATTCGGTCGTAGTAAGCACAAAGTGAGGATTTATTTGCCGGGGCCTAGCAAGGAGGTAGGTTCCGATGCAGCTGGATTCGGTGCGAACGGCGTCGGAGGTGTGAGTTCCGTCGGACTCCGTGTGAATGGGCCCAGCGGCACCTTGACGGACGGAACCAGGGCCACCCGGGAGCCAAATGCGGGGAGTGATGCAATGGAAGACAACGGGCCAACCAACACAGCTTTGGAAGAAGTTGGTGCGATGAGGGGAATCAGCAAGGCCAGCAGTCTTAACGGCAAGGGGGACCCCAGTATCTCCACAGCGGATAGAAATGCCCCTTGCAGAGTCCGCTAAGAAGCGTTTGAAGGAAGCATCGCGTGTTACGGAGTCTCTTCTGGAAGGGTCCAATGTGCACGGGGGTGATGCGGAACGCAGCCCTGGGAATGGGGCCGAGCCAGGAGAAAACTTCTTCGGCGTTTCTGGGAACAGGGCCAGCACAGCTGCGGCGGCTGGAGAGGACGTGACTGAGGCCAGCCGAACTCGGGCACAGGGAACTGGTTCCAAACTCGAAGGGAGTGCACAGGAAGGTGCGGTCGGCGGTGCGGACACGGCGTTGAGCGTGCAGGCAACAAACGAGGCCGCAGGGGGGCTGATTGAGTGGAGAGTGAAGCGGAAGCTTCGGGCGAGGGGTTTGAGTGCAGCTGGATGGCAAATCGGGAAAGCACTGTGGGAATCGTAGGAAGCGGAACGCGTACCCGGGGCCCCTTCTATGGCTGGGGTGGGCGAGTATGCCCCCCCCGAAAAGAAGCAGAAGATTAAGGTTGTGGTGATATCCCGCTTACCTCTGGTGAGACGCTTTACTTGAGCGCCTTTGCATTACGATATGATAGGTGGCTGTTGCTCTGATGTCTATCTTCAGATTGGAGGCTCACAGTCTTCCGACCTTTGAGAGTCGCATCGCTTGTCTGAATGTTTCAGTCTTGCAGTTCGAGATTCAGGACCCTAAACTCCAAATGCGTGCATGGTCTGAAGTAAGATCCGGGGCTTCGTTGGAGGTCGGAACTAAGTCTAAATGTGAAAAGCTGCGCACATGTTGAAAACGAAGCGAGGGCCCTTGTCACTTCTCGTGAACCCGCTAGCTCTGCGTAAGGTGTTGACGTGGGCGCTCTCTCTTGCTTTTCCAACGTCCGGCGGATTCTGACAGCACCAGCGGCTGGGAAGCGGGGACAACCGTAGGGTAATCTGCATAGTTTTGCAAGACTTTGTTTGTGGAGAGTTGCGTCCATGATAGCAAAGAGGAGAGCGGGGTTTTTCTAGAGCCGTGATGTCATTTGGTACAGGAAAAGGAGCCGGAGCTTGCTGACGGTGCCGTACAAAACACGGAGAATCTGAAACTCACGAAGCACAAGCACAATCCAACGCAATAGGTGTGTGTCCTCTCTGCAATCTCCACTTACGGCGAGTTAGAAAGTGTCACGTTTGCCATATGATCTGGTGGCTTATGATTCTTGTGACAAAGGTTTACCCGAGAGGAGGCTATATTGAGAAGAACCGCAGCTTCCCTGGCCTAGTGCTTTGGAAATCTTCATGTGCTGCCATTCTGCGCCACCCTTCCTCAAAACTGCTCGAAACTCAAGTATGCCATAATGGTCTGTGAGCCATCAGATGCAAGCCTCCGCAGCTCACCTGCTGGTCTTCTTGCAAGGGAGTCAGGATTCTGGTAGCTCTTCGTGTCCAGATAACCAGAAGACAGCCTTCCTCCTTTCCCTTAGCTATTCATTTGGAATTACCGGAAGACAGCCTTCGTCCTGCCCCTGATGCGGAAGGGAGCATGGGGATGTGCTCCAATGTTCTCTGGCGAGCTTGGTTCCATCAGATGCTGTAGTTCTCAAGGGGGGAGAAAAGCACAAGAAGAAAGACGACTCGATCGAAGACAGTTCATATTCTTGCAGGCCACGAACTCGAATGTATGTGCCATCTGCGAAGAGGAGTGGGACAATGCGCGTCGGAGGACGGTAATCGTCCCTAGCCGAAAGTACGAATGCGGGCATGCTTTGTATTGCAACCAGTGTCTGGAGAACTTCTTTGAAAGAATGCGCAAAGTGAAAGCAGGCACGTCCACCTATGAGTGCCCAAGTAAGTGTAATCTAGGTCCGAAGATGCCAAGGTTGATGCCTGTATTTATTGGTTCCAAGCATATGAGAAACATCCAATTGTAGACTGGATGACTTGAGCAAGTGTAGTCAAAGACGCTGTGAGCAGTCACTTCGAGCAGGTATCCATAAAATGCTTTCGATTGAAAATAATGAAACGACCAGAGCCTTTAATTATCCGTCCAAGTTTCGTTTGGTGGTGCACTGAGCTTTAATGTAATCACAGCTTAATCCAGCTCCAACCCTTAAATCATGCTATGATTCGCTTGCGCGGCAGATGCATGCCGACCTCTGACTTTTGATGTACCCCTTTGCGCTCGGTCTCATCATGACGACGAACTTGCATTCTAGATTGCTCATGGAATTTTCCGCACACGCGTACTAAAGTACTCGATCGGTGTATAAACGCGTGACAAAATCGATGAATTGCACCGAATGCGGCTGCATTTTTGAGCGCGAAGTGACGCTTGAGCGCGAGCTCTCAGTATATGGAGGCCTACTTAGAAGGGGCCAGATGGCCCGAGTCAAGCACCGAATTCTCGTACCGATAATAAGTTCGTATGTAATCAGTGACATCAAATCGAAAATTGACATTGGACTTGACCATCATTCATCCACGGCCTCATTTAACGAGGTACGTACCGCATCGCAAGATGGCCACCAGACTCCAGCCGTTGCAAGCGTTCCGGTGCATGATGATCGACGCTGGCGGCTACAGCGACCGGCAGTTAGTTGCATCCGGCAAGAATTCAGATGGTATGCATACCGTCCGACAAATGTTCATTCTCGTAAAGTCAAATATGAAATAGCCGACTTAATGGTGTGCAAAAAGTACGCATATCCAATCACGATGTGGGCATTGTTGGGAGGCATATGAGCTTTTTGGGGGCTTTTGAACGGGCAATCTATGAATGTGCACGCTTGGCTCATGTCAATTAGATTGGGAGGGGTGGTGCACCGTCCGCCAGATTGAAGTTCATCAGATGCTGCCTGGTTTCCGGGATGGGTATCCTAGCTCGAAGTAAGCGGGATGGATGTTTTGATCAAGTCTACTCGAGTGGACTCTGGATAGGCATCGGGCCATACTGTTGGTGTTGGCGGATAGAAAACGTTTGCTTCGTGTTCATTAACCTACTCATCTTTGTTTACCGAGGAGCGCCGAGCTAGTGAATAGAAGAATCTCAACCAAGATCGACGTAACGTTTAGGACAACCCGGAGTAGTCGAAGACACACAGCATTTTAGCAATGTAAGAGATGCTGAAAGAACTTATTGTTTTTACAACCATCTTCTTAGCACGTTCTTGAGCAATAACCTGACAGTTTCGCGTTTGACATAGCCTCCAGTAGAACGTGGTTCAAAAATCTCTACGTGCACAGAGAATCCATGCAGAACGCTGGTGGCAGGAACTTTTGTGCCAGCTCTTAGATACTTCATGAGACTCTGCTCCCCATCGTTACACTCCAAGTCCATTGAAGCGTTGAAGAACTTGTAGTCCTCGCCGTCCACATCTCTTATTGCTCTGGCAGCCGTCAGATGATACCTTGAAGGTCCATGAAGGGGTGTGTGGGTCCCAGCTCCGGGGACTACCCGGTCCAGCAGAACCTGCACTTTCCCGTCCGTTTTGCGCATCAGCTTCCACGAGAAAGAGATGACGTCTTGCTTGCGCAACACTTGTGCTGGATCACCGTGCGTTTCAGGCCTGGGCCAATAAGGCCCTTCGTATTCAGCCATTCTCTGTAGAATAGTTGAATATACTCTTCCTTGACGCACAGATTCGTGCGCCCCTCTCAGAACTGCCGCGCACTCCTGCTCGAAATCTTGGCAGTTGGGGTCTCTGCAGCCTCGCAGCTCTCGTCCAAGCTCGCTGCTCTCGGCTGAACAAAACAAGATTCCTTCATCGTTCAAATACGCGTCGACCAGCATGACGAAGTCAAAGAGAGCTCGCCATTGATTTGGCATTCGCAGCTTGGCTTCAGCCTTGCACACCGCTTCATAGAGAGTCTTTGAAAGAGACGCTTGTAGCCGCAAGGGTGCCCTGCGCCACAGTGCGCTTCAACAAGCTCCTTTGCAAGGGGTGTCGTCAACGAAGGGCTATCTAGTTCGCACCAAGTCTTCCAGCGGAGACTCCTATCTACCAAGTTCCTCAGGGTTGTTGACAGAACGGCAAGCTTGCAAGCATCTTCCGGTGTCAAAAACCCTAGCAGGTAGTCAAAGAGAGATTCGTCTAGGTCCTCGATGAGCTTTGCTACACTAAAACAGAACGAAGCCCTTTCTGCCAACCTGTGTGACGTTTGTGAGCGTAAGCAATCAATGTCTGCAATGTCGACCGCCTGCAGGGGAGGAATGGGGACGATCTGCACCCGCTTCCCCGCCTTTTGAGCTGCTAATCGCCGACCAAGAGGCGCGCATGCGCGGCCGCCTGGCTGTCAGATAAAACCCTCAGCCTCAGCCTCCGCGCGCGGCCTGACATCCGCAATGTTCGAAAGCCTGCATGTTGTCCATTCCCGCTGATAGACATCCGGACCTTGCTCCTCCTCCACCTTTGATCATGATGCGGACCGGATATGGAAACCCGCCATGTCTGCATGGCATGGATTTGTAATGCACTCTCATGCTTAGCTTCCTGTCCGGCCACTTGCTTAAGGCCGCGACGGATGTCAAGAATTCATGCTGTTTTACGTTGTGCCCTGCACTGTGAACCATTTTGATGCATAATAAGTGAGGGTGCGTCGCGTCGAGGCTTTTGAGCTCTCCAGGTGCAGTAGTCTGGGTGCGTTCTTGAATATTGAAATAACTTTTGCACGACTGCCCGTATGAGGCTTTCAAACGACTAGACTGGCCGATTGGAGAATGGAACGGTTGATCCTCAGGCCTAGACTAGAAAGCTGATCCAGGCTTGGACCCTAAATCAACTTGAAGCTTCGATTTGCCGCGGCACTAAAACCTGACCATTCCAGTGTTTTGACCATTCTGATGGGGTTGACATTGGCCTCGCCTTGTATTTGGTATCAGCACTAGGCGGCTTGACAGCAATCTTCAGTTGCAAGTTTGAATTCTTCTTACATGAGGACCACAGAACTTCTCTACATAAGACCCTTCAACATGGTCGACGAAGCGCTCGGTGTCTCTCTTTTGTGCTCCTAGGCAGCTTCAAGTCGCAGGACTGAGACTCCGAGTCCTCAACTTCCTGGATGGACCGAGACAGGTTGGACAACCTCCTGCAAGTGCCTGGCTTTAGGGCACCTTGAAAAATGGACTGTGAGGCAAGCTGCATTTATGAGTCTCTTATAACCACCTTCTGAGCACGTTCTTGAGCAGCACCCTGCTGACGTTGTCTCGTCCAACAAAGCAGCTAAATTTCCAATCCAGATCAGAGAGTCCTGCGTACACAGACACTCTTTGTAGCACGCTGCTTGCAGGAACCTTTAAGTCACTTGCACTGTTCACAAATTCGTGGCATCCAATCTCCGCTTCGGTACACACCAAGTACATCAGTGCGTGAAAGGAGACGAAATTTTCGCCCTCCCCATCCCTGATGATTTCGGAAGCTCCCAGCGGATCCGCCGCTAGTGGATCGGGAGGAAGGTTAGAAGGGTAGACATCCACTAGATCCTTTCTGATCTCAGAAAGGGCCCGGTCTAGCAGACTGTAATCTCCCGTCCGTCTTGCGCATCAGCTTCCACGAGAAAGTGATGACGTTTCTCTTGCGCACCGCTTGTGCTGGACTCACCACCATCTTGAGCCCTTGTGTGAACGCAGATTGCAGGGGCCGGTCTTGTTCAGCCATTTCTTCTTGTATGATTGAACAAATTTCACCTCGACGCACAAACTTGTGCGCCACTTTCAGAACTGCCCCGCACGCCTGCTTGAAGTCCTGGCAGTTCGGGTCTATGCAGCCTCGCAGCTCTTGTCCAAGCTCGCTGCTCTCAGCCGAACAGAACAAAATTCCCTCATCGTCCAAATAGACGTCGACCATCATGACGAAGTCAAAGAGGGCCTCGCCGTTGATCATCTGGCATTCGCAGCTTGGCTTCAGCCTTGCACACCGTTTGATTGACAGCCTTTGAAACAGACGCTTGTAGCCACAAGGGTGCCCTGCGCCATAGTGCGCTTCAACAAGCTCCTTTGCAAGGGGTGTCGTCAACGAAGGGCTATCCTGCTCGCACCAAGTCTTCCAGCGGAGACTCCTATCTACCAAGTTCCTCAGGGTTGTTGACAAAATGGCAAGCTTGCAGGCATCTTCCGGAGGAATGAAGCCTAGCATGTAGTCGAAGAGAGCATCGTCCAGATCTTCCATGGTCTTTGCTGCAAAGTGCTTACGAAGTATTTTGCGAACCTGCTTCTTCAAGCCTGAGGCTGGAGCGGGTGTTTTAATCTTCTGCGGCACGGCAGCTCTCGTACGTCGGCTGGCAGCCCGCGGGCCAGAGGGTTTACATGATGGCTAGGCGGCCGCGCGTGCGCATCCCGGGTACCGCGTGCCTAAAGAATTGGATGGGAGTGATCTTGACACCGGGTGCTCTTGCGAGAGCGATTTCAAAAGTCTGTCTCCTGGCAGCCAGATACGAATTTCTCGCATCCATAAAGGTCAACTCGTAACACATAGCAAGATGCGAGCTGTGCGCCAAAGAAGCGCTAGCAAGCATCTGCGATCATGATGTGGACCAATAGCAACCAGCAATGTCTGCATGGCATGATTATGTCATACAAGCAAATGCTTAGCTTCATGCCACCCGGTCATATGCTCAAGCTGGCCGCAATGGAAGGTTAATGATTCATGGACTGCCAATATTGGTGTCCTGTACTTCACGTCATCATCCTGAGGTTGATACATGATGAGGGTGATCAAAGGCGGTTGGATAGCCTTTTCGCACGATCTCCCCCGTTGAGGGGAAGGAGCGTTTGTTTGAAATACATCCCAAGGAATCTAAGCTGGACTCCAGGGTTACAATCTAGCTCCAGATTCAACCGCGTGCAGGATGAGGCGTCGTGACATGGACCGAAGATAGGCCTCACCGGATTATTGGTGTGGGGGCAATAACCAAAATCTTGCCTTTATACCAACCTCAACCTCCTCTCTTTTGGAAAGCAGCACAATTCTATGTAGACCCCTTTACCATATCGAAAGAGCGCTCAGTATTCTGATCGATGAATCTTGAAGTCGTCAGAGGACCGAACAATTTGGTCGGCCGAAAATGAAGTGGATAACGTTCTGCAATTACCTTCAGAAAAGTCACTTTATGGCTGTCAGCGAAGCTGCATGGGTCAGTTGCTCACAACCACCTTCTAAGGACGTTCCGGAGCAATACCTTGGCGGTGTCTCGTTGAACAAAGCAGTTAAATTCGGGACATGGAGTAGAGAGCCCTGCGTGTACATATAACCCCTGCAGCATGCCGCCTGCAGGAATCGCAGAGTCATCTTTCCAATCCTCCTCGACTTGCTGTTCCTCATCAATATATACGCCAGATACATCAGAGCTTCAAAGCACACAAATTTCTCGCCCTCCACATCTCGAAGTGTTTCGCTAGCCGTCAGCAGCGGGATTCTGGAAGGGTAGTAAGTTGGTAAGTCGACGCTGGTCTCGGGGATTGCCCGTTCCAGCAAGGTTTGCATTTTTCCATCCCTCTTGCGCATCAGCTTCAACGAGAAAGAGATGACGTTTCGTTTGCTCCCCGCCATTTCAGGCCTCCTTGTAAAAGGCCAATGCCATCTGTGTTCAGCCAGGATTTGCAGTATGGTCGAACGTACTTCTCCTTGACGCGTGGATGTGTGCGCTCCTTTCAGAACTGCCCCACACTCTTGCTCCAACTTGTAGCAATCAGGCTCTGTGCAGCCTCGCAGCGTCTGTCCACGCTCGCTGCTCTCAGTTGAACAAAATAGGACTCCCTCAGTGTTCAAATATACGTCAACCAGCATGACAAATTCAAAGAGGCCGTCGTCTTTTTTTCGGCATTCACAGCTCGGCTCTAGCTTTGCACACCTTTTGATTGAAAGCCTCTGAAAGAGGTGCTTATAGCCGCCAGATTGTGTACCATAGTGCGCTTCAACAAGCTCCTTTGCAAGGGGTGTTGTCAACGAAGGGCTGTCCTGCTCGCACCAAAGTCTTCCAGCGAGGACTTCTGTCCGAACCCAGTCCCTCAGGGTTCTTGAGAGGACGGCAAGCTTGCAAGCAGCTTCCGGAGGCATGAAGCCTAGCAGGTGGTCGAAGAGAAACTCGCCTAAATCCTCCATGAGGCTCGCTTGTATATTGAATCAGAAGCTCGTTTGTCGACCTGTTGACATCATGGTGTTTGTTCTCAATTCAAGGAGCAAAAGTCTGGTGCGCTCTACGTTGAGAGTACGTTGCAGCATGCAGCTCTAACGGGAGCAATCGCGTACGGCGGCCGGCCGCGCGCGGAGAGGGTTTACGATCCGAGCCGGTTAGGCGGCCGTGCACGCCTGCCTTTCAGGCGGCCGCCAGGCAGTTCGGACCGCCCACGTAAGATCGTACAGGGTGCCGGCGTCTTCCGTTAATTGGCGGCGTCTTGAAGGCAAAGCAGCTGAAAGTTTTAGCATACTGATGCAGGCTTGTTGAGCATTTTGGTGCTGTTATGTGCTAGGCAAGCTGCCCTTAAGGTAGATGAAACCTGCGGGCGGTTCCGCCATGCACACTGAGCGCCTTGCGTTTGTACGGTCAACGCACGCCCCAATGCAACCTAACCGGATAACTCTCACGAAAGATAATAGTAAGCCAAGATAATAGTAAGCTCCGACTAACACTAAAAACCCTAACCTTAAATGAATACCCGCTCCGCACCCGTACCCACCCTAACCGGCCACCATACTAACCCCACCCGTCACAGTGCGGTTACCTTACTATTATCTGGGCTTACTGTAATTTTTCTTGAGTTTCATCCTAACCGGGAACATCCGCGTACGTGCGCACATCGGCATGCGATCGCGTGCAGTGCCGCCGCCGGTGCAGGCTCTCACGTACGATCATTCATGCACACCATGTAAGGCATTACGACATCTTAGCCATCATTGTGTACAGCTGCTATTGAACCGCGCAAATGCAACTGACTCTGGTCATGTCTTTGCATGACTGAAAGGCTCGCGCTCTAGGCTAGGCTCCGGCCCATGAGCTTGTGTTTAACATGATCAACCGAGCTAGGCGCAAGAGAGTCTTCAACTTGGTGACCTGTACGTTGATGTCTTCCAAGCTATATATATCCTCCCGTGCAGCGGACGCGCGCTCACCTTCGACATGTACGTTTCTACTCAAGTCCTCAGGTTGCGATCCACATTTGAGGCCGATACAGCATGCGTGGCAGTGCACAGCGCGGTTGCCATTTCAGGACTTCGTATTGGAAGCACGTCGTGCATCTCTGAAGGCCGGTCATTACAATGACGACGCTAGACGCTCAATTCATAGGGTGGAAAACCGAAGTGATCGCGAATGAGCCAACGCGTTATGAGTCCCTCTTAGCAATGTACACATGTGTTGACAAGTAGAAAACCAGTTCCAAATATTATCTCTTGTGACTCTTCGCTTCCAGATGTTTAATCGGACAAGCTCGCTCGACGCTGTCATTTGCTAGCACCTCTCGAAGATCTTATACAGATTTTCGAGGCTCGCAATCTGCAGTGAAACAAACGCATGTCAGTACCAGTCGTACTTGTGACATCGTAGCGATATGGCAGGATTCCGTCTTTCAATTCTCGACAGTTGCACCGCAATCTTACAACCAATTCTGAACCAGAAGAACCCGAACGCGATTGACAGCACGCAGGATTCATCTTTGACCGCATTCCTCTGGAGCACGGACGCACGTTCAATCAACACTCACGGCTGCATTGCGGAAACGAAAGCTTGCTCTAGAGAGCGACCTTAAGCCCAGTTCGACAAGACACTTGCCTGAACCATGGTCCCGTCAGTCGCCATGAACTTCTGCGGCTTCAGAAACAACCGCATTGCCGGGAACATGAGGTGCTGGACGTTCCAGTCCCGCGCCGCCCACACTGCCTCCGCCGCAGCTTCGTCGTCCCCTTCCGTTTCCGCCCTACACATTTCCGTTCCATTCCGCTCACTTCCGTTCCGCCCTGCGTCTAGTGCCAGCCCCGCTTCCCCGCCCCGCTCGTTGCCGTCCTCCAAGGGTTCCTTCTCAGACACGGACGCCGCGTCGCCCCCCCCTCGCCCAGGCCCAGATTCGACACCCCCGCCGCTCGTTCCTTCGCCGGGGATCCCCTCCCCGCCGTTCCCGGCCGCCTGCCGTGAAGAGGCCCCGTTGCCCCGTCTTTTCTCACCTCCACCACTCTCCTCTCGCTCATCGCCACAATGACAAGGCCCCGCCGCATGCTGGTGCCTTTCATGTCCGCTCATCTCGTCCAAAGCTTCCGGCCCTTCTTCCGGGTTTCCGGCGGTTCCCGGCTCCGCCAGGGGGGGGCTTTCTAGTGAGTCCGCGGCCCCCCGTTCCGACTTCCCGGCTGACTTTGTTCTAAAGGGGTCGGGGCGAGGCACGAGCGGGGGATGGATTGCGTAGAACTCGGCGATAGCTGCGGCTAGGGTTTGAAAGCACTCTTTCTCGGTGTCCCATTCGACCTGTCAAAAAACAAACGCCTTCAACTTGCGTTGATGTTAATGTATCAAACCACTGAACTGTTATGCACTTCCGACGGGAGCATCGCCACCCTTATTTTCCAGAAGCTGCTCGTGTCAGCCGTTTCAAGTACCGCATTCCAGCGCTCGATACATACAAACATCACTTCATAAAGCCCGTACCGAAGCATGGGGCTTAATCGAGTACATGGTTTCATCGTTCGCTTAGTGGATGTGATCCAGCTGTGGCAGACCAAGCGGCTATCTTTCACTCTGTCAAAATGCGCAAAGCTGTGAGACCTTCTCAACGCGAGAACTGCTAGCCTAAACGAGATCAACCGCAAATGTGAGATTGTCGTCTAACGTCGAGAGCGCGACCCTATGTGGACAAGAGCGACACTCACGTCGTTTCCTAGCCGCAGCGCAAATTGCGGGAGTCGGTCCAGGTCGGGGGAATACTGGTCCAGCACGAGCGGGAGGGTGTGCAGTGCGCCGCTGGCGTCAATTTCGATGCGGAAATACTCGCGCAGCATCTCCGCTTTCAGCACTAACAGCTGGCTCAACACCTGCAGAGGAGCCCATTCGTGAATGTACTTGGATCCGGACAAATCAGACTGCGGCACCCCCTACTAAGGTCCTCCGAGCACCGAACGGGCTTCCTTCGTTTGATTCCATTTGACGAGATGATAAACACCCAAAGATGGAACTCAGACACGTAAGAGAGCGGTGAGCAGCTTGAATCCGCATACAAATTTACATTGTGCAGAAAAAGTCGAGCCGCTTAGCGCTCCGCACAAGTGTCGCCATCAAAGCGAAGTCTGTAGATTCAACTACACGGAAGGGTCGCTGTCAAAGGAGGCGGCACACTATCCCATCGGCTTCCCGCGCTTGCAGCCCTGGTTCCACATTCTGCAACTCTCAGGTATTCCAAGACTTGCACCAAAGTCTGCGCTCTGATTTTCATCACATTAGTGTATTTATGCGAAGACAAATTGCGGCATCGCAAAGGTTCCAAACACACCTTGGCAATCTCCTCTTTCGGCCCGTCGTTCGGCTGCCACCGTCCCAAGGCCTCTTCCTCGTCCAGCGCGATCAGCAGCAGCTGATCAAGCGGCGCGGGCGGCGTCAGTCGGATGCAGTTGAACTGGCCGAAGCGGCGCAGGACTTGCTGGTACATCAGCTCTTTGCTGCGCAAGAAAAACTGAGATTATACGTTGGAAGCGACTCTATTCCAGCTGGTGTTCAAGATGAGTTGGAGGGGTTGGTGTTGCAATAACATTGACCAAAGCAGCGCAGAGCTTGTTGGTACATCAGCTCTTTGCTGCCCACAGAAAGCCGGAATTATACGTTGAAAGCAACTCTATTGCAGCTGGTGTTAAAACAAGTTGGAGGGGCGGGCAGTGTCAGCTGGACGCAATTAAACTGGCCGAAGCGGCGCACGACTGGATGATAAATCCGTAACCTGGCGGGCATCGCAAAGCTGTCTATTGCCTCAGCGCCGAATACTGCCCGCAACAAAAGTTTGTCTGGTCTGTTTCTCGGCCAGATCAGCACCCCGCCCAGGTACTCCTTCGAGAAGACTTCCACGTCAAAAGGCAGGGCATTGGGCTGGAATGCCTTAGTGGGCGCCATGGGACTCTGGCGATTCTCACGTTAGACAGAAAACCTCGTCTGCCTTCTCACGAGAAAAGAAGGAACAACTGAGGACGCTTTGACAGGGCGGGTCTCTCTTTCGTCCTATACGATAAACTAGAACACATCCATAAGCTGCCCCTCTCATCCCTTCGCCCCCAAGATGAACGAGCGCAACAGAGACGAAGCACAGGCTGCACACCTGAGCTTGACAGTGTTTGCGAGGAACAGCTTCGTCTTGTGCTGCAGCAGAGCGAAAGTATCGTCCGCCATCCCCACGAACGTGTTGCTGCGGACGATCTCGGAAAGCCCCTGGTGCACTCCGGCGTTGACTTCCTCCAGCAACTCCTGAATGCTCGTCAGCTCGGACGCCTCGGACGCGATCGCAGGGTTGCGCCGCTGCCGGACGGTCCGCCTGAAGTAGCAGCAAAGTGGAAGTGGGTGGGAAGAGGGACTGAGAAAAGAGGATTTGAGCACTTTCTCTAGAAGCAGGAGTAAAGCTTCCAGAGAACGCTCGATCTTGGATGCTCGTCAGCTCGGACGCTTCGGACGCGATTGCAGGGTTGCGCCGCTGGCGGACGGTCCTCCTACAGCTGTTTACTTCCCAGCTTTGGACGACAGGGAAGGATAAGGTAGGATGTCGAAAGGGAAGAGGGGGAATGACGAGTTCCTAAGTGCTCGTCAGCTCGGACGCTTCGGACGCGCTCGCAGGGCTGCGCCGCTGCCGGACGGTCCGCCTGGATTCGAAAAAGAACGTGAGAAAGTAAAGAAGACGGACAGGAAACGAGGAGTTGAGCATTCAGGTACATGTCAAGGTTCCTGGACACTCGTTAGCTTGGACGTCTCGGATGTGCTCGCAGGGTTGCGCCGCTGCGTGACGGTCCGCCTGGAGTGAAAAGATTGACGTCATTTTCCAGTCGACACGGAGAGATGAAAGTAAACAAGAGAGGTACACAAAGAAATCAAAAGGCTTCGTGCATGCTCGTCATTTCGGACGCCGTGAACGGTGGCCCGGTGTGCCGCTGCCTGACTTTGAATGGAAAGTCTGCCGTTCTTTTACCCATTCAAAGCTGGATGCACATAGAATGTAAGGTGGGACAGGGAGAGTAGATTGAGAAAGAAAAAACGAGGCTCCTGGTCGCTCGTCCGCTCAGACGCCTCGAACGCAACGCTCAGAGCGCGCCAATGCCGGACGGTCAGAGCCTGCGTCAATAACTTGACGTTCTATCCTTCTTTCAGGGTTCATGAGGAGGGGAAATGGAAGTACTTAAAAAGTTTGATGTGTTTCGGGTTTATGACTGCTGGCAGCTCAATGCTGCGGAAGCTGGCAAGTTTTGCCATGGCAAGACGGAAAGCTGCAACTGAATACGACACCTTTTCCCTTATTCGAAATCAACGGACAAGAAGACGTGATGGCTTGAAAGGCATATCCTCGATTGACCAGGTCCAGCTCACCCACAAGTCCACCTCGAAAAAAGGGAGCTCAGTAGTGAAAAGTACCTTAGTACAGAAGTAAGCCTGCTTTCAAGGATTCAAAGGGGCGGGTTTGTAAGGGCACTAGCATTCTGCAGCTAGCGCTAACCTCACCTGATGGCCGCCAGATCGTCAGGGCTTTCCCGCGCGCTTGCGAGCCGCTTGGTGACGTAAGCGTCCAGCTGGCCGACCGGCTGGAGGACGTCCGTACGGACCATGTTCCGGGGGTGAGCTTTCTGAGTGGCCGCTGCAACGGACAGTCCGTACATCAGCTCATGATTCAACCATTCGGGTTTCGCCTCGTTGTTGAAAAGCAGATCGTTGAAGGTTTGAGCTCGTCATTGGAGGGCTGGAGGTTGTGTCTAAGGGCGCCTGGGGTGATCACGAACGAGGGACCGTAGGGAGCGTGTCCGAGGAAGCGGTGACCAGTCGCTGATTGGAAGCGAGTCCTTGCTCAAGTCGAAAGAAAGGTCCCACAATAACATTCAAAGATATGAAAGATCAAGATGCATACGGTCTCAAAGTCTGAAACCCTCTCCAGATGCTAGCTACCCCAATGATTGGACCGACGTTGCGCTGTATAAACCTCCAGCGCAACATGCTCCGGTTGCGAAAGCGCTTTCTCCTTAGTCTCCAGACCGGCTGGCTCTAACGCAACCCGGGATGCCATTCTCTACGCTAGGCCAAAGCTCGTACTAGGTCCCAATTTGAGAGGAAGAACAATATCCCTCGTTCCTTGAGCTCTGACTAGAATCATGACATTCTTTACGAGCGCGAGACGTCATACCTACAGCTTGTGATGGCCCTTCGTCAGCGCCGGCGGGACTTTTTGGAGCGGGAGCGGCGACTCCAGGCAGGAGGGACTGCGGAAGACGGAAATGTCAGTCAAGCCACACACGGGAGCTTTCGGCATAACCCTTAAGGCTGGTGTAGTCCGTGACCTCAAAACTGAGACCTTTCGGGCAAATCAGGTGTTGAGATTCCAGAGGATAATCGGTCAGCAGGCCAATTGTTCACGAGAACTTTACTATTCAACGCATCTACGTCACTGACAGGTTAGCGGCTCTCAAGAAACCCGATGACCGTACGTCGAGACTCCTTGGTGCCCTGATTTGCGAAAGGCTACCCTCTGAAAAACTCGACACAATGGAAAGCATGTCATATGGTTACTCCCCAAGCTGCCAGCTCTAAAAGCAGTCTCTATCAAGCACCGCACCCGAGTCGTCCCCCCTTAAAAACACCCGCATCCTGCTCAAAGCAACATTCATCGAAAGCGTCTTTCTTCGCAAAGTGAAAGAATCCAGGCCCAGCGAGAGCGATGCGTGCGTTACCTGCGTGTAGTACGTGCGAGACGTGTTCGACTCGAGCAGCTTCTGCTCGACGGCCTTTTGGATGGCCTCGATCAGCGCTTCCTGGTTCAGAAAACTGACCTGGAAAAAGTACGAAGAGCGAAGATGGTCAGCGGAATAGCCATTCAGGAAAACTTGCCGAGTTAATTAACGCTTCCGGTTACAGGAAAGTGACCTGGGTAAGCACGACGAGCGGCAGTGGCCAGGGAAACAGCATCTTCTTCGGATTCACTCACGGAGTGCATTGAAACCCGACGCATTTAAAACATAGTGTGACGAGCATTGACCTAGAACATTCAAGCACCATCGTGGCAACAAGCGAACCAGATTTAAACGAACGTCTCGGACTGTGAGAGGTCTCGTTGCAAAGACGGTGACCAAATTTTCTAACGGTAGCAGATGTTTCGGCAAGCCTCAAAGTCTTTCGCAGCCTTCAAGGTGCCCACCTCTCGTTTCGTGGGGTGCACATTCACATCGACGTCCTCTGGCGGCAGCGTGATGGACATGTAGAGGAACGGTTTGGAGGCTTTTGGCAGGATCGCTGCGTACACGGCTTCGCACGCCTTCTTCAGGGGGCTGCAGTCCACCAGTCGATCTGCGCAAGTCATGTCAGCATTGCGTCAGCATTTCCATTACCAGGAACGGCTACGCTTCCGGCGAGCTTTCCAGACATCTCAGATTAAGCACTTGCCGAGCAAACTGCCGGTTTCGGAAGACGTGGGAGGCCTGAAGGTTGACAACTAGAGTTGTGAAGCGTGAGACCCTGGAGTGCGCCTAACTTCGACAAACCTCGATAAAATTTGCAAACGTCCCGTATGATTTAGAACCGGCAGCGTGTTCGGAAAGCGCTGTATCAAGACGCGACCGGGGTTGAACTCCGTTTAAAATAGATCAGCCTCTCGAGATCTTCCAAGCGGTTCCGGCATCGTCGTGGAAACGTTGTCTCAGGCAACACAAACGCAACCTGGTCGCGCCCAGGCAGACTCACTGTTGGGCACATCAAAACGGATTGCGGGCTACCATTTGGAGGCCCCTGGTCAGAGAAGCTTGATGATTTGCATATTGCAGGTTGGGTCAAACCTGGCCGCCTGACTCAAGTTCCGATCTGGACCGATCGCTGAACTTTGCCTGATGCGCAGAACTTGGGCCGTTCGACTTGATAGCCTCTGGGTCATCGAAGAGCTCGAAGTCTGAGCATCGGGCAGAGTTTTGTGCGATCGATCCCATCGCACTTGGGTCAGGCGGCCAGGTGTGATAGAATCTGCAGTAGATGCTTGTCGGAGAGAGTATCGAGCTTCTGTTCGCTCGAGAAAAAGCGACCCCTCTGCCCAATTTACGTTTGCCCAACAAGGATACGTGTCAAACGTCGGACGATCGGCCTCACTGTTGATGAAGAGAACCATGATGGTCTTCTTGGCGCTGTAGTTGGCGCTCGAGATACAGCCCCCCATCTTGAATCGCGATCGGGCCGGGTCGTCGTCGGACGTTTCGATGGGGATCAGTTCGCGGGCGACGGACGAGCCATAGACGGAGCGGATGTTTTCAGAGCGGGAGGACGCGGCGAGAGTGTGGATGTCTGCGCGGTTCTCGCCGTGCTGCAGTAAGTAAAGCAGTCGTTGTAAAATTCGAGTTCGAAGCACGCAGACACCGAACGAGTTTGCTCGGTACGTCGGCAGATCGTTTTTTCATTCACTCGAATGATGCAAAGCTGTGCTACTTATACTTGGCTCCTGCAAGCAAAATCTGACGTCTTATGCGGCCAGTCAATTCTCGACTTCCGGATCTGAGTAGTCCTTGTTTCAAACAAAGAAGGACTTCAACATGCGACTCAAAAATCCTCGAGAAACTCTTGAACAATCCATAACAAGCTCCCCGTCTTTGCTTAGAAGAGAAGTTATGAGACGAAGAGCCGGAAAGCCAGGGCGTCTTACCTTCTTGCAGGAGAAGCTGACGCCCTCGTTGTGTACGGCAAAGCGGCTAATCACGTCCAGGATCCGACTGTACTCCTCCCCCACGTTTTTGAAAGCTTTCCGGCGCGCTGTCACGTTGTAGAACAGGTTCTCGACCTGAAAGGAACTTCATTCCTTCAAGCAGGCAAATCATGTCCTATGAGGTGCCCGAATCTGCCTATTCTCAGATTAGCAGCGTTCATTGAAGTGTGGGATGAGTGAAGCCATAGCTCGCTTCCAAAATTGATCAAGACCACTTCATATCAACCTCAAAAACAACGAATTGAAAGGATAAGGAATAAACGACTGTGAAGGCAGCGTCTTTCTCTCGAGATGATCCATCATGGACCGTTCGCTATTCCCCGGTCGGAAGCATACCGTGATTTGTGTTCCCTTGACTGCAGCACAAGCTTTGGGCTCCCCCTCCAGTACCCCGTCCTTATATGTGGCTCTGCAACATCACACAAGCGCTCAGATACTTCCCAGTCGGATCGAAGCTCTTTGTAACAACACAGGAGCCCGTCGGTGAAGTTTGCTTCTTACTTAGCGCCTCGTAAGCATGGACCGGCGTCACATTTGAGATGAGCTGGGCCATCTTGTCGTCAAACATTCCCCACCCAATCGTTAGAAGTCGACTGCCAGGGTACTTCGTCAAGAAGTACTAGCGGATAGTACAAGACAAGCACTTCGTAACAGCTCAGCTTTCATTTGAACTCCAGTACTTACACCATGCTCATGGAGGCCAGACCGGGATCACTAAGAAAGTCTTCGCAAACCCAAACTTTTTGTTGAGCAAATGTCAAGATCATTGCTAGTCACCGAAACTTCTGACGGCACTCACTTGTAACCGTGGGTTTGCCCCGCTGTCATAGTCACAACACTCAGATGTGCGACAAAAGTGATACTCGCCAGCGCCTCTCCTCTAAACCCCAAGGTGCTGATGCTCTGCAAGTCTTCGAACTCCTTCAACTTAGAAGTCGTGTGCCGCTCGCAGAGGATCGGCAGGTCCGCTGGCTGCAATGTAGAGAGGGTATCCTGTTGGTCTTATTAAGCGGCGGCCACTTTGTCTGTGGATTGATTGGAGGCTAAGGCCTTGCTACTCATATCCCATTACTGAGGATATTCTTCTACAATACTCAAATTCCATCTTGGAAATGGCTCTCAAATAGCGCCCATTTTCTGCTGAAAAGATAGTGTGTCCTCGATGTTCCAACAAAAACAAATAAGGCTACCCTTCAGATAGACTTCTGTGAGTTGCCACAAAGAAACTCTCTGTCAATCTTCAAATACGTGAGGGGCACAAAGAAGTCTGTATCAGCTCCTCCTCTCTAAACTCTTCAATATTTCTCCCCCAGGACAGATGGTCCATACCAATTAACAGCAGCTGTAAGGTGAGGAAACACGACGAAACACTGTAGGACCCATGGAGGTCCATCTCAAACTTCACGCACTGATCCCAATGCACTTACTCTGATGCCATGTCCGTTGTCTGTGATCTGTATCATCTTCAGTCCCCCATCCTTGATGACTACATTGATTGCTGCCGCCCCAGCATCGAGGCTGTTCTCTATCAGCTCCTTGAGAGCAGAAGAGGGCCTCTGGATGACCTCCCCTGCTGCAATTCGGTTGACCACCTCCTGATCCAGCCGCCGAATGGGGGCCGGGCCAGTCCTGCCAGCTTGCTGACCTTGAGTTGTGTCCATCTTGCTCCGCTCTACTTCACCAACAAGATCTCTGCTTTCACTATCTGTTCGGATCCTTAATCGGTTCTCATCGTACAGCTTTTGGGGCCTCCAGTGTTGGAGGCTTCTTGCTCAATTGATGTGCTTGATGTCGCTATGTAAGTACGCTAGGCTCACGTGAGGAAAATCCACTGAAAAGAGTTCCTAAAGTTAAGCAAAGCTGCTTGTGCAGCATGTGGTTCGCTAGAAAAAGAGAAGGTTCATGGCTTTCACCACCACCAGCTGGTTGCATGACAGGTTGCAACCTTCTTCTGCATCGCAACGGTCTTTCAAATGCTGCAAGGTCTGAGATACTATCGCACTTGCATTGGCGGCACTGAGCAACTACGTAGTGCCAAGCAGCGCCTTCTCAACCTCCTCCCCACAGTGACTTTCACCTTCACATGGCACGTTTTCAGAATGACTAGCTTCAGCCTTCAGGAGCAAGCCAGCGCTCACTTTTGCCGCGCTTCCATCTAGATTAGGTATGTAATTTGAGTTTATTCAGAGATTGCAAAATGCTGTTCGCGTTTTGACCATCTCGGGGGCCGGTTGATGGCCGTGGAAGCAACGTCTTGCGAGTCCGTCCCTGAAAACTGCCGGTTTCTGCCGTTGTCAAAACGCCTCCACTACATTTTCAATCCAATATATCGTGCATCATCCTTGGAATTTGACAAAAGGTCTTCCTGCCAGGCAAGATCAGGGAGGAACGACTCTGGCACAGACTGAGAAAGTTGGGAGGGACGCTTCAAGAACAGGTTTTCAGCATAGCGCTAGGGGGAGGATACGGGCTCATTGTGGCCATTTGCAAAGATTATGCTTTTAGAAGGGGCCTGTCTGTGCTGAAAAGGGTGGTGCTAGGAACCTCTCCAAGGAAGAAAAGTCGGTCGGCATATTGTGAATGCCTCAGAGGCCGTGCCTGAAGCGAGAGGCACTCTTCTGTGTCCTTTTCAGTGGTGACGACTTTGCTAGACGATGCTTTGCTAGACGATGCTGAAGAATGCTCAACTGGGGTCGATGAAACATCATTAGCCGCTTCTATTGAGAATCGACCTCAACCCAACTTTGATCGTTACAGTTAACAAGGAATGGCGCGTCTGTACAAGGTAAGGCAATGCATTGCATGCCAATGTGAAATTGGAGTCTGCGGTCGGTGACTCATGTCGCTTGATGCTCGGACAGCAGCTTCTTTGAGCACTTTAAAACAGGTGCTGAAGGAAAAGCTGGCCGGTGACCTGTTATCAAAGAAGATTGGCAAGGAGTTTTGATTGACGATCTTCAGAACAACCATGCCTTTGATGTAAAACTTGACGAGGCACGTGTTTACATTAGCAGCTTACACATCCTATCACTGCAGACACATTCGAACCGGATTCTGGCTTGAAGCTGCGGCCGGAAATCCTCAGTGAGAGATTCCTGAAGGGCACAAGCACCACCCTCAGCTTTATCTGGAGGGTTTTCAATGCGATCTTGTAGGAAAAAGTTTTGTGAGAGAGCAGCTTATGCCAAACCCATCGTGCGAGTCTGAGAAAGTTCTCGAGCCAAATTGATCATCTTCAAATTTTCTGTGCCTGCAGTCCCTAGAAGTCCTGTCAGCCTATCGAGACCGGCGGTTCCAAGGTACTCAGGAAGAGTTCGAGCATGCGCTCCGGACCTCGACCACCGTGTACGTCGGAAACCTCACTTTTTTCACGACGGAGGAGCAGATATACGAGGCGTTTTCAAAGTGCGGGGAGATCAAAAAGGTCATCATGGGGCTTGACAAGGTCCGCCGGACGCCCTGCGGGTTCTGCTTTGTCGTGTGAGTGCCAGGTGTCGCCACCAGGTTCGCGGAGCTGTTGCCTAAGAAAATTAGCTGTTGCTGAAATGAATGTTTGCATTCTGGGCTGCCGGGCAAGACGATTCTGGATATGGGTGGATTTCCTCGGGTGCGAGTTGTGAACTTATCGCAAATTTTAAAACTTGCAGAGAAGTTGATCCTCTTGGAAGCTCTTCCCTGATGGTCTGGTGAAAAAGCACACGATAGAGTCCTCATGTCCACTCATAGTGTTCCCTTAACTCATGTTCCTGATTGCAGCTATTACACGCGTCTCGATGCTGAAGACTGCGTCAAATACATCAGCGGCACCATCCTGGACGACCGACCTATTCGGGTGGACTTTGACTGGGGGTTCAAGGAGGGCAGGCAGTTTGGACGGGGGAAGAGTGGTGGCCAGGTTCGTTCGTCTGCTCGTACTTCAGAAGAGTGGACTTGGAAGAGTCAACGTTTCCTGTCCGTGGTCTATCATGAAAAGGCTGACTTTGTGCTGTCGATTCAGCCTTCTTTGCAACGATGAGATGGAGGTTGAAATGTCTCTGTTTTTGAGGTGTGCATGATCCTTCAATTGAAAGTGGTAGAGTAGTGGCAGTCCTTTCCCACTGTAATGCATGGGTAAAACGTCGTCTGTAATGACCCAAGTGCTGACGACTGGCACACTGCGTTGCTGAGAAACTCCGTGGGGAGATTCCTTTGGAATATTATTTGATTGTTACTTCGTTTCGTTGTCCTTGCAAGCAGTCTGGGTGCGCATCATTTGTGAGCTGACAATCCAAGGGGCATATGCTAGCTCGGGGGGGTTCTGGGAGTCTGTTTGGAGTCCCCGCTTTTGATCCCCAGAATGCCCATGCAATTGTATGGTTTTCGAGCCTTTCTCCAATAGTGCAGTATGCGAGCATGCACCTACCTCAGGGTGGTTCGCTTGAAGGAACGCTTGCCTTCTTCTGCTGAGCACGAGCTTGCCTTCTAATCATGCTAAAGTGCTCGTCTTGACCGTATGTCTCAACTGTTCAAGGAGCCCCTCGCTCAATCTTTCAGGTACGAGACGAGTACCGGACAGATTACGACCCAGGGCGCGGCGGCTACGGTAAGCTCGTGCAGCACAACCTCGAAATCTTGGAGCACCAGGGGGGCATCTTCAACAGTGCTGCGCCTGCGCCGTTCCATCCCCCGACGAGAATACAGCAACGAAACAGGCGAAGAGACGAGGCCATGCAAAACGCGGGTGGGGACAGACGGGGAGGCGCGCCGATCAAGGGCCAGAAACGGCAACGGGAGGACGAGGGGCCATTGGAGGATGGGGTTAAGCCGGAGAAACAAGAGCCACGGGTAAGCGCTTGGATGCAGCCATGGTTTACGAAGCATCCTTGCTACAGTTGTGCACTTTGTGGTCATTGTGGTTTATGCCCTCTGCATCTTTTTGAACAATCGGATGGCCCGTGGCTCGCTGGAGCGCTGTACGTTTCCCAGTTCAGAGGCGTTGCACGTAAAGAGAAAGATAGTCGGGGAAAGCTCGTGGCGTTCTTGCACCAGAAATCCTTGGCGTGCGTGCCCCTTCTTCGTGCGCATTTCCAGAGCATTTTCGTTCAGTGTCACCGTTCTGATTCTTCTGTTCGTACTTTGGCTCACTGGCTCACTGGCTGACAAGATCTCCAGCCAGCGTTGCCATGGGAATGTGAAGGCAGTACAGGCCAACCTGGGCACTTTTGAAAGTACTCGGACCTGCTTCTTGTCACAGTATATATGCTCTTGTGCTCTTCTGAACACCAATTCACTTCGTTTTCCGCAGGAGAAGAATCCGCGGTTCCGAGAAAAGAAAGACGACGACTCGGACGAAGATGTTGGCGATTCTTGAGGTCTGTTATTCTCAGTTCTGCGTTTGTACATAAGCAATGGCTGCGGAAGCAGAATGCACTTTCTTCGACGACCTGCCGTGCGGCATCGTTTGACGTTATTGGCTGCGCTTGAATATGATACAAGTTCTAAGTCCGTTACGCACCAGGATCCTCTCGTACAATGTGCCGTTTTCGATATAGCTTCATTGCAAAATTCCAACAGGGAGGGGCACGAGGGCCTCGCATTTTCAGTGCATAGACTTTCCCATGGTTTGTACATGCATGCTTCGGCGTTAGTACTTTGTGATGTCGTGCCAGACCGTCTGCTGAGGCCGTCGCTGACTTTTACATGACCAGCAAGCATGTGGCCGTGCCAGTTGCTCTGAGCACGAGCCGATGGTAACTTCCAATTTATGAACGCCCTTAGCCGCCATGGCCGTGGAGCACGGTCTCCGGCATACCCGGGATAGTTTGTTGACTCTGCAGCTTGCTACGGCTGCAAGTCATGTCCAACAATGAAACTAAGCAATCCCTACACAACGAGCAATGTTTACATAACGAGACCCTAAGATGCATAATTTAATGCCTCACTCGTATGCAACTGTTTGATGGAAACCCAATCAGACGTGTGGCTGGACTTCAACTTTCAAAGACTAGGGCTATTCAGTGGATGTGATTTTCCGAGCTGTACTAGAACTTGTGGGGTGCAGATTTTGAGTGATGCTCCCATGGTCATGTACAGCCCCGCCCATCAGCCGATCAATGTCCTCTAGTTGGACGATGCTTCGACCTAGAGATTGGCATGGCGCGGCTTTCAAATTTATTGCATGATCACGATCGAGCATCAGATGCCCCTGTAAACTGCAGCGCATGGCCGCCGCCGCCCATGCACCCGTAAGTTGATCACAGAATGTACAGTCTCCAAGAGTTTGCGCAGGCAGACATGAGATAGTGATATGCGGCAGATCTGTTGTAGCGCGTGTAAATAAGGAAAGATTGAAGATCCCCCGATTGCCTGCTAACTTGACCGTTTCACATGTCTTCTGAGGAAATGCCAGGCTGTACGATATGTACCTAAAGCCTGGCGCTATTTTGAGGGATGCATGCATGCTTGACTGAAAAGATTACAAGCATTGTATAGTGTTTCAGCGACTTCGCATGTCACTGTCAGGGTACAAAATTTGCAGGTCAAAATAGCACGGAGGTAATGCAGATTGCGCCTGCTTATCGTGTTTCCAACACCACTGCGTAACGCATTGTTTGTTGAGCCAGTCAATTCCCAAGGAAGTGCACACTGGCTGCACGTTATTCGACCTGGACGGCCGCCAGCTTGATAGATTTAAAAGTCAAATACTTGACAGCTGCGTCACGTGATGAAGAGGTTATTGACACGTGATGATCATCTTATCGTCAAGCGAATTGATGGCTTTGCTGAACTGACAAACATCGTTGTATAAGATTACAGTTTAGTCGCAGCGTAAACATAAATCTTGTTCAGTATCCGATCTGGTGCCCTAAGCTCACCTAAGCTTGCCTTAATTGTCAACACGTTTTTGCTTTACCTTCAAACCGAGCGCAATCTGCTTCGAACACCGAGAAGCAATGGAAGAGAAGATCCAGCGAGAGGTCGGGGAATGTCTTGATGCATGCGAAAGAATGTGCCCAGCCCCCTTTTCCAGATACCGTTCAAAGAGGAGGGCGAATGCAAAAGCATATTTAGCAAGCCTCGAGGCGTTTAGAGCTTCTCAATGAGAAGCCTTTGTTGAGAGCAAACGAATTGCATTTGAAACTGCAAGACTGGTTTGCAAATCCGCCGACTCTTCCCGTTTCCTTTCGACGAAGACCACTTCGAACACCAGCTGCGCACGCGCTAGAAGTAACCACCCTGCCCCCTAGCTGCTATGTAAAATGGGAAGATAAGAAACGAAAAGCAGGAAGGCTATAGGAAGAAAGAGCGACGTGAGGAACATCGTTCCAAAATGTAAAAGACACTACGAACCAGTGAAGATCTCTGAGACGCATCAAGGGACATACTTTCGGTAGGATTCAGAGACAGCATTCAAGAAAAATTTTGCAGGAGCGAGTCGAGCTTGATGCAGCAGAAGAGTTCTTAAGACGAACAGCTGAGGAGATGCTGGCAATGCCATTGCGATACAAAGCGCAGGCACAGAATGGCAGAGCGCGAAAGTGCAGCAAGCAAAGTGCCTGCTGAGAGGCCCAGCTTGAAGGATCCAGCGATTCTGATTCCAAGAGACCCCCTGGATTGGTGGAGCGGAGAGTATCGGAGCCGGCCCCTGACTGGCCTTATCTTCGAGATGGGGGACTGGTCAGCTCACAAGAAGTTGCTTTTAGAAAAACCTCGTCTGCAGAAATGGATGGGTGGTGTCGTAGCCAGAAACTAACACTTCAAGATCCTATGGTGCATGATAAAACATCTAGCCACATCATTTCAGCATCAGCATATTAAGTGCTTTGCAGTCTCTTCCTCTTCCCTAGTCATCGCCATTTTGCCGTTCAAAAGCGCCGTTCAAAAGCGCCAGTAATAAATTTGTTGTGCCGCATTTGAAGCTAAGCACAGATCTTGTAATCGAGTTTTATTTCTCGTAATTCATCTTCCTTGCTTCTCTCTTCCTTGCTTTCACATCAATCCTTCTCGTCTGGTCCTCGTTCCTCAAACAGAGAACAAAGCTAGCCGTCTCTTGTCAGATATCAGCCATGTGTCATTCTCAGGTGCGTGCTGTGCCGCCACGATGTTAATCTATGGCGTGAGCAGCTGCCGCGGTTGGAGGCGCTGGGAGGCACCTTCTTCATAGTGACTGCACAGGTGGGATGAATGGACGTTTCAGCGGAACGTTCGTGCATGGCGTTTCTCTACTTCTGCTAAATGAGTTTCTTATGTTTCAAGGGCTTCGAGGCTCTTGAGAGTGTATCCCTTCAGCAGGAGCACAGAGTGAGCGAGAGTTGCTGTTAGCTTGAAGCTGGTGTGAAGGTCTTTAGCCAGCATGCCCCTCAGATTTCTGTCAGTCATTTTGAAGAGCTCTCCGGCAGAGGTCCAAAACAAGCAGTTTAATACCTGACTCAACTCCTGTATGGATGCATGAAAGCCCTGTCATTGCTTCCGCACAACAGGCGGTGCTGATGAGAAGGTCCGCCAACCCTCGTTGTCAAGGTCTTTCTGTAGCCATTCTCCTACATCGACGCACAGATTCAGTTTCAGCGAAAGTCGTGACGTTGATAAATTTCTATCTTTGCAAGTTCGTGAGGCGCTTCGGACGTCCGCCAACTTTCGTAGTCATTGTCTTCGCAGTCATGCCTTGTAGATCGACGAAGGACTGTAGGTTAGTCCAGACCCTGTACGGTTAATGTGGAATCTTCGTCTCTGCAGTCCCAGGAGGCCCTTCGGACGTCCGCCAACTTTTCCATCCAGACCTTCTTTAACGATTCCTCCTAAATTGACGAAAGCCTTTCGATCTCGAGCAAACGCTGTCAGTGTCGTATTAATCAAACGCATTTCTTTCTCTGCAGTCCCAGGAGGCCCTGCGGACGTCTGCGAGTGACTGGGGCCTAAATGGACTCCCGGTGGTGAGCGACCCGGACAACGTGCTCGCGCGCGACATGGGCATCAGCGTATGCGAAGAGCCCGTGCGGCCGTGCATCCAGCGCTACTTCGACACGTACAAGAACAACCAGGTTTGCGCGGTGAGTTTAGTTACTACTTTGCCCATAAACCAATGGGTACGGCATGTCAAGAGCAAGACGGCAGAAAGTGATGATGTACGTTCTGCTGAGTCAACTTCTCAGAGTTTTTTCATTCGTCCTTGTTTAAGCGAGTTTCTCTCTCGAACACGCAGCAGATTCCATCTTGATGGTTTCGGCCGCCAGTTCCGCTGCGGTCTGATCATCTCTTTTCTCCTTCTCAGACAAAAAACTGTGTTTCCTCTTGACATGAAAGAGCACTTTCGCGAAGCCCGTTCAACATCCTACAACAATGTCTCTGCATCTAAATGAGCGCTTCAGACTCTTACGAAACTGCGCACTCTCGAAGCACAATCGCAATTCAACACAGGGAAGTTTCGCACAAAACCTGGTATAGCTTATTTGACCAGCTCTTAGCCAGCTTCATCCTGTGAAAAGGCTATACAACCAAAGCCTATCCGGGTTTGGTTAACGGCCGTTTTGCCATGTGTAACCGGCGCTCTTTGTCTGGCAGCCCGGGTACGTCATCGTGAATCAGCAGGGCGCGGAGCTCTCGGCGTGGCACCAGACGCCCACGGTGCACAACATCGGAGGGGCCATCGACCGCCCAGTTCCTTGTAAGCGCGCGCGTCAATTTGTCGGGCCCTGCCTGTTCGAGTTTTCTTCGCACTGCGTTTCAGCTGGAGCGAAGGTGCGAAGCTCGGGGACAAAAAGACGTCGAGCAATGATACAATGAATATTTTCTCAGTATCCGTCGACGTTTTGTCGACTGAGCAGAGTCGCGAACGCAAGCGGACCAAAACTTTCAAAACGAAACGGTTAAGCCTGTGAGTTTTCATTGTATTGAGCCCGGTAACTTTTGCCCTGCGAGCAGATTAGATTTAGCAGTTCCTACGCCTTTTCGCAGCCAGTCTCTTGATGAGGCGTGTCAAAAGCCTTCCGCACACTTCGAGGATCGGACGCGTCGAAAACGTCTACATCGTAGATGCAAACAAGCGTCACAAAGAACCAATTTCATTTCTCTGCAGCCAACGTGATCTCCCATCTGGAGAACCGGGTTGCGGACGCCCCGGGCGAGTCGGACGTCCGTAACCCCAACGAAGTGCTGGACGATTTCGCTCCGTACATCGAGCAAGTCTTCTGTGAGCTCCCCGACTGCATCCAGGAGCTCATCATCGAGGAGAGGCACATCGCGGCCGCGAAGTGAGCCTCGGAGCCGCCCGGCCGCCGGGGGGGTGGGCGTGAGGGTTTGAGTTCGAGAGCGGCTTGTTCAACACAATGTAGGCTCGAATTAATGGCGGCCCGCGGTTTGCTGCAGAAATGTCCAGACTCTGATAACTCTCATCCAACTTTAGATAGGCGTAGCCCGGGAGACGGGTGGGTTAGTTTGATGGTTAGGCCGGTGGGCTTGGGTGCGAAGCCAATGAGTGCTTGGGTCAGGGTTTTTCGTTTGAGCCCTCGGGTAATCTTGGGTTACATGCATGGACATTTCTCTTACATGCCCTTAACACACACGAGACTTTCGTATGTTGGCCAGCTAGATGCAGAACTGGGTCTCTGCGTCGCGGGCCTCTCACGCGCTTGCAGGCAAAGCTGATGGTCGAACCATGAGTCATTAACGGATGCATGCGAAGTGGACGTCCGATGCTCTCAAGCAATGGTTTGATAATGTACTCCTGAGTATTGTTAGTAAGGGTTTATGTTAGGCTCCGTTAAGTTTGAGTCGGTTGTCAAATGGTTGAATTAGATGGACTGGAAGAATGTGTGAAAAAGGAGTTTGCCGAACAATCGGCGGTGATCATTGGGTAATGGCCAATCGACCCTATTCATCGAAGGAGCCCTTACAGCGTACGTCGCACAACAGTATAAATGTCTTTCAGGATGAGATGTTGCGAAAGCAGAAGACTTGACGCTGGCGGGCGCGTTAGTTCCACTCTCAGTACGACAAGCTTTGACCATAGCTCTTCCGTTGAAAGCAGACGGCGCTTTATCTAACAATATGCCGGATTTAAGCATGTGCAACTCAAATCTGGTCGATTCGAGGAAGTGACGCGGCCTAGTCTCGAATTGTAATTTCCGGGATCAGTATCGGCCATGCCATGATCATTGCTATGAGCAAATGTGCATGTGGACGGCCAAAATCAAAGCAAACAGAAATTGCACAATTGTTTCGTCAGAGTTGGGGGCCACGAGTCTTACTGAAAGGGAGACGTGAAGCATACTCAAGAGTATACAGATTTTTCAGATTCTATGATTTCTAAGGTCGACTTAACTCCGCAGCTGGCTGCTTGCTTTCTGCAAGTTCCAAACTAATCCGGCTGTCCAATTTGGTGGCCCTTTCTATCTACCACTACTTTTCCAACCTTCTACATTGCAATGAAGAAGGCGCGACGTCTATACGAGTCTCTCTTATATGTCAATCTAGCTCCTGACATACTCTGCTCAACCTTTTGACTAACAGCCTCCTAGCTGAGTGCATGTGCAGACATCAAAAAGAGCTGACCCTGTTCTTATATAAGTATGTACCGTAGTACATGCCTAACTTCTCCATCTCTCCAAGTCACTAGGTATACCGTATATGTAGTTAGCATGATCATGACAGCTAAGTGAGATCTTGTATCTAGCAAGTGCGGTAGATGGTACGCGAAAGGCGCCAATGCAAATTGGTCAGTCAAACAACGCAATTGCTGTCTACTACGTCTCGGAACTATCCACTGAACGTCTTTGCTAAGCACCAAGGTATCTTAAAATGAATCATGTTTCTGTGACGAACGACTCGCATGGCGCTTTTGAGCAGTGATCGTTAGCCATTTCGCGGCCCATCCTAAGATACTCAGAATAAGCTCTCGATTGGGCCAGGATGTGCCGGCAAGTCTCGCGGACACATGTTACGGTTTACCGATGGCTACAAACATTTACAGAGACAACGACCTGTACATAAGAACTACTCGTGGGGTTTGTCCTTTCGAAGGGACCCTCAGTCAAATTAGCTTGCCTAAACAGTCGGGCTTCAAAAGTACTTGACCATCTGAATCTCCTTCTTAACAAACCCAGACTTTTCGTAAAAGCTGGTGTTGTAGTCAGCACAGTCGAGGATGACCTGCAAGATTGTCGACAAAATGAAGCCGGAAGAGAAAGAAGAGGCAGTGTGGCTTCCAACAACAGCAAGATTGCAGTCCTTTTGAGAAGGGCGTGGACGCAAAGTCTGGTCCATCCGAGAAGCCAGCATTATAAAAGTGTGAGGTTCTAGACCTTGAAGCGGATTAAGTAGTGACAGCTCTACGAGCAGAAGTACAAGTGTAATCATACGAAGACAACGATTTAACGCCAGGCAATCTTTGAGGTGACTGGCGACGGATGAAAACCGGCGAGTGACACGTTCTCGACTTGTCCTGGGCCTGACAAACGTTACTCTCAGCAGCGTGACGCTTTTGAGCGCGATGTCTCAGACCCTTACCTTGTAACAGCCCTGCTCTTGCGCAATTCGAATCAATTCGTTTATCAACCTGCAATAAGAGAAACCAAACGATGCAGAGTAACGCTTTCCAAATGCAGGTGGGAGGGAGGATGTCAACATCCGAGCCGCTTTCTGTACCAACGACCAGTGTTACTCGAGTGCGGGGAATGCTACAGTCTTCCTGTGCTCTCTCTGCTATCTTTTCCGACCTGCCATAGCATTTGAAGCAGTTCGCACAATCCCGATGCAGAATCTAATACAGTGAGTGGAGTTTTATCCTTGTGCAACTTCGAAACGAGGACCCGGCTCTTTCCTCATGTTTGTCAGCCCTTCGTGAGTCCTGATGCAAAGAGCTGGTACAATGGGTGCATTTACCCTTCTGCGATCCCGGAAGAGGGGCCCTGCTGTCCCTCTTAAGCGTCGGGCAAAGCAAGCTTCGTACCTGTGCCCTTCTATGCTGAACAGAAAGTCCACTTACGCACAACCGCTAGTCTACCACCACTTTCTGATGCTACTTTGAACGTGCAAAATCTGCATTGAAGGACTTACAAACTCACTTTTGCCCTAGGTGTTTTCCACGGACGTCCTTGTCAACCACGACGTCCTCTACATGTCCGCACTGCACACAGGGAATCAAGAGATCGTCTGTGAGAGTCATGTAGCCGCAGGGCTGCCTTCGCCTTATTCCAAATTGGTGTAGGGAGGCTGGGGAAGCAAAACCGTCTAACTTGATCCAAAGGGCCACGAGAACGAGTGAAGTCGAACCTGCTTACCCATAGTGCTTGGTGAAAGCCAGGGACGAAAATGCAGCCTCTGATCCAGTGGTAAACAAAGTCAATCCCAGAACCCGTACTCTACAAGATGGAAATCTTAGGAGCCAATGACGGCACGGAAACAGGCCATGGATTCGAATCAATGCACCTAGGAGTTGACATATACAGAAAGTCATGTGAGACTTCTGTGTGCATTTGAGCTTCCCAAGATGCTCAGTACGTCTCCTTAGTCAGGCACTCATCAGAGGAGCAGTTTTGTAGCATGATCTAGAGAATTAAGTCAAGTCCTACCTTTCCACAGTTTCTCAAAATCTTTCTTTCGATGAGCAAGGTGGCTGTGGCCACCACTCGGGATGCGGCACTATCTGCAGAGGGGGAAGAAACGTAGAAGCCAGACATATCAGTCTTTCTTGCAAGATCTCATGTAGAAGCGATACTGTAACTCGAGCTGACTGATCGCGTGGCTTGGGTTCAGTGATCTGGTGAAGACAAGCAGCAGCTCTGTTTATGTCACGGCAATAATGACTCCCTGACCGTTACGGCAATACAAAAAGGCTTTAAAATAATTCTGATTGTTCCCCCCAGCCACTGCTCCAGTCATAACATTCCGATCTGGCACAAAGGAGAGGCTGCTTGGTCAAAATGACTCAGCCACAAGGAAGACCCCAGCAAGTCAAGGGACTCAATTTGCCATCTTCGTCCGGCAGCATCTTACTCACCTTCTATGACTACTGTATGATAATCTGGGGCCCGCGCTGCCATTTCCTCCACCCTGGCTGCACAAAACAGATGCTCAGAGCGCCTGGCAATTTGGTTCTGCTTCATGATCACCACATCAAGGGTCACTTTTGAAGGGGCTTATGAAGTAGACTGTTGGCCTTCAGTGAATCTTTCCATTCTTTATCCCCCACAAAACGTCCTGCTGAGGTACTCAAAAGTCCTGACATGTGGACCAACGCTTCTTGATAGCTAATGTATCTGCTTTTGGTGGTGGTAAGTGCATCAGTCAATCTTGATGTTGAAGAAGCAAGTTTGAATGATTGGGGCTCAGGCAGTCAATCAGCTCCGATGGGCTAGAATCTTATCTTCTAACAAGGCGTGCTGCACCTTTGAATGCTTCCTCAGTGACGTCCCCTGCCACCGTTAGCTGCGCCAGAAGGCCCATGTAGCCTGCGAAAACACCTGAATCACTCAGACCAATCCATCCCTTTTAGTTGATTGCAGACAAAAGTCTCTCTGCACTCAAAATTGCAGCTAAGGGATGTAAGCGCACAAGCAACTCAAAATCTGCTGAATTGCATTTACTCTTTCCTCCTGAGGGTCATGCATTGTGTGCTCTTTGCACCTGTTGAGGCAGAGCTGAGGAACCCACCTTTGTGGAAGTCTCCTGCTTCCAGTCTTCTCGTGATCAGCTCCTCCCCCGCCATCATGCAGATTGGAGATTGGAGGTGAAGCAAGGCACTTTGAATGGGCGGTTGTGCCCCTCCTCAACTTACAACTTACAAGAAACAGTGGAGAGTGGCTGGAGAGTGGTGCAAAAAGTTCTCTGGCTTTACAACATTGCAACCATCGAGACTCCTATGGTATGGGTCCCATCCTGATATGCTTGGCCCGATTTCTCGAATTCTTGCAACGATTAGCCCATATTTGACTGCAATTAAACCCAGTTGCCGTAAAGATCAGCGAGCGAGAATCCTCAAAAACATTCCCTTACAGTGCCAGAAGCTAACGAATATACTCGGTCCTTGGGGCCTGTTCTATTTTTCAAACCAAGAAAAGGCCTGATGCCAATGGCCAAGTTGCATTCAACCTTGCATAGGGTGGTGTTCGAGTCAACAATGATGGCGGCGACCTCCGTGAGCAGAAGCTGCTTCAGAACGGCTTTTAACGCCAATTGCACATCCCCGTCATTACAACAACACATTCACTCCTTCCCCGTCGCGTCCTGCAAACCCATCCAGAACTTCTCCAACGGAGAATGCGCAGCGTCTCATTTGCATTTGCAGGCCAGATGCGGGCCCAATGCTGCAGCGCAAGCAAGGGCACATCTGCATTGTGCTCTACAAGGTGCACCTGTAGGACTTTCTAGTTCTTTCATGGGCGATGGTTGGGGTGGTGATCTGAAAAGTTTGGGCAGCAAAAGAAAGAATGCGAGCTGTCTGGTGATGTCAGCACAAGCGGAGGCGCCAGAGCAGATGAAAGTGCTGGTAGTTGGGGGTGGGGGCCGAGAGCACGCAATCTGCTGGGCGCTGAAAAGGAGCCCCAGGTAAACACGCAACGCACATCCTCTTTCAGTTTTCTGAATGTGGTAATGCTGGTACATTATATCCACCCCCATCTTCATCAAACACAGCCCCACTCACAGGCCTTTGTCTGTTGTCTACATAGTGGCACTTGTTGGCGAGGATTTCTGCTCTGCTGTTTTGAGATCCTCCTTGTGACCAGCGCATATTACGACTGAAGCGCAGCAGTTGCCTCTCCTCTGCGGAGTGCCCTCCTGAAAGCTTCCTGCAAGTCAGAGTCAGATTGCTGTTACCCAGTTGGCTCCACCCCCAATTTCTTTACAAAGATGCTCTTATCAGCTGCCTTTCCTATGACCAGTCCCAAAGCCAGGCCAAACCCCAGCTTCTTCCGCTTCAATGAAAGTCAAGCGATTGCTTACCTCAGCATTGCTCTGCTGTACAAGGATGTTTTTTTTCCGTCGCAATTGATCACTGACATAGTCAGCATAAGGTCGATCTGCCCCATGCAGTTGTTTCCAGATTCTTTGCGCCAGGGAAGTCCCGGGTTGGTGCCGCTGAGCAACTCAAACTCTCTGGCCCTATTGAAACATCTCAATCAGCAGCTTAGTGCTCTGAAGGAGTTTCTAAGCTTTCCAATGGTCCGACCAAGATGGTGGTTAACCTTAACCTCACTTTTTCTCTTGCAGCTGCTCTCAGGTCTTCTGCGCCCCAGGCAACGCTGGTATCGCTGCCGCCAAAGACGCAGACTGCCTCCCCAATCTGAACATCACAGATGGCATGGCTGTCATCAAGTTTTGCCAAAGTGAGGGCGTGGGCCTGGTCGTGGTTGGGCCCGAGGCGCCTCTAGTTGCGGGGCTCGTGGATGACTTGACGTCTGAAGGGATCCCCGCGTTTGGGCCAACGTCCGCGGCGGCGACCCTGGAGGGCTCAAAAGCATTCATGAAGGTAGGCAATTTGAGGTCGGCGAGCGAAGGCCAGGAGATGTTCCGAACCCCTCCTTTTCTTCAATTCGGGGGCTTGCGACTTGGTTTGTGCTTTTCTTGTATTGGGCACGGAAGATTGGGTGACTGGTGATTAATCTGGCGTCTGAATAGAAATCGGCATGGGGTGATGTCTGTGGGCACTGAAAGGCCTAGATTGTATTCTTGAGAGTAAGGGCTCTGAGATTGGTTTTGGGGGATCCCCTCAATCGCTCCATAGGGCTCTGAATGAAGGTTTGTAGGGACTTCAAAACAAAGAGAGCGTGGATTGTTCGCATTTAAAGGCTGCTGAAACATCCTGCGGAGGTTTGTTCGATTCCAGTAGATTGGGTAGATGAGCATAAACTTGGAGCTTGACTGGTTCTACTAGGTCAAAGGCTTTTCAATGATCTCAGCGCTCTAGATGCTCGGAGGTGAGGCTGTTGTTGCTTTCTGTCTTTTTGGCCAGATTGCCATTGCCGATTGTATCAGATCTTGGCAAAGATTTTGAACAGATTGCCTGAAGAAACTGTCCTACCAGATTCTCGACACTAAAACCGCTGTTCCGGCCCATAACAGGCAAAGGTTTTGCCGTGAGCTTTACGGAGCTCCCCACAGGACCTAATTGATGCATCGCAATCAGACAGGAGACCAAAATCAGAGGATATTCAGACATATTCAGACAGACAGCGTGAGAGGGATAGATGTTTGGAGACTCCCAAATGCTTCTCCCATACCTGATGCGCCACAAATGCTTTTGCCGAAACGAGGAACGAACAGCTGTTAGGGTGAACCACAAGAAGCACACTCCTGAACCTCTTACCGCTCGTTTTGCAGAATCTGTGTGACAAGTACGACATCCCCACCGCCGCCTATGAAACCTTCACTGACCCCGACGCTGCCAAAAAGTACATCCAATCCTTGGGCGCTCCGATCGTGGTTAAGGCCGACGGGTTAGCGGCAGGGAAGGGCGTCGTCGTCGCTCGGACGGTCCAAGAGGCTATTGACGCCGTGGACGATATCCTATCAGGCGGGAAGTTCGGCTCGGCGGGGGGCCAGATTGTGGTGGAAGAATTTTTGGAGGGGGAGGAGGCGAGCTTCTTTGCGCTGGTGGATGGGGAGACGGCGCTACCGCTGATGTCAGCGCAGGACCACAAGCCCGTGGGTGAGTCCCTGCTTCGCTTGCAAAATCATGGGTTAGATATCTTCAAAACTGAAACGAACTTAAAGATTGACGTGGCAGTGAGTAGTTGATGTCAGCACAGGACCACAAGCCCGCTCGTGAGCCCTCTTTGTTCCTGCGACAAACATGGGCCACAAAAACAGTGCAACGGAGATCAATGACGACTTCGCAAATTCCGCTTGATGCTGCGAGCGCGACGGACTTCCTGCCCGTTGAAGCAGTCCCAACCGCTGTCACGTACGAGGGCCTGTTCTCTAATCAAACCGTTGCAAAACCTGTGATCGCAATGTGTCTAGTTGGTCATTGAGCGCCAATTCGAACGGTTGTTTTGCACGCACCTCTGCAGACTGTGTTCCCTCCAGAAACAAGAAGGATCACTCTGCAGGTTTCCATTCAGAAAGGCAAACACTCGACATATCTACGATTTAGACCCAAAACGAAAGCCAAAGCACAAGGAATATTCTGGGCCGTTTTTCCAGCTTTTAACTGACGTGGGAGAAGGCCCCCGCGTTTTCACTGCTCTTTGCATTGCTCCATGTAATTGACGGATCGAACGTTCCTGTACATTTAGACTGCGCCTTCCCTGCTGACCATGCCGTTTCCTTTTCCGTCAGGCGACGGCGACACCGGCCCCAACACGGGCGGCATGGGCGCCTACTCCCCGGCCCCTGTCGTTACGCCCCAGATGCAGGATGACGTCATGCGGACCATCATCGAGCCGACCGTGAGGGGCATGGCCGCGGAGGGGTGCAAGTTCGTCGGCGTTTTGTACGCGGGACTCATGATCGACCCGAAAACGGGGGTCCCGAAATTGCTCGAGTACAACGTCCGGTTCGGTGATCCGGAATGTCAGGTGCAAAAGCTCTGCCCCTGCGTTGGTGGTTCGTCCTCCGTGTTTTGTGCTTCTTTGCCCTTTGATTTGCCCTTCTTCTTTTGCGTTGTTTTGGAGCGGGGCAGCGTACGCAGAAGCTCTGTTTTTTTTGAAAAAAAATTCACAGAGATTTGACTGCAGGCAAAGTCAAGTGCAAGTCAGAATTCTCTTGTGCACAGCTTTGGAAGCTTTCCTTGTACACTCCAAGAAAGAACCGTGGATACTCAGTCAACCATGGCTTTTGTCCGCTTGTTGAAAGATCAAGATACTTCTCATGAGCGGCCGCTTGAGAGTGTCCAAAAGCTAGGTGGATAAAATTTCAAGTCGGACGTCGACGTTGACATCGGAACGACCAAGCTGCTTCCGCCTGCACCAAAGACTATCAAAGACGCAATGCAAAGCAGCGGTTCCGTGATATCAGCTTTCGCCCCCTGGAACGCAGACGTCCTCATGGCTTGCTGCTGTTTGATGTCAGATTCCAAGCATGCAGTCGGATAAATTTTCGACCGAGAGAAGTTCACCTGCATCGGCGAAGTATAGAAAGGCTGGCCGTTGGAGATTGGGGAGCTATTGTCTTCGGCTCTTGCCCTTAAATCCTGACAGCAATCAAGTAACGCTCTCAACGTGCCGACCTTTCTGCAGGCGCTGATGATGCGGATGAAGTCGGATCTAGCCCAAGTCCTTCTGAAGGCCTCGCAAGGCAAGCTGAGCACCGTACAGGGACTAGAGTGGCGAGACGAAGCGGCACTCTGTGTCGTTCTGGCCACAGAAGGATACCCGGGGTCGTTCCAAAAGGGTTCAGAGATCCGAGGTCTGGAAGAGGCGGTCGAAGGGTTAGCTGACACCAAGGTTTTCCATGCGGGCACGGCGTTGAATGAGGAGGGTCAGCTAGTGTCAGCCGGGGGCAGAGTTTTGGGGGTAACGGCGCTGGGGAAGGATGTGCGGGAAGCACAGGCAAAAGCGTACAAGGCGGTGGATCGGATAGACTGGCCAGAGGGGTTCTGCAGAAGGGACATTGGCTGGCGCGCTATTGAAAGGACACAGGAATGAGTGCATGAAGTTGAGTCTACTGGCCATCATGGCACTGAGATTTTCAATAGCAGAACCACTGCATGTTTTGCGTGAGTGCTGCAAGGGCAGAATGCCACGGGCACTACATAATTTAGATAACATACGTGGACAGCCGACAATGCGTGATCTCCATTGTGACATCAACAAATGACGTGTAGAACATCATGCATTCAAGTTGATGCTCTTTGCAAACAGCAGAGAAAGTTCTGCGTGCCGCCGCCATGTACGTCAAACAAGTGGGCGGATAAGGAATCCTTCGAACCCTACAGGATTTCAGCTACCTAGCTCGGCCCGTACATGTGCGACACTTATTTTATATGAGCTTTGTTTCATCCATGTTTGCATGGTAGTCAATGAAGCTTGACGGTTGAAGGTACATTGGCGGATTGTTGACTCATGCATCCGTGAACAACCGTCGCCTGGGCCCTCCACTCGGACGGTCAGGCCGATCTGGCACTCGCATGGCACGTGATGTACATAGTCGGATATCGCGGCAGCATCAAACACTATCAAATGATCCTAGGCTGGACCATCGTTGATTGGACGTTCGAATGGGCCGGGGACTCGGCTCAAGCATGGCCCTATATGAAGAACTTATCCTGAACAATACATAGCTGGTCCGCTGATGCGCAGTATGTAACACTAACGCATGGGCGGCTGACACGTGGCATGAGAATTACGTATCTGCTGTCCCGCCCAATGCCGACCTGCCAGCTGTCAAACTGCACGTGACAGAATCTTCGCCACCTACAACCTACTTATGCGAGAAGCTGTCCGGTGTGAACCCAGCCCAGACTGACTCGGCATAGTACGTCATTTCCGGTCTGTAACATTTTAGCGCCTGTGACTTCAAGGTTGGTCAGAAGTTCGCGACAAGCTTTCTCAAAAGCGGCTGCTTTTGTTCACAGTATCTGGAGAGGTGGGCGCCCAGTCACAGTGAGCAGACAGCCATGACGGGCGGTGGAGAGCCTGCCGCGCTGCAAGTTTGGGTCCAGGCGCTTCTCGCACAACGCCAGGTTCTATTTGACCACCTTGAAGAAGACGGAGGCCTCGTTTACGCTGGAGACACGGAAGAGACGACGCTTCTCAAGCTAATCCTGAAGCAGCTTGGTGCGCTACAGGGCCCACTGGAAGAAAGTGCGCGCGTCTGCGCGCGCTTGGTTGAGAAGATGGGGGACGGTTTGGAGGAGGAGGTTCTGGATCTTCTTGCTAGGGAAGACTTTCTCGACCATGTTGCCTTGGTTGAGGTAGCTTCTTTTTGGCGTGGGTGGAGAAAGGGGTTCAAGATCCGGCTCAAATGGAACATTGGAGGACGTTCAACGAGACGGAGCGCTTCACGCGGCAAGAGAGAAAGTGGCTCATCAGCTGCGGTCTCGGCGACTCGGATTGGCAACCCTCGCAATACGTCAAGCTTGCCATCGAAGTCCTCACCGGCGGTCTTGAGGAGCTGGAAAAGTTCACTCCCGCGGCGCCAGCTGATTCGTGGGGTGACTTTGCTGTGGCCTGCATTATCGTGGTCCTTCTCGCAATTGGGGTACTGGGGTTTTACGTTTTCGTGATCCGATGTTTCCTCGCTCATAGAAGCAGAATGGCCGTCAGTGAGGAGCTTGTCCGCCAGACCCCGGATCAGCCAGCCCTGCCGGTAACCCCTGCGGAGATCAGCATTCCGAAAAATGACGTCAGCACAACCTGTTCCGTTCAGAGCGCGTCTTTTACTCCCCTGACGCTCGACACGTCCTGCGCTTTCGACTGCGGCAGCTTCCAAGTCCAACACGCCGCAATGGGCTTTTACTTGAACAAACACAGGGAAATTCAGTCTGTTACCGTTCTGAACAGCGTAACGTCAGGGCCTTGGGCCGACACCTGCGACATCGCGTTGAACTGGACGCGCAAACGGGACGCCGGGGGAGAGTCCGGAGAGGACTTCCGCAAGTTCCGCTTCGAACAAGCACCGGATTCCGCTTGCACCTACGCAGTCTCTGCGATGGGCTTCCATCTGACGGGTTACAAGGCGGTCGATGAGACGAAGCTAATGGAATGGTCGGGGGATCTGGCCGGTTTGCAGTAACGTTAAGGGCAAGGATGAGAGCGGTACTGGAAATGCAATGGATAAGAAGCACCAGAATGATCGAGCGTCAACATTCCGGAGTGGCACGGGCCGGGGCCGGGGGGTGCAAGTGTACGGACCCATGTGCTGAGTATACAACTAGATAGTGATCGAAGCACGTTCTGTATCTGAAAGCAAGAAAAGTGTGTGTCTTATGTCTCATTTTCCGCAGAAAATTCGTGGAAAAGATGTAAAAGTGCCGTGGTCGCGAAGTTAGAGGCAGAGCAAAACTGTGACACGATGGTCCGTCTGAGTATCGAAGCGGCCGGGTTCGCTCTGGTTGAAGTAAAAGTCAAAGTGTCCCTGGTTGCAATAGAAGCTGAGATGGTTCGGCCGCATGTATTGGTCGAGTCAGCTTGGGCAACTTAGATTCAAGTTTTCCTGCTGACCCGCATCTATGGAAAGAATGCAAGGTGCTCTGTGTCACATTAGTTCTGGCCTCAATCTGCTTGTTTGGTCGGGACGAAGCTCGTCCTGCAACCGCTTGAAAATCGAACTTTTGAGACGTGTACGATGCCCGGAATATTCCAATCATGGCATTGAGGTCGTTTCAGCAAGATTATTGCACAGGTTCTGCGTGGAGTGCTACGGGTCATATCTACGTGCGCAATGAAACTCTGAGTGGGCGCGCCATCTGAATCCTTAGAACGGGACGGTCCGGACCGTGCCTGCACTCGCCGACAACGATCGGCTACTGTTGCAATTTCATGTGTAGCTTGAGCGCGGAACCCATGGCAGAAGGCCTGCCGGTTTGGGTACAGGCGAGCTTGTGCCCAACAATCGCAGATCTAAGAAGCGTCTCCCTTGCTCTCCACTGATTGGTATATTGATATGTATCATCTCCCGCTTAGAACCAATTTCGATATTTCATTGTCAAACGACGTCAGTTTTCAAAGTTGTTTGGTCTCAAGTCGAGCAGTCACTTCGACATGGTTCACGTCGTTCTTGCATCCGAGAAATGGACGCCCGTACACAGAGCATCATCCATGATGAAAGATGCCACGAAAAGCGCGGAGTTTTAGCTCAGTACGCTTCCCCGCGGCCGTTGACATCGCATTGGCCCAGTCTCAAGCCCATCCGGCAGGAAATATACTGTGAGAAAAGCGGCTGACTCAGGGTAAATCTGTATGCAATCGTGGACGTGAGTCGGATTTGAAGATACTGGGACTTATGTACGGCCAGCCTCCTTAACTGCAGCAGATTCTGAGTTGCGCTTTTCGGCACTGCACTGAGCGCGCTGATCGCGCTCTCACTTTATTATGAGCGGCTGACACGTGGCACCCTACAAATCCGGACCCGCCCAGTGTGCCGGCCTGCCACCTGTCAGGCGGCACGTGCTGAAGGCCCCCAGCCAGATTGAGCCAGTCTGACGCGGCCTGGCGAGATGAGCACTACAAACTCTACCCGACTGCAATATGTGGTCTGAAGAAGTGGTCAGAACCGGCAACAAACCTCTTAGCGCCTGGCTTTCTTCACAGCATCAAGGAAGGGTGGCGCTCAAGCAAGTTAAGAGCCAGCCATGACAGGCGGAAAGAAGCCCGCTGCGCTGCAGGTCTGGGTCCAGGCTCTCCTCGCACAGCGCCTTGAACTGCTTGAATACCTCAAAGAAGAGGCATGCCTTCCCTGCGGTGAGGGCAAGAAGTATGATGAAAATTGTGAAGACGAGACTCTTCTTGAGCTGATTCTGAAGCAGCTGGGCGCGCTACAGGGCCCGCTGGAGATGAGCGCGCGCGTGTGCGCGCGCTTGGTTGAGAAGATGGGGGACGGTTTGGAGGAGGAGGTTCTGGCTCTTCTCGTGTGGAACGATGATCTCGAGAGTGCCCTGATTGGGGTAGCTAAATTCTTCGCGTGGATTGAGAAAGGACTTCAGGATGTGGAACGAATGGAGGAGTGGAGGACGTTCTACAAGACGGAGCGGTTCACACAGCAGGAGAGAGACTGGCTAGTATATTGCGATCATACGGAACTTCCTTCCGGGACTATGGAGTTTGCGAACCAAAGCCTCAGGCGCAGCATTGAGAGGCTCAGAAAGGCCAATACCGTGCCGTTGGATTCTTCGGGCGCTTGGTCCCCTTTCATCTCCGTCTTTCTTCTCGTGGTGGGGCTGATTGTTGGCCGGATTCTGGCGTTCCGTTCTTGGTCCGCGCAAGGAACCGGAACGACGGTCTCCACGGAGCCTGTCTCCTTCAGTTTGAGAGGTGACATACGAACAACCTGTTCTGTTGAGAGCCCGTCCCTTCCGCCCCTGGTTCTCCAAAACACCCTGCGCTTTCAACTGTAGCAGCTTCCAAATCCAACACGCCGCCATGGACTTCGTTCTGAGAAGCCACAGGGAGGTTCAGTCTGTTGCCGTTCTCAACAGCGTGACGTCAGGGCCCTGGGCCGACACGTGCGACATCGCCTTCAACTGGACGCGCAAAGCGGAGGCGGGGGGAGAGTCCGGGGAGGACTTCCGGAAGTTCCGCTTTGAACGAGCACGGAATTCCGCTTGCACCTACGGAGTCATTGCGATGGGCTTTCATCTGACGGGTCACAAGGCGGTCGATGAGGCGAAGCTAATCTTCCAGGGGATTGGACAGTGCACGGGAAAGGTTGACGTGGCAGTGTCTGAGGAGGACTTGAAAGAGGAAAACGCGAAATGGAACGGTTGGGGGATCTGGCCGGTTTGCAGGAACGGCAGCACTTGGAGCTGCACCGGGGGTCCGATCGAGAAAATGCACCAAAACGAGCACTACGCGCATCTCGACGTTCCGGAGTGGCACGGCGGGGGGTGCAAGTGTACGACTGGCTGTGCGGGATACGGGGTTGAGTACACAACTTGGTAGATGATCGAAGCACTTTCACCTTTCTGGAAGCAAACGAGTGCGTCTTATGTTCACTTCAGTTCGTAGAGTATATATAAGCGGTAGAGAAGAGGGAGAAGTGCAGTGGTCGCGAAATAAGAGGCAGGGAATTCAATAGATCACGATACGTTCGTCTGTGGTAATAAAGCGGACTTTTCTGGTCGATTAAAAGTCAGATGTAATTGTGGTTGCAATAGGAGCCGAATGGTTTGGCATGTATTGTTCGAGTCAACTTGGGCAACGTAGATACAGGCTTTTTTGCTGCGTTTGTTTGACACCTACGGAAAGACTGCAGTTTGTTCATTCTGTTGATACCCGCCTTAGTCTGCATGTTTGCTCAAGACGAAGTCCTCACTGCCAGTGTTTGAGACTTAATCTTGCTGATTGGATTCCAGAAATCGTGTAAGCCGCGCCTGCTATCAAGGCATCGAGATTGGACAAGCGGAAACACCGCATGTTGAGTATTATGTACGTTCGCAATGAGCTTTTCAACAGGGCATACTTAATGTACAACTTTGGCACTTGAACTACAGACTTCGTGCCTGGCTTTGAACGTATCAACGCGGTGCCCTATGGCTGAGGCCCTGCCGCCTTTGAATACCGGGAGCTTGTGACTTCACTTACGTGCACGGCTGGGTCACGGTGCGCTTTCACTTCCAAAACACTGCTCGCCTATTCTAGTTCTGCTAGTTTGCCATGAATCCCAATGACCAGTCTGACATTTTCTCACCACATTTTAGCATGCAAAATACTTCCTGAGGAGTACGCCGAGACATAGAGCATCTTTGTGCTTTTTATCCATGATTGACTAGATTCGGCAATCGAGCTTTTTCAGATTACGCCTACTTATGCACCGCGCCCGACTCAACTCCGTCTCAAACCTCGCGGGAATGAACGTGGTGCAAAGCGGCAGAATCCGGTATGGATGGGATCTCACACGTTCGATCCTGTTGTAATCGAGGCCCAATCGAGGCCCCAAAATACGGTCAGCCGCGCGATAAAGAGGATTCTGATCAGCGCTTTCTACACACCGGAAGCATGCTGACGCCGCGTCCCCACTATTTTATAGCGGCCTGACACGTGGCATGCCTAAGGATCCCGACCGGCCCAGTGCTGGCCTGCCACCTGTCAGACTGCACGTGCTGGGATTCCTGATTGATGATGAGGTATGCAAGCCAGTCTGACTCGGCCTTTCGAGACGTGTGCACTCAAAAAGCTGTAGTATTGCTGACTTAAGACTTTAATAGTCTTGGTCCTAAGTCATAGTCTCTGAATTCCGGCAGTTACCCCAGAAAATTGAACTGTCAGAGTCCGCAAGAGCCCAGGTACTTGTTCATCTGCGCCTGCTTTTGTTCACAAAATCACGAGAGCTAGGTGGGCAGTCACGTCAACGGCAGCCATGACAGGCGGAAGGAAGCCCGCGGCGCTCCAAACCTGGGTTCAGGCGCTCCTCGCACAACGCCATGAACTGCTTGAATACCTCAGAGAAGAGGTAGGCCTTCTCTACGGTGAGGTCGAGAAGTATGATGAAGGTTCTGAGGACGAGACTCTTCTTAAGCTGATCTTGAAGCAGCTCGGCGCGCTACAGGGCCCGCTGGAAGAGAGCTCGCGCGTGTGCGCGCGCTTGCTTGAAAAGATGGAGGCGGGTTTGGAGGAGGAGGTTCTGGCTCTTCTTGCTTGGAACGTTGATCTCGAGATTGCCTTGGGTGAGGTAGCTTCTTTCTTCGCGTGGATTGAGAAAGGAGCTGAAGATCCCGCTCGGTTGGAAGAGTGGAGGACGTTCAACAAGACGGAGCGTTTCACGCAGGAGGAGAAAGACTGGCTGATCTTTTCCGAGTACACAAGACCTCCCTCCCAGATTTTGGATTTTGCCAATCAACCCCTCACGCTCAGCATTGAGAGGCTCGAAATGGCCAATACCGGGCCGTCAGAAACGTCGGGCCCTTGGTGTTGCACCGTCGCCTTTATCCTCTTGATGGGGCTTGTTCTGGTGCTGGCGTTCCGCTCTTGCTTCGCGCAGGGAAGCGGAATGTCTGTTCCCGAGGAGCCTGCCTCTTCTACCACGAAGCCTGGCTCTGTAGCCTTTGACCTCATCGAAGCTTTCGGTCAGAGAGGTGACGTCAGCACATCCTGTTCCCGGGCCCGTTCCGTTCAGAGCCCGTCTCGCCCCCTCATTCTCCAAACGCCCTGCTCTTTCGACTGCGGCAGCTTCCAAGTCCAACATGCCGCAATGGACTTCTATCTGAACAAACACAGGGAGGTCCAGTCTGTTACTGTGCTCAACAGCGTGACGTCAGGGCCCTGGGCCGACACGTGCGACATCGCGTTCAGCTGGACACGCAAAGCGGAGGTGGGGGGTGAGTCCGGGGAGGACTTCCGGAAGTTCCGCTTTGAACGAGCACCGGATTCCGCTTGCACCTACGGAGTCTCTGCGATGGGCTTCCATCTGACGGGTCATAAGGCGGTCGACGAGACAAAGCTGATCTTCCAGGGCATTGGACAGTGCACGGGACAAATCGACGTGGCAGTTGCTGAGGAGGAGCTAGGAGAGGGCGCGGCAGAATGGAACGGTCGGGGGATGTGGCCGATTTGCAGGAACGGCACCGCTTGGAGCTGCACGGGCGGGGGCGTAGAGAAAATGCACGAGAATGAGCATTACGCGCATCTAGACGTTCCGGAGTGGCACGGCGCGGGGTGCAAGTGTACGACTGGCTGTGCGGAGCAGTGGGCTGAACACGAAGCAAAGGTATTTTGAGAATGTTCTCTTTACTGGTGGTAGGAAAGCACGTGAGAGTCTTTGTTTGCAGAGAAAAGCTAGGAGGGTCTCAGTTGGTCGCGTGCAGCAAGAAAGACGGATCGAGCAGAATATCGTGTCAAGCGTTTCTTGGGGTCGAGTCCCCCGGTGTGGAGCAAAGGTAGAGTGGCTTTTAGTGTGATATTGTCATTATCAGCGTTCCCTCCGTGCTACATGAAGCTGCACCTTTGACAATGACGTACACGCGATTTGAAGTCATGCACGACATTAACGAGCCACATTCTTATCGGCGCTTGGCTCAACATTCTCATCAGTGGTTGTGAAACTGTCAATTCCGTTGCATGTACATGATGATTGAACCTAAGCTGGGGTTACTGAGTTGCCCTAATTTTCGTCGAGCGTTCATACCACAGAGGATGCAACGCAGTGCGTTGCGTGAATTCGATCTCTGCCGTGCACTGGTGTCCATGGCCCGGCCGCCATGTCTATGTCAATCGAAGAATGGATCATTAAAGTTTGCACATGCATTATGGCAAGTTTCCTTAGAAAGGACGGTCGTCGCCACATGCAGAGATTTAGCAGCCCGATGATCGAACAAAAGTATTGTCAACTCAACATTGGCCGCCTCTGATCACCTAGTTATGCGCACGGTAGACCATGTCAATTATCTACAAAATTGTGGGGTGCCAGACCTGATTTTGAGAAGCGAAGTCGAATTATCTGGATGCTAGACCCGTCGCTTAGCTTTCCTGCAAGTCTGTCGGGGGTTTCCGCAGAAGGCCCACCGAAGCCCTTTTATGCTTTCTTGTGTCTCTCCCTTTCTCTTCTTGGTCAGTGAGAGACGACAAACTCTCCTGGCTTGTCGAATTCAATCTCCTTCTGTTCCCGCTTCACTAGCTTGTAACCCCGCACTCGTAGCTCCTCAGGTTCTCGTCGGTCTTGCCAGCCTATGGACTGGAAGGTCCAGCCCTTGTTTCGGACGTCCAAGCCGGCAACCCGGACCTGCAAAGGTGTCAGGTTCTCAGAACTTAGTCAGCAAATTGAGAAACGTATATTTGTAATGGCGCAACCGTACCCGTGGTCACGCTTGCCAATTGGTTCAGCATAGAAAGCAATGGGGGTGTGGGCTTCAACACTTCTTCAAGTTTCATTGGCAGCGTGCTTAAGCAGCGACTACCTCAAGCTAAGGTAATGAAACGCGACTGCGGCTTTTAGTCATGAAGCAAATCCGGCTACGGAGCCGGCTCGCAAGCGGGAACCAAGCAAAGCAGTCGAAGGTGGTCACCGCGCAGAAGATCAAGAGCTGTGTCAAAGCGGCGCTAGTGAGTATACTCCGGAGGTGGTCGGCTATTCGTTACAAAACGAAAGGCCAGATTATTCCAGGGCGCTTGAAGCTGTAGCAGATTCAAGCGCAAGAGGCACATTCCGTGTGTTGTTTAGCCCCGCGTCCTCTCCCGTAACAGATGATCAACCGGTCTCATTCGAAAAGGGGTGAAGCCAAAAGGGGTGGATTTTCGGGCTTTTGGGCAGCCCACGAGGAAAACTAGGAACGCAAGGTACGAAAGCGTGGCCGCACCTTTGCGCCTTCTTTGCTCCGGATCACCAGCGCCCCGTCCAGCTTCATCGCCTCCAGGTAGATCTCCGGACCGTCCAAAATTAGAACAGCGTCCTGGGCTATCTCCACGGACGCGCCGCGTACTTTCGCCTGCACAGCAGTGATGGACAGGATGGTTAGAGGTTCGAACTGCTCGGACGAACAAGTGAGGAAAAACGACCAGACTATCAGCAGCCAGATATGGATGCGGTTGAAAGTACAGGGTGACCCAACAGAGAGTAAAACGAGCACAGGAAAGAAGCGGAAGATCAGGTAGTGTTCAAAATTCGAGTATGGTTCTGACAGAAGGAAATAGAAAATGGACATTGGATCTCGCTGAGGCAAACTCGACAAGAGTGCTCCAACCACAAAGTAGCAAGTAGAGACCTTAAAAAGAGTGGGGACGTCTTCGGGCGCGCTCTTGAGCACGTTAAAGCAAGTCTGTTCAGCCGTCCACGTGAACGTTAGGAAAGCATCCGCCATCACCAAGACACCTTCGCATTGGATCGTCCTACACACTTCTGCGAGGCATACGCAGCTATAGTCGTACGTCCCCGCACCTTGACGTCAGCAAGCGTGAGCGCCCACTTGGGGCTCCAGACGACACGTGGCCACATCTCCGTCTCCTGGTCATTGTACCGTACAGTTCGAGGGTCTGCGACCTTGGCTCCTGCCGCCCGGAGGATCAGGCAGTTCGCCCTGTAGAGGGCCGCCTCGCCGGACGTTGCGCTGTGAGGGGGGGTCCCGGCGGCAAGCTGCAAGAATGAGGATAGAGTGTGAGCCCCGCCTGTTGCGTTGTGCGGGGGGTTTTCTCACAGGCAAGCTACGGCAGAAACGAAAGGGTGTGAGCCAGCTGCGCTCCTGGAGGGGGTTCCCGGCGGAAGCTGCGACGTTTCAAAAGACCTGAGCCGGTTGCGCAGTGGGGGGGGTTCCCAGCAAGCTGCGGAAGTTACAGGAAAAATGTGACGTGGCGGCCAATTTGTCGGAGAGCGGGAGCGGACACGATGAAGGGAGCTGATAGAGGAGCTGAAAGAGGATCTGAATGTCTAGATTTGGAACTCTTGTGAGGGGAACCCTGCGACGAGCTGCGACGGCCAAAACATAAGGTAAGCCGGTTGCCCTGACGGGGGAGTGGGTCCCGGCGGCAATCTGCGGAGTTTGCAGAACTGTGAGCCAGTCGTGCTGTGAGAGGATGTCGCTGCAATAGCTCCAAGCGAAATTGAGCCGGTTGCTCTCCGAGGGGGTGTTTCGGCGGCAGGCTATGGTAAAACCAAAAATGCGAGGGGACGCAGTTTAGGGTGAACGCGACTGTGTGAATGGAATTGACAGAGAACGGTCGCGCTTGAGGTGGAAGTCGGGCGCCGTTGACGAACAACGAGCTAGACAGGGAGACGCGAAAACAAGCAGAACGGGCGGCTGCCGAACATAGGGTCAAGAAGGACGTCCTGGACAAACAGCCAAACAACAAACGGTAGGGCAGAAGATGTCCTTCGAAGGCGCTTCACCGGGCACCAGTATAAGAAAGATAGAATCACCAGTTCCGGAAGTCTCTAAAAGACTGTTCGCCCTAGTTCCGGAAACATTCGAATCGGACAGGTAAAACAAGAGAGTTGTGCCGGACCTGACAAACTCAGTCGGAAGGTTGACACACGGCGTCCGGAATAGCATTACAACAATCCGCGATTGGTGAAGGCTCCAGTGTGCTCGGTAGACTGTTTATCAGGTCCAGAAGAACGTTTTTGTTCTGACCATCCGGAATTGCATACTCCCAGAACGAGGGCGACGACTTTCACGATTCTTTGCAGTTAGAAAACTTGAGTTTGTTCGACGTCCAGTTCAGACGGCAGAAGGGCTCGTGCCAATCACGCAAGGAAAGGTCAGTAATGTAGCGTACCTTAGCGGCAGCGTCCTCCGGGTTGTTTTTCACGGGGGCGTAGCCCAGCCAAACGTCCAGAACCTACAGAATGGACAACACGTACTGGATATTGGTCCCATGGAGCGCTACGCAGAGCATTACGCAGAGCAGGTTTGAGGGGCTTTACACGTGTAGAGTAGCGGCGACCGTCTTTCTGTCTGCATCAAGACCGCAACATCGATCAATGCCTGTGATTACCGCGCCCGATATGGAGCACATGGACAGAGTAGGGGTCCCAAAATAAAGCTGCTCGAGGGATGTCCCGCAAACACACTTAAAGGGCTGCGGAGAGGCGAATATCAAAGATTCCGGAAACCACAGCAAGTCTGTGCGAATTGAAGATTAACTGCGGAGCAGCGTTTGGGGCCTCACAGTGAAGCCGATGTCGGCAGAGGGGCTGAGGCTCTTGGGGTAATCTTGCATCAGGCTCTCGAGCCGTGTGGGTGACTTGAACGAGGTTCTGCTCGAGTCCTTGTACCTGGGCAGACAGAGCTGTGTTCAAGATGTGCTTCTGCTGGCTTCTCGCGATTGAGGTACAGGTGAAACCAATCTGAGTTGGGCATAAGCTGGATGTGAAGTGAATGTGAGGGAGTTTTGGCGTGTTTGCGCCGGGTTGAAGCTACGACGCTGTGATGAGGGTGCTGTGACTTCTGTCGATTTCATCTGCACGCCCTGAAGAAATGTGAACTGCATTATAGAAGGGGGGTTTGCTACCGCATTCCGGGGGGCAAGTATGTCAAGAAGCAACGTCATTCTCGCCAACCTCTGCTGACAGCTCCTCACATGTGGGCATACAATCAGCAGACTGCCAAGCGGGCTTTAAAAGCACTTTCTTTCATATCCTCCAAGCCCAACTTCGTTATTTTCGACGGAAATGAAACGCAAAGGAGTCGGAGTAAACAAGGGTTATCAAGAAGATAAGCATTGCAAGGGTCAGAGCAAATGCAAAGGCTCTGTACTCACTTGGGATTCACAAACTCCGGCACGAGGCCCCTGGTCTTGCTCAGCTCCTTGACGTACGACTCCAGCTTGATCACCAGCTGGTTGATGTTGCCGGGGTAGGGTGAAAACCCCGTGGAGGGGTCATTCACATCGCCGTCCGGGTAGCCGGACGAGCGCAGCATGGGGTCCAGCTGGTTGTACTCCACGTTGATCACGATCTTGCGGCCTGCGATCAAGCGGAGAGTATTCACACCAGGAGTCCTATTCAGCTTCTTGAGACAATTGGTGTTTGAAAATTTTGCGCTCGTCGTTCAGCCGGACGCTGCTGGTGGCGGTTCGCGATCTGCGGTTACCCAATCTTGCGAGCTGCGTGTGGAAAGGAGAGAGGAGCACACCAGCACGCGTCTCTGGTGCTTGGAGTTGTGGCAACCCGCCTCACTTGAGCTTAAGCCGGGCGGAGCTCCTCAGTCGATGCAGGTATGGAGAACATTACAAACAAGGGGGCGCCTTTAGTCTGCCTTTCATAGGGAAGGCAAAAGCATCCCCTGCAAGCGTCCATTCTCAGTTTGTCCAGCACTTCTGAGAGCTGGCTGCGCGCAATTGGAACCGCAGAATCTCTAGGAGTAACGCTGCCGTCAGCCTCTCACCATCCTTGTGCGTGAGCCGCGTAATGCCCCCAATGGCCTCCTTTGCCTTCCGGGGGACGGCCAGCGAGTTGACGTCGTAGCTGCGGGTGGCGCTGACGCCAAGAGAGGAGGGGACGGCCTGGCGGAAAGGAGACGGCAAACTCTTAGAACACAAACTTTAGCTTGTAGAGTCCTTCGGTCTCTCGGTCAAGATTGTAAAAGTAGGCTTCAGGTACCGTAGCGTCGGAGGAAACGGTAGCACCTTTACTAGAATCCTCTTCCAGCAAGCAAACATATGAATCGAGTACGCGGTAGGCTCGACGGCCCAACCAGCCGCTGTCGAGTAAGGGGAATCGTTGTTGAACGAGAACACCAAGCACGCGACAGGAAGGTCCAGTGCAAATCTGATGTCCGTGACAATCAGAGAGCATCGAGGATGGTAGTTTGCAGCTTTGCTCCGACGGATTGAAGCAGATAATCATGTGAGGATTCAACAACGTGACAAACAAGGATATAACATAGAAATACGAAGGCTGACGCACCTTGAATATGAGACCGTTGGTGTCCTGGAAGAAAAGGATCCACTTTACGCCCTTTGCTTGCCTGGCAAACAACAGGACGGAGCCGCGCATCAGCACACTGATTATATAAATTGCTTTGTGTTTCACAGTGCAACTTATGAATGATTGCTTGCTCGTTTTTAAAACAGGGAGAGAGATGGGGCTCGAGCATCTCACTGTTTGCCATATCAGGTGCCCCTATAAGGATAGGAACAAACCAGTTCAGTGAACTCTAATCTGTTTCTAGAGTAGCTGAACAATATCTTCAGCTGCCAAAAAAAGCAGTTGCACTACGTTCAAATCAAAATTTTGCAAGAGCCTGGCACGAAAGAAGTTCGTTCCCATCCCCTTCGGGGAGAGGCTCTATTTTTTTTTCAAAGCGGGTTTCGAAATCTCGCACGCACAGTTGCACATATCCGCAACTGAGGTGGGGGCAGGGGCCGCAAGCGGCTAGGCTAGCTTAATCTGCAGCCGCTTCTATGCTCCGAGAGGTAGTTCGCACGTCTGCCCGGAATCCAAATCTGGTCAAGTTTACTCCTTAGAGGGTTGACTTGAGAATACCTGCCTTTTCGGTTCCGGGCAGGCGTGCCAACTACCTGTTTTGGAGGTCTGGTTATGGCGGGTTTACCAACCATTTCGAGGCTGACCATGTGTGATAGCATCTATTTCACATTTGCCATGCGAGGCCGATGTGTGCCTCGGGTTATCTTCAAGGTCAAATCGTGACCGTCCGACCAGCAGCATTTCCAATCGGACGGCGCGAAGCATATTGCACGCCCTCAAGCAGTGCGCTTGGGGGACCACCGGAAGCTTCGTCGAACGTGGTCAGCAAAACGCGTAGGAGTCTGGTGACAGGAACACCAAAGATGAAAAACTTCTAGGAGTAGGGAAGGGCTCAACGGAAGACTGGCGGAGCCGCTCAAGAGTGGTGAAAGAACCAATCGAGACCGTTCTGAAGAGGAAGCGCCGGCTTCCGTTCCACGACCACTCCTGTCCGCTTTCTCGTAGCTATAAAGGGCATGCCGATGTGAACCTCTGAAGCGCTCGTAAACAGAGGCAAGCTGGGAATGCTTGGCCACCGGCTCGAATTCTAATGCCGACACCCCTTGTCTGGAACCCGCGACGATATTTGGTTAGCGAGATCAGCAGAAGCGCAATGGACTCCCAAAGAACATCCGGGGGGCCGCAGTCAGAAGGATAAACACTGTGTGGCTCACCAGTCCTTGAGGAGTCCCGAGGAGTAGAGGAGGCTGTGGACATCCCCGTGACCATGAGGCTTTGTCTGCAATCAAAAAAAAGAGAGCCGGATCACAAGAGAATTTTTCCATCGGGCAGCCATTCCATGAAGACAGTCGAAAGGAAAAGGTTGGCAAACCGGGAACAACGTGAATGCTCATTGGCGCCGATCTCACATATCTAAGTTTCCACAAAACAGACCGCCATTGTCGTGCATGATCTTTCCGATCGCCGACAAAGGAACCTGCCGCTTGTGAGTCGTGATCAGGTGTCTGTTCCTTTAACAGGGCTCAAAAGCGAACCATGCCCGATGAAATGCTCAAGCGTTTGAAAACCATGGGTAGAGTTACTGACCAGTATTCTGAACTTGTCGTCTGGATCCAGGGCTAGAGAAGCGCTGTTGTCAGCAAGGCAGGCAACTTTCTCCTGCAAAAGCGCGCCCGAAAAGGTCATCAGGAGCTCTCACCATTTGCCTCGTCATCCTTTCGGCCTTGAACATTGATCAGTCATATTGATTGGCCAAGCTATGATGGGATTAAGAGGTCGTCAAATGGTTGCAAAACGCTTCGGTGGAGTCTTTGAACAGAGATGCAGCGTCCGAAGTGCTTCAGAATGTTTTCACCACGGAAAACGCCCGCTCTCGCCTTCCTTCATCGCTATAAGGTCTTTCCGACAAGAAGGCAGGTGATGCAATCTCCTGTATCTGAAAGCCCATAAAAGACCTACGACCCAAAGAAGCATTGAGAAAATTGGTCGCACGAGCTATTTGCCTCCATCTAGTTAAACTGCTTCTGCAGCGGTCGAAAGCGCAATCAAACAGCTTCGACGAGTGGTTCAAAAATGGATTCAATCTCGCCGTTCCGCTTGCCATCGTCTTCAAAAGAAAGCTGCGAGGAGCTCGTGACAGCTCAAGCGATGGGCGCTTAAACCTCAATGGTCCCCGTACCTGCTTGATCAGCGTGATTTGGTCCTTATCCATCCCAAAGTACGCATGCTCTTCCAGCAGCTTCTGGGTGCGGGCATGCGTGTCGTCTGACGTCATGATGGCGAACGGGATCCTTCGAGGCCCGCTGGGGACTGCGCATAATCGAAGAAAGCTTTGCGGTGGAGGAGAGGTCGTCTCTTTATTGGATCCGTTCGTGCTACTTTCGACAAGTCAGGTCAAACGCGAGTATCCCCTTCATCACGAAGCTACGCAATTGAGTCTGGTTTCAAATCGATCTTCTCGGGTTCTCTTGCCCGCCAGCATCCTCGAATGCTTCTCACGTCATTTTGCGGACTTCGAAGCAACCGCTCCAGCGCAGAGGTTTCATTCAATTGCGAGGCAAAAAGCAAGAGCGACCGGGATCCAATCAGACTCTTAGAGGCTATGCAAAAAACAGGCGGCCGCCATTAACCATAAACCGCCGTAATCCCAGGGCAGGAAGGGCGTCCAAAGAATCCCAACAAAATTCATAACCCTTCTGTTTCGCTCCGGCGCCTCTTGGACTGAAGATTTGCTGACGAAGCATGCAGCAGCAACGGGGATTTCAAACGAAGAACTAGAGAGGCGATGAAGAAGCGACTTGAAAGAAAAGAGTTCCTGCTCTCCTCACCTGTGCGTGCTGGGAAGAAGCTGGTCCACTGCGGAGGGCACACTCCGGGGAGGCATTGGCAGCCGTCGTCACGATCCTCTGCAACTGCGTTGCTGGCGTCTTGGAGGGCCAGGATGCTCTCTACGTAGGTCTGGAGGAAGGACGCATCGGTCACGATGTTGGAGGGAAGAGCCACCTGCCGAGAGAAAGGGAGTGTTGAGTTTGTTTTGGTGGGCGCAGGGGAACGAGAATTCGCTTTACTGAAGGTGACACAGATATGATAATACAATAATAATAGGAAGTCGTTTTATGGAAGTATTCTGACGAAAGGAAGTCAGATGAGATGGCAAGAGCTCATCGTGCGGCTGCTACAGGCGGAAGCTTCGGGCAACCGTCGACGGTCGAGAAGCAGAGAGCGAGTCCCACTATATGCACTCTCCAAACAACTTGTGCAACCGATTCTCACAGGGGATGAGCAGACAACGGGTCGCGCATGCATGATGCAGACGCATTGCATGGGTGCAACAGAGACTCGAAAACGCAACTTGAGGGTGAAGCCTCGACTTCCTCTTTTCCTCTCGTCTTTTTGTTTCCAAGTTTCGAAGCCCTCCTCACCTGGAAAGAGGCCTTACCTTGATACCGCTGTACCCCAGCCTTTCTCCCAGTCCCCCCGCCACCAGCACAAATGCAGCGTCGTTTGCTTGCCGCACCCCCTCCGCTTCATATCGAGAAAAGGCGGTGTTGCCATAGGTCAGAACTTCCCCGCTAGGAACCTGCCAAGCATTTGGACAAGGTTCGATCTTCCTTCTCTCGGCTACAGACCTGCCCTAGCACTGGAAAATCAAGGCTTTTATTGCGGAAAGCTGCTTCTATTTTATATGAGGAGTTGACCGGAAGACTGATGCTGACATCCGTATACTCGTTCTGTGATTCTCATTTGATTGATACTGTGCGGACAAGTGGGCTGTGAGAGGGCCAACTGATACTAAGCTGTTTGAAGAAAAGACTGCTCGTTGGTCAGGCCACCTTCAAAGCTGACAGAAAATCCTCTGAGGATTGAGAAAGCGTTTTGTACACGTCTTCCTCTTCGAATGGTTCTTCAATCTCGGTTTTCCATACAACCTGGCTCGCAGCCAGTATCTAGATACCGGCTGCAACGAGTGCCACCAGACCAGATCACAAATAAAAATAAATCAAGCTGTTCCTCAGGATTGCCTCTCATCAAGCGACGAGCACACATAGAGTCTCAAGAATAAGAATGTTAAGGCTTTCCATCTGCAGCCACTTACAGATGGGGTCCAACCATCAAACGGGTTCACCCCGTCTCTCGACTCTTGCAGCAGCTTGCGTGCATTGCTGATGTAAGCCCTGAGGCCCCCTGGATAGCTGGCGTCCAGCTTCTGGACCTGCACCGTGTTTTCGGAGGTGAATGTGAGCAATTGGGAATCTTGAGCAAGCCTTTACACAAGCACTGGATTGACAGTGGTTGTTCTCATCGGAAAATGGTGAGAGTACTGAGTTCTGAGATGTGAACTGATGTACAGGCGCACGAATGAGACTTCTCTTGCTGTTAGGGGAGTCTTGTGACTCAATAGTTATGATGGTGCAATGATCCAATTGTTCAGTACAAACAAGTCAAACAAAGTTGGAAGTTTCACGAACACCACCCTTTTCAGGTTACAGTTGGCCAGACATACTTTAATGATAATTGCATACTTTTGTCTTCACTTCCATAAGAAGAGTGTCTGATGAACCTACTGCCCTACAATGAAGTCAACAGGCAGAGAGATCAACCATGCTTCTCTTAATATTGTTGACTTGCCACCCAAAGCCTGCCCTTCTTTCAATCTCATCATATCACATTTTGATCCAGGCTTCTGATCTACAGTATGTCTAAGTGAGGAAATACCGACCTGCTTGAAGAATCGATGCTTGTCAGCATCTGCATTGAGGGGTGGAGGCCAATTTTCAAACAAGTGCCCCTGTCCTTCTGAGAGCAGGATGCGGGCAAGCTCAGCCTGCAGTGTAGAGACGTGACCATAAGGAGGGGTTGACCTGGCTAAATTGCTTGACTGTAGAGACACTCGCACCACCAATCGAATACATGTGAACTGCATTGAACTGCGTCAGATACCAGTATAAGATCAGCTGACGGCCACACCACCCTTTGATCAATGATGTTGAGAGTGGAAGTATTGCTGGTGATTGGTGATTTGAAACAAGGTGAAAGGAAAGGTTTAGCCCTTCTGACACACACGATGATGCACTCAATATAACAATGATGAACATATGCAGAGGAAATGCACACAATGCTCTTTGAGTGATCAAGATACTGAAGCCATTGATCTGATCAAGAAAGAGAAGGAAGAGAGCAGCTGTGGAACATGGTAACATCACAATGTTTGTTGCACTGCAATTTTGTACAGTGCAACTAGCCCCCTTGCAATTTTGTTTGCAAATAAGATGACTAACCTCCCAGTCCGCCAGGATCCCGAGGTTTGCCCTCAGGGCTGGAGTTGACAGATCATCACCTCGAGCGGGCTGGTCAGTTCTAAGGACCGCTGGTGCAGCCATCATACAACACGCCCAGCCAAGAGCCAGTGCCAGTGCCAGATACCCGCTTAGCAGTCCCGCCAACGTGACAGCAACGAGCTCAATTCCTCGTAGTGAGCCACATTGGCGCCACGACGTGCCCAACAGCTCTGTATCAGCTCATAAATCTCCAGCACTAGCAGCAGGCCCCCCCTCCCAGCGCAGATATTTCTCGATTTCATGAAGGGTAAGCGCCATGAAGGGTAACAGCAACACCAAACTAAAAACCTAAACCTATGGTTTACACGCTCCGCACCCGTACCCACCCTAACCCCCTAACCAACCCCACCCGTCCCAGTTACCCTTCATGGCTCTTACCCTTCATGAATTAGATCGAAATCCAGCGCAGAACCCATGACCTGAAAGCAACTGTAACTAGACAGAGCACTTCGTGTCGTCATGTAATACCGTAGAATTCTTGCGACTTCAAAGGGTACTTCAAGCCGTCGATTGAGCGGTCGGTCGAGGGATCGGACGACGCTAGACAAAAGGCGGCGGGACCACTGGCCGCCTCCAGGGCGTATCCGCTTCCGTTCAGGTGATGTCAGGAACAAGATCGGAACGGAATCTCATGACGTCCGAGCGCCAAACGAGCTGCGAAGCCGAGGCGAAGCCGTCTCCTCGGTTGAAATCAAAGAGTCTAAAGTTCCTGACTTCTTTTCGATTTCAGGCTGTTGTAAGAAACGGACTGGAGTCAAGCGTTGGAGGTCGAGCGTTGGAGCGTCTCTCAAAGAAGCCAGTGAAAGAGTGAACCTCATCACAGCCCCAATATCAGTGACAGCACTAGCTGCCCGCGCTCCAAGTCGAGGCCAGGTCAGGTCGATAGGCAGGGGGACGTCGACAGGTCCTCAGAGAATCCCAATTAGCCGCCACTACAGCACTGGAACAAGTGCAAGGCATAATACAGCCTGCTGAGACGACAGGTGCAGTACGTTCTTTTCAAGGTATTTGCTAGGATTCTCATGCAGGCGCCTCTAGACTGATCGGGGACTGATCTTAGGCTCAGGGAAAGGTCAAGTTTTAGCTGTTACTTAGTAGACGGTTCACCTTTCGAAATATTTGATTCTGTGAACGATCGATCACGATGTGTCAGCTGCTTGTATTGTAGTCATGCAAGCCTCTCGTAGTAATATTGATCAGTGATCGGAATCCCGTCACACAAAGTGAACCCGTGGGCCTCTAACCACATCTTTCGTTTGACTGGCAGCCACAGAAGGCGTCATAAGACGCATAAATAGACTGAGAAATCAAACATTGACTTTGATCAATGTTGTCGCTCCACTTTCGCTCTTTGCTATGGAGGGCGAGAAGTACTGCTCTGTTTCTGTGACATGTTGAATACAGGAATCGCTGAGCGGTCTGGCCGGCGAGTTGAAGTTGGAACTCAGATGCTTTTCGTTTGCCCCCCTTGCAGGAAAGCTTTCCTGAACCCGAAGCCGCACATACTTGCAATCCGTCTGAACAGCCGGAGAAGAATAAAACAGAAGAATGATTGTATAAGTCAAGGCAGTCTCTCCATGATTGACTCTCGTTTATCGGGCGAATCAGAGCCGCCGTTGCTGATTACCTTCCAATACTATTGGGGGCAACCAGTGATTCAAAATATAGTTAATGACGACGGAAAGATGTCAGGACGCAGCGTTGCGACAAAAGGCTCGTACGTTGCCATGGCAAACACATCTTGAAGTAATTCACATTTTCTCAATGCAAGCAGTCTCGAATATCGTGGACAGCGGAACCTAAGCCAAGCACGTACTCAGAACTTAAGAGCTGCTTGAAAAGCATCTGATGACACTGGGAGGTTATTAGAGCAGGAAAAGTCGTCAAGCAGCGTCATAGTCCTCAGTACTTCACTTTGAAATCAAAAGCAGGTATTTATCTGGCCAGCTAATTACAACTTAAAGTGTACCATCGTTTGTTGACCGTCAATTATATCGCAGTAATATTTTGGGACTACTACAGCTTCTCGTTGCGTACAACTTTCAAAAACTTTCTTCGATCGGAATCCTGAACAAGCTGAAGATATCGTATAGCAGCTCTCCAGATATCGTAAATGCACTTAAGAACATAAATAACGTGCGCTAATCTCGTCCAGATAGTCGTTACACAAATCTGGCGACCTGCAATTTGGAGTAGTACGAAAAGAGTCAGTCCAATCGAAAGCCCCTGCAAAGATGTCAGAAACGTTTTCAAAGGTGCGTTTGAGATCATAATACATTTATGTGTCCTTCAATTTGTGCATCAAATCTATTGCCAGCCTCCGGCGCATGACTCTTTTCTGATACCATATGTAGGGGCCTTCGGACGCAAAAAAGTTAGATGTGTCTGCAAGGCTTACGCTCCCTTAGGCGTCTTCTAAACGTGTCAAAGCCGCCTATACCCAGTTTCTTTTCTCACTCTTCATTCCTCTGAAATGAGATCGTCGGTCGCTTGGCAGGTCATCAGTTTGAACAAAACCACACAGGCTGCAGACTAGACGGCTACATTCACCACTCTTGTCTGGATACCATTCCAGCAAGCAATGGGCACGTCTTACCTCTCGGCCGTCAGCCTACCCTTGCTCCTAGAAACTCCACCAGCGCTCTCCGCTTCTCAGCGCCTGTCCCTGTCAGCGGCAGCCTATAGAACGTCAGCAAGGCGTCAATTGTGTTCTCATCCATCAGCCAGGCAGACTCAATCCCTGTTCCGGGCACTTGCGGACGCTCCCCTCCTCCCGTCTGAGCAGGCTGAGACTCTCTTGCGGACGCTTTCTCCGGGCCCCTTTCGGACCCTTCCCCCGAGCTGTTCTCCCTGAGCTCTCTCCTCACCAGATCTTCGTGAGATTGGAACAAAGTCTTCAGCTCCTTAAGTCGCCGCTCCAGTTCGGCAGCTTCTCCTGGAGTAAGCTCGCCCGTTGGAGCAGAATTTGGCAAGTGTGAATTCTGGGGAGGCTCAAGAGTCTCCTGAATTTGAGCGACCTCTTCCGCGGTGAGCCCACTCCTTTGAGCGCCCAAAGGAGCTGAAGGAGCGGTCTGCCAAGCAAAGTTCGCAGCAGGGCGCTCCTCCGTATCCACAGCATTGGGGCTGCTTGGCAAGACCATGGCTGATGTTTACTCGTCTGCAAACAGAGGTAAGAATTGGAGGATTGATTCACCACAACTGATTCGACGAATGCGCCCAAGTGCGCCTTCTGTGCATGATACGCGTACGCACCGCGCGACGGCCGTCTCGTAGCGGCCGCGCGTGTTCGGGAACTTCGGGGCGCGCAGGGTTTATACCCTTTGAAACCCGTTGTTGACGTCACCCCATTAAGGCTCCAGGCGTTGATGACGTATGCTTGCCACTTGGCTGCATTGCATTGAATGCTGGCCGGCGGCGGAAAGTTGAAAGGCTCAGCTTCTGCACTACCTAGCTGTCCACAGTGTGCACAGCCCTGGAAAGAAGCAGAAATTTGCACTGAATGAGGTGGCGCTCGGCATCAGCTGCGCAGAACCATCCTGCTGAGCTCCGTTCAGGCTTTTTATCCAAGGAAAAATGCTCAGCATTCGCTGCTGTGCCGAGCACATTGTTTTGAATCTCCAAAGTCACTGAAGAAGCCTTATATCCAAGACTTCGCAATCCATTGAGCCCGCCTCCATCGTCCTTCATTGGGTTTTGTCTTAGCGATATTGCCGCTCAACAGGAACCATGGGTTGGCCACCATCCCCTTGGCATTTGCTCTCGCTATTAGGTTTCTTGCTTGTGGTGGGGCTCCCAGCGTGTGTTTCTCAGCTGCCGTCCATCCTTCCAGATCCCCTGGGAGCGCTCCCAGTGGCCACGTGTCAGGCCAACAGCAATGCAACCGCTGCATTACAACCCATAAGAACTCCTGTCCAACTAGGCGTGGACAACGCGGTCACCCTCGATGTTTCCAACGTTCCCAATGTGAGGAAGCGTCTTCCGCCAATGGTGGAAAGGCGTTTGCTTATCATCAAGCAGAGCAGATTCTATCTGACGTGTGCAGATACACTTTTTAAGCGCTCTACTAATTCAAGGCTAGTAAGGCTTAGGAATGCCTACGGATGCTCAGGGACAGACTTTGCACCTATTTCTACTAGATCCAAAAGTGACCTGAACTGGTGAAGCCCTATCAACAGGCCTTCTCCTCTTACCCTTTTGAGCAATCACATCTGCACTTCTGTGAAAGTGACAATGAAGCAGCTCAGTTTGTCTGTTTAAGCTGACTTCTGAACAGCGGAGTACTGGTGGTACATCAAAGCGAGCCTTAATACCATAAAGATTTGCTGTGTGCTGATATGCTCCCAAACCTCAAGGAGAATAGAAGCTATTCGCAGGATTGGATGCAAGTGGAAGATATTTGCTTGTATGAATGTAGCTTCGTTGCAAGGAATATTCAAAAAAGCGCACACCAGGAATCTAGCAAGCCCTTAAGAATTTGATGGCCACAAGCGTCTCTGCCTCAGCAGGCCAGGAGTTCATGACGATAATATGCAAATGATTGAACAAATACCGGAGATGCAACTGCAAAGATCTCAGAAATGGACTTCCATAGCAGCGTTATATAGTTATTCACGTTCTTGTATCGCAGTGCTAAGTTCTTCAAGTCGCTTGTTAACTCAATGCGGGGCCACTTCTCAATCATGTCACTCACTTCCATAGTGTCCAAAGACGGCATGCCACAGTCTTTCTCCGGTCTCTCAACTAACACTCAGATACTGAAGCCTGCTGTGGAGACTCCTCATTTAAAGCTACAACTTGAGCAACAAGCCTTTGTTTTCCTGCAGGTAGGTTATGTGTTCCTGGCAACCAACGTCACGGTCAGTCCACTCCAGTCTTCTCCAAACAAGACCCGAGGCAGCATCTTCATTCCGGAAGAGGGGGTCGATCCGGTTGCTTACGCGCCCTACGCGCGAGCGCTCGCGCTTCAAGGCTACTTTGCAATCATTCTGAACGACAGGTATGGTTGAGATCCGCCCTTGATTGTATCCGTTTTCGATTTTGCGACACTTTTGGCTGACAGACTTAAAAAAGGTGCCCCCAGTATCATCTCTTGGTGAACAATCCCATGTTGATCCATCAACGTTCCAAGAACACTTTTTTGGCCCAGTCGTTTTTAGACACTGCCTGTGATCGAGGGACACTGTTCCAATCAACACGTTCACATGTATCGTAAGCTGGGGTTCACCCGTTTGCTGTCCCATTAGCTTCTCACCACTCACTCAATCTCTGTCCGCGTAATGCGGCACTTGCATTGCGTCTCTTTCTGAAATTGCTCCCGTTATGAAATTGAACCTCCTGATCCCTACACAAGTCCAGTGCCCACTGCAAACACTTTCGCAATGCTCTTTCTTGCCTGGGCCGTCTCGAGAGTACCCCTCTGTTGCAAAGCTCTTCCTCATCGTCAAGGATCCGAAAAAGAGACGCAATAGATTCCCTGCTCGCCTGTACTGTACACCGAAGGTCGTTTACCAACTTCTGGCATCAGCTGACCCACAGACCCGATCTTCATAAAGTTTCACCACTGTTTTATATATCAAGGTGGCCAGCAAGAGCTCATTGGACTTCGAATGGTCTCGCGGTGGCTCCTATTATATCAGAGTCCACCTCTCGTTTAGCCTCGCTTTTACCAAGCTTCTCGTCGATTCCCGTTTTCATTAAGCTCTCTTTCACTTCCAACGTCACCTTGCGCAGAGCCGTTTGGCGTCATGCCAACTCAAACCGTCCTTGTTTCCGTAGCCATTTACCCTGAGAAACCTGCTACGAAGCTTCTTGTAACATCGATTAACCTGCTAAAGAACATTTTCATCTAATAAACCTGCTAATTAACCCCCTCATCCTTCCGTTAACTTCTTCCAGGACTGTCGATGCAGTCGTCGCTGCCATGGAGTTGCGTTCCGACGTGGAATACTGGGTCCTTGGAGGCCACGGGAAAGGGGGCACTTTGGCAGCCAGACTGGCAAGTCTCTGGGTGCCCAAAGTCAAGGGCCTGGTCCTTTTCGCTGCCGCGCTGCCAGGCAAGTCTTTCCGCGATGCCTGTCACTTTTTAATTCCGAAGGGATGCGTGAAATCTGAGAGAAGATTCAGCGACCGAAAACAAACATTCAAAATGTCAGATCCACTCAGTTTGCGAGCTCCGCTTATGTGTTCAGCTCAAAGCCAGTCCCACTCCCGAGTCACTCGCATCTGCAAACGCGAGCTCGAGAATGCACTCCCCTCGGAATCGTCTTGGAAGAGGCGAGGGTGCCTAAAAGCAATTCGCGAACGAGACTCGCTCCCGCTGGAGAGGGAACGCTTTGCCCTCCTGACTCGTTTGCTGTGTCGCTTGCAAAGTACCTTCGCTGCATCAACATACTAGATGAAACGAAACCCTTCTTCCTCAATTCCGTCCAATCGCTGCGTACTTGGTATGTACTTGGAGCTTCGCAGGCAGGACACTGCTGCAATTCGATTCCTTTGCAAACCTGCATCTGCTTGAAGCATTTACAAATCAGCATAGTAAAGGACGGCTCAATCCACTTCATTCCCGTTCCCCGTAGCTGTTCCCCACGTCGCTGTTTCTAGCACGCTTCTATGCGGCCTGCCTTACTTCACGGACTCCTTTGTATTCTTCGCTGCGGCAAGCCGTTCCACAACGCACATCAACCTTGAACAAGAGTCGAGTACGCAGCTTTTTTGGGGTCGGAGCATCGCTTCCGGTCGATGTTCTGCCACCAACGCGTGCGGTCAGCTAAATGACATCGTTCCGTTGGTCAACATCTTTATTCCGCCGGACTGCGTCCGTTCCGTCACCGGCTGAGCGACCTGAACCCGAACTCCAAATCTCAATTTATCTTTTCGCGCAGCGTCCCTTGATCTGTCCGCCGTCAACATCTTCGTCACCCACGCGTACGGGTCCGCCGATGTCATCGTTCCGCCGGAATCCGTCCGCTCGGACGCCGCCCGGCTGCCGCCGGACGCCTGGCTGGTGCCCTTCAACCTGGGCCACTACGATTTCGCGTACGGACAGTGCGGCAGAAACGCACTGAATGGAACGGAAGGCTCGGGGCTGACACAAGGAACCGCCACGACAATCACGCAGCTCTTTACGGCTCCCGTCGGGTGAGCTTCTTCCGACCAAGCCCGGCAGGCACTTTAGCCGGTGTCTATTGGGGAAGGATAAGCATTGCTTTTGGGCAGGCGTAGCAGCCGGGAAAGGAAAGAGTGAAACGAAACTTATCAGAGGGATAGAAGTTACTGGACGTGATCTGCAGGAATACACCGATGCGTTTCAAACCCGTGTGTCGAAGACTAATGTACGAGTCGTGACAGAGTTATTTGCAATCTAACGACGACAGAATTCAGCATCGTCAACTGCAATAGGCAGAAAGGGATCGGTTTCTTTGACTTCGTTCTGCTCCGTCAACCAGCGGAATCGAAAATCGCAGAACAGCGATGCCATTTGTCCCTATCGGAGTGAGAACTAGGCCGAGGAGGAAGAACCAAAACGCTGTAAGCAAGTCAAACGGCCTCTGCAGCGCAAGTGCTTAAATCGGGATTCTCGAACAAAGATTCACTACTCTGAGCCGTTGTTCATCCCAGTCGTGTAGGACCTATGAATTTCTTTTCAGGTTGGCCCAGTGGTTCGAGGCGACGCCTCGTGCACTTTCCTTCGGCAACAACTCGCTCCTAACCCCGGGGCTCAACACGTCCAAACCCTACCCGGTTAACTCAACCGGGACGGTCACGTTTCAATCACTTCCTATTCCGGGCACGCTACCCCAGCGGTATTGGTTCGTCTTTTCGCCGCCAGCTAGCAGCACAACCGGGGGCCTGATATACTATCCGGGTAAGTCATGTTCGCCGACAATTTTGTGACGGTCAGGTCAAGTGAAGATGCTACTAGTAACTCTTGCTTGCCCGCGTTTGTTGTGCGAATGGGTATAATTAGCATGTGTTGGTTGTTCGAATTTCACGCTTGGCATAAGATGCGCAACCCTCGCTTCCTAGACAGGCAAGGTGTCACATCCAAAGCACTCCTGGTTAGAGGGCTCCGCGCTTTCTTCGACCATCTTTTCTTGAAAAGAAGGGCTGTTTAAGCACTAGTACTGGGTCTGGAAAACGACGGGAATTTTTATACTACGTGCGCCTCGTCAAGCAATGAGCACATCTGCTCAACAGCCAGACCTTCCTGTGACGGACAGTCTTCCTTAATAGAAGACTTTCGGACAGGGCTTTCCAGCAGGCTTTGACTACCTCATTCTAGACAGTAGTCGACCAAGCAGAGCCAGATGAGCAACGGGAATTCACTATCAGCGATCCTTCTCGCGACAGGAGCTGCCGTCGATAGCCGGGCTTACTTCCCCATCGCGTTTGACATTGCCGCTCGCGGCTGGCTGGTCGTGGTTGTGCAACAAACCGCGCGCGCCAGCCCTTTCTTTCCAAATGACGCAAGCACGGTCCTCGCCTCCAACGACACAGCGTTCGCCCACGTGTCAAACTCCAAGTGGGCGATCGGCGGGCACTCGGCCGGGGGCTCAGGCGCATCTGCGTTCGCGTTAGCAAACCCTGACAGGGTTATCGCGTTGGTGTTGCATTCGAGCCGGTTGACCGCGAATGCGTCCTCGTCTGGACTGCCGATCGTTAACGTTATCGGAACGATTTGACGGGGTGGCTGCGCCAGGAGGTCCCCCTGAATACGCGCCTACCTTAACGGTAAAGATAGAGGGCGGTAACCATTACCAGATAGGTGATTATGGATACCAGTATCCGGACAACGTGGCGGTGATAAGTCAAGAAGAGCAGCAAGCGGAGTTTGCCCAAGTGACAGTGGACTTCTTAAACGGCCCGTTGGCCAGGACACGGGTTTAGAAAGTCTCTTGCAGATGGCGCGCGCGTTGCACACTTTCTAGGCTTTTATTCGTTGTCGAGTCGAGATGGAGGGCGTACAGCTCCTTTGCAGAATCTTTCGTTGACCACTGAGAGATCTTGTCAAGCGTGACGGACTTCGTTGTAGATAATCTGGGACCATTCCGATCCAATTGAGTCCATTTTCTGCCCAGCTTCAATGTACTAAAGGGTCCACTGATGATCCTTTGCAAGCATGCAGTCTCAAGGAGACGATATCCGAGACGTAGTGTCTTCACAAAATGGTCGAACATGCATACTTAAACCGGACATGCATACTTGGAATGACGAAGTGAGGCACTGTGTGAGTACGCGTCTTCGTGCAGCTCTTAGTCATAGAGCCTTAATCGGAAGGAACGGACGGAAGCAACTAATATTGATGTATTGAAGCCCTCACTCGATCATGCTTGGGGACTCGTCCTTCCAAAGAAGCACCAATAGAGCGGCTTGTGTATCAGATGACTAAAGAACAATATCCTGATCGAAGTCTACAATTCTTGCTGCCAATGCGACGTTCCTTGAATTGAAAGCAAATGCCGCGCGGCGCGCCATCAAATCAGGCCCGAGGACACGAGTAGACACGGCATGGACGGTTCTGTCGTCCGGATTCTGATGATCCGAGTCCCCCGGCTTGGCCGGGCGACAGGCGCGACCGACGCGCGCGGCTTTTTGACACGGCCGCCCGTGCCAGTCAGCCGGGTTTGCTGTCAAACTACCTACCTGGGTATTACGTAGCTATGATGACTGACCAATTAGAAACCAGTCTGCCCGCGTATAATAACACCTGCCCAGCATATGCCCCCTGGCCACACTTCCCACATGGTCCACGTGGCTCGTCGCGTTCGTACTGTGCTCACTGCTGGCTACCTGGCTCTGCCGCTGATACCGTGCGGCGTGTACCTACCGGTGCATAGCAGACTGCACTACATAGGTCAGCCTGCGCCATGGAAAGTGGAAGCTATCATCCCAGCGCTGGATTGAAGATTCTGAAGTGCCCGCTTTGAGTTTGAAAGATTCAGCGTTTGTTCAGGACCTCACACGAGCTGCAAGACCAAGACCCTAGTCGTAAAACTGCTGCGGCTCACTCGCTAGGCAGATATTTCAAGCGTTTTTCAGATTAGCGAAAGCCACATTATCCAACAGACTCTATCAGACTCCAAGGCACATCAACTTGTGTCATCCGGTTGCACCGGCTCTTTCTGACAGAAAGTTACCGAACCACCTCGCACTCCTAGTCAGATGAAGCTTGTCATGTGCTGGGTAGCAGCGACATTGTTTCTGGTACAGTCAATGACGTGTCGCGCTCTGAGCGAACCAGATGCAGCCAGCAGGTGGCTCTCAAGAGGACGTCCGAGGGTGCTAGTCTCCGCAGGTGAGCCTTCCTCTCTGAGGATCTCTGGCTACTTTCATCTGCTCTGGTGCAATATATCTGTTCATCGCTCATGATATGAGATCAGAATGCCCTTACCTTTGTTACAAGTCCGGCTCTGCATTCAGTGCCATCCGCCCTCATCTTGCTTGATCATTTTGCGCATTAGTCTACTCTAATGCGCCACTAAGAATCCAGTCTGACCTTTGTAGGTCCAGAAAGCACAAATAAGGATTGCAGCTTTCTTTTCAGCTTTCCTTTCCATAGATATTCGGGGGAGTCTGAGAAGAGAGTTGGAGGACCTTCTTTGTGGATGACGGATCATCAGCATCTCAGAAAGCTCTTTAAAAGGGGTTCTAAGGAAGTCAGCAGAAGCCCAAAGAGCACCCCGGTGTTTTGACTGATAATCTTTTCTTTGCACGATAAACTGGTTCCAGATTTATTGTGCGTCGCAACGTTGTTGCATCATCAGGTTGACAGCTGTCCCCTTGTTCTGCTGCAGATGCTAATGGCACTAGTGCTCTCTGCAACCCCCCTTGCTTGAATGGGGGAGTTGGGGCGGTGGGCACATTTCTGATCTTTTTTACCAGAGCGTTCTGCCTTTCAAATCAAGTAGGACAGATAAGGCAGCCACGCATAGCCACTAGCATGGCCTGAATTAACTACATACTTATCAGAACCCGTGGAAGGGAAACGTGTCAACAAGTCAAGCCTACGTGTCAACAAGTCAAGCCTACGTGTCAACAAGTCAAGCTTTCTTTGTTGACCTCAAATTCAGATCAGGAGATGTCCTTGCAAGGGGCCTCCTCAAAAACCAGATGACAAAGAATCTCATTTCCTCAAATTTGCATTCTTTGTTCAAAGGATGACTGGTCGGTGTCCACAAAAGGAGGCATGCTACTGAATCACTGGTTGGAATGTTTCTAGGCTGGGGTTGCAGTGTCTCTGAAACATCAAACGTTGAAGGCCAGGATAAGTTCAATCATACAGTCGATTGGCGACAGGATTGTCCATTAAGCAGATTCAAAGGACAAAGAAGCTTACTTAAAGTTCCTAGGCTACTTAGAGCAGTTCCTTGATGCAGGGGCACATGGGCTATGCTCGTGTGCTCTTTCCCTTAACTTACGACTTGCACATCAGCAGTCTGATATTTTGCTGAAGATCTCCTATGTGACCTCTTTTGTCAGATCAGGGTGATTCGAGATTTACCAAGGGAAAAACATTCTTCGCTTCTATTGACAGTTGATTGCAAATGGAACCTGCACTTGCACGTGCCCCGCACCTGACATCAATGCGGTAGGGAGCTCGTTCTACACGTAAGCGCTGTCACTCCTTTCAATCTGTTGTGTGTGTTTATGAGTAGGCGCTGTTGCTGAGCTCTCGTCCTGACGTCTGATCTCATATTGTGAACGGCATGAGTATGCTCTTTTTACTTGACACGTACGTGAGGTCTAACGAGATAAGGTGCGGGGTGATATTAGTTGATCTTTGAATTCTGATTATTCTATCTGCCAAACCGAAAATTAGGTAAACTTAGGAAATTTGACGATACCCTTACTGGATCTCATCGAGCTGGGGGGCGATCCGGTGAGCGAAAATTTCACCCCAATTGATAGCCGTGTTTTCGTAAGTTGGAACGTGGTAATTTTCTGTTCAATTGAAGCCAAGCCGAACAAAAAGAAAAAGGGGCGAATGCTGATTATTGCGCGGATCCCCAGTTAGCGGCCTTCAGTGCAGAAATTATGGCGACTCTATGCATCGGCTTTCACTGACCTGCAACAAGGCAGCGCTGTTTCAAATTGCTGCAACAGAGTCACTGAGGAGTCATTGAGTACGAGAATTGTGAAAGTGTATGGAAACAATGCAGATAGTGTCCGATTGATGGATCGTTTAAGAAGTTGTGATACTGTAACCAGAAGACAAAGCTGAGCGTGTCAGGTCGAGGAGTATCGTTGACGAAGATTGTGCAAGCATAAGAATGCAACGAACGGTGATCGTCTCCGCTGCCATCATGGCAGCGCTTGCCGGTGCAATAAGAAGGCAGTTCTGCGCCATGCCACCAAGACACGTGCCCTGCCTTGCCAGACTTCAATCGTCTCTACCGTACTCCTTTTCAACGTTTGATACGAAACTGAACATGTTAGCACATCGGTCACGTTATCAAAGATGATCAGAAAGAGACCTCTGCTGACTGGTTTGCTCTCCGACACCCAGTGGCCTTCAGTGCGAAACGCCGGCGGTTTTGTGCGACTCGACGGGCTATTACTGCGCCAATGGGGGCCAGTGCCCTGCCACGTGGCAGCCGGGAGGGGCCTGCACGTGCCCGGACCCCTTCTACGGACCGCAGTGCCAATTCGTCGGAGTGCAGTGCGGCACTGTCTCGTGCCAAAACGGTGGGAGGTAAGTATCGCTCTCTTCTTTTCTTTCCGCCAAAATGCACAATTTACAACCTCGTGTTATCGACTTTCCAACGAGGGCATGTATATGTTGTTGATAGGTCCTGTGCCAGAACGCTGGGAGGTAATGATCGCTCTTCAGTGACCTTGGAATCTGTCTTATCGACTCCTTTGCAATAGGCGCATTACTAAAACGCTTTTCAGGCCGTAGGACCCGCACGACGCGGCTCAATCTTGCACGCCAAAAGCGCTGGTAAATAAGGCGTAGGAAAGGGCGCTGCTTTTGCTTTAGTGCCCTCACATTCCCTTCCAAGACGCCTCACTGCAAGTAACTCAGCTCATCATCGTATTGTAGAGCTCAGCAGCGCAGGCCGCCCGAATACAGTGCGGCTCCGTTTCGTCTTAGAATTTCGCTAAATTGCGGGCTTAATGTCGAGGTGGGTCTCCCGTCCTCTGAGCGTCACTGTCATTTGCCATGCAGTAGGCAGCATAGAAGGTCGTCTAGATGGTCAGCTACAGGGGAGGAATCAGGCACGAGCGAGGCCTTCAACGTATCTCGTGCACAACGAGCGGAAGATGCGCTCGTCCTGCGACTTGTTTTGAGAATGGATTCCAACGCTCTAAAAGGCCCCGTCACTGCCTTTTCTTCTGACGGGTACCTATGTTCACTGAAAAAGGCCCTATCCTTACCAAGTCCTGCCCGCCTTCACGGGGCCATGCATCTTGTACGAAACTCGCAGGTGCGGTGCCGCTCTGGACATCGAGTCGCTGACGTGCGGTTGCGAATGGTCATCAACTTTTCAACATTTCTGCAGATGCGTATTGCCATCGTACGTGTTTGCGACGAGTGCACTAAATACCAAACGTTTTGAATATAAATCTCTCCTGGCCTGACGCCCTCTTCCTTGCGAGATAAGCGCGCGCTTCAATGTTTCACCTGCTACTGCAGATGCGGCGCTGACGTCAACAATCAGCCGACGTGCGTGTGCCTCGCTGGCTATACCGGTTCCGACTGCTCCGAGTTCAACGTCACTTCGTACTTTTCCGCCGTCCGCAGCAACTACAACGGAACCGGACCCATGTACAGGCGTCATCGTCACCATACGCACGTGAGAGAATGAAGTCTGCAAGTATCCTTAATTGCGAATAGCCTTAGTTCGCGTGTATCCTTTGTTTTCGAGAATCCTTTGTCTGCGTGTATCCTTTGTTTGCAAGCAATTAGTTTGCGCGTATTCATTTGCGCGTCTCCTTGGTTTGCAAGTATTGTTGGTATGCGGTTCCTCTTCGTTCGCAGGCAACCAGCGAAACAGCTCAAACGAAAGAGCAGTGTCCTTCCGTTCTTTTACCCTCTATTCAACGTTAGCTCGTGTTCCGGATCGCCTGCGATTCCGCTGCACCTTAGACGGGAGCGGGCAGACTCACGGAAACGGATCCTCAGCTGACGAGCTTCGACTCTGAAGGGGGCGGTCTTCCTTTCACATCCCTGCTCATTCAAAATCCGGCTCAAGAATATACTGGCCGCTCTTATTACCAACCTTGTGGGCAAGGGAATGATTTAAAGATCGACCAAACCCTAAAATGATCATCTTGCGAACCAGACCTCCGCAGTGTAGGACCTGCAGGAGCAGTGTGTGTCGAGTTACGGGTCCGTCGAAATAGGTCACGCCTGGGAGACAAGTGGGATCGTTGTGGGGTTTAGGGAGGGTATGGCCGTGCGGAGCATGTTATCACTGGGTTTAGGCCTTTACGTTGTCCGAGCCCAAACTATCAAGACAACGAGCCCGAACTATCATGATTCTTTTGTTTGAGTGTCTTTGTTCCCCGTTTTTAAGCGTTCCTGCCTCCTTTTCCGTTCTCAAGGCTGCTTTTGCTCCATCTTGTTTTTGAATTTCCAAGCCATGGTTCGAAGATCTTAAAACCAGGACAAAATATTATGCAGTGGTACTACATCTTCATCGGCGTTGTCGGAGGCTGCGCGCTGTGCTGCGTCCTGTTCGTTGCCACGTGTCTCATCTTGCGGCGGCGGGCGGCCGCGCGCGTGCCCAAGTCGATGAAGCGCGAGTCGCTTGCAAATCAAGACACCGCAGTACAGGCAAGCTTTTCCGCTGTCCTCCTTTTCGTTCCGTGGTCCAGCGTTCATTTATTTTTGGGGTGAAGTATGATACCCTTGAGTTATAGCACTGGGATGGGTGAGGTCAATTATGGTGTTTTTGGCGATGGGCACGGGTGCGCCGGAGCGGGGGAAGTTTGGGTTATCTTACTGGTGTCGGCTTCGTTGTTGTAATATGATAACCAAATTAGACAACTATCTACCTTTCCGTCTTGCTCTCGCCCAAGGTGCCATTTCGTCCACAGTCCCTTTTGCGACTCTGCCGTGGTCAGGCGTCTGATTAGGTGGCCGCCGTTTGAGTCAACAAGTGCCTGACCGGTGCCCTAACCAGTGCCCAAACACCCACTACAGTAGGAAACAGTTGCTCGCGCACCTGGGCAGCGCTCCCGCTTTCTCTCACTGTCTCCTCGTTCTAGTTCGTCTTTTCAATCGCCTTTTGTGGCGACATGCGCACGGCGAAAACGCGACTGGCAGTGCATACCCAATTCGAAGAGTAAGCCTCCAACGCCAGAAGATCGTCGTCGAGGCGCGTTCATATTTTCCCCGCTTCTTCAGATTCGCTGCTTCTCGAGGATGCTATTCTTTCCCTGCGTGTCGTTCCTTTCCCCTCGTTTAGGTATCGTCCGGAGGAGGGCTGCTATTGGCAAATGACCCAATGAAGTCAAGTGGGCTCGCAAGCAAGACACTGCTTACCAATACAAGTCTTTGTTCTGTTGCGTTACTGCTCCTCTGCTTCCTTGTTTCTTCCCTTCTTCCGCTGTGCGCTTCTCTTCTTTTCATTCCTCTGTCAGAAGGTAATTTTGGACGGCAAACATTCAATCGACTCGGCAGAGTCCAATCATCCGCAAATCACAGCGGGGCAATCAAGCGTTGCCTTTTCTGATTTGTGCATACTTGGAATGGCCCTTGAAAGGCAAGCCTGAATACCGAACGGTGTGACCACGTTCGACGTCGAGATTTACCAAACGAGGGATCTTGTCGTGCTTCTTGTCTTGGACCTGTGGTTAAGATCAACCGAATTCGTTGCAAAGCGTCTCCCTGAGTCAAGCGTGTCCGGTGGCGGCCCAGCGAATCGTGGACTTCTAAGCAATCATTTCGGTCGGGCAGCAGTTACGTCTAAGACGACTGTTAGAGTCGAGCCGTCGATATGGGTGCGTTACAGTCATCGAGGGCGCAAACTCATTCCGACTCTCCATGTCCTTGCAGATGTCACCTCACCACTTCGCACCTGCAAACGGAGTCTGAAAGAACTGTGACCATATATTACCATCTCGATCGAAGTTGCACAAGTGAGCTATGCGCACAAAGACCTAGCTTCCTGTAAATTCTTGAGTCTTTGGGCTGCATTTGGTAATTTCTTGGAAATCCGTGCGGCTACTAGCTCCTTTGTCGGCGGATATATCGCTAGTAAGGGAGAAATTTCAAGGCATCAAAGATAGCGTATGATGACTTCTTGGTATAACTGGCATGACCGGTTTCAGATGCATATTGCAGTCAAGCAAACACTAAATGTGGCCCAAGTGGCACCATCCATGTACAGGCGCCTTGTGTGTAAAGAATATCAACCTGGACGGTACTTAGTCCGTGCTCAACGGCATGGACTCTTAACATCAGAACATGATCAGATCACAAGCCACTTTTGAAGGCGCTGAATTTCTGAATGACGAGCCTGTCGGACGGTGCATGTGAAAATAGTTATTCAGCGCCAAGCATGGGAATTCACATGGACTGCGATCCACATTATATGCACTCGACGGTGGCCATCATCAATGATTGGCATCGAAGTAGTATACAAGATGATGCAAGATATATCTGTACACAGAGGAATCATACATGCGTTGCGTCGCTGTTTACTTAGAGGTAGGCGATCATGTTCGCAAACGTTGCATAACACACGTTGTATCGGTACATCGATAGTCCAAGCTAGTGAGTCAACCGTCCAGAGGATCTCAAAGAGGCCGGACGGTTCGGCCTAATGTTCGTATATATCAACGGGAGGTACAACCAGATGTTAAATCAAACTTGAAACAAGGGGCATGGCAATCAGGTAAAGCTTGCGCTTTTATTGAGCTACTGATTTCAGATCCACATACGCGCATGGACCTCAACTTCGGATGATGGCAGCGCCCTCCTGGACTGTGACTATAACCTCAATTCAATTAGACGCGTCCTATAATCACCAGGCTCACAAGACGATATGTGCTTTTGTGATTTAAGCCACCGGTTTCTCCTAGAGCTTTGCGAAGTCGTCGGATGGTCCTGCAAACCCCTATCTCGACTGTCAGTCACTCGACCTAGGCAGCAAGCTGCTGCTTCCAGTACTCTTAGATTCTAAAACAGATTTCTATACACCCTACCACAGGACAGATCCCGGTGGCTGATCCCCCGAAGTTAGCCGTCTTTCCTGAAAAAGTACGTCAGAGCGGCTATCTCTTCTTGGTAGCTGCCAAAAGCTTGTCTCGTTCCTCGGTGACTCGCATTAGCTGCTGCTCGAGCTGTTCGATCAGCTTCGTTTGAAGCCCGTCCTTCCTGCAGGTATGAAGTAAGCGGCTGGTTCATTACATGATACATTCCGAGATCTCTTCAGCTTTTCCAATACTGCTCTGCTCTGCAAAACATTACGACTTTGCTAGCTCGCCACTCGCGCTTTTCTGTGCACAAGCGTTGCTCGCGAAATTGTAGCACCTTCCGCTTCATACGGCTGAACAGGGAACCAATACGCGGTGCTTGTCTTTACTGTCTTGATGGACAGCAAGGACAAACGGAAAGGGTTTACGGGCCGGGTTTCAAAGCTCGAGGTCTTCTGCAACAAAGATAGAACGTAAAAGAAGGTCCAAACTCATTCCCACAAAGTCGGTCTCCTAGAATCAATCTTTGAAATCCAAACATTGATATTCACAACCCACAACTTTCCATCCAACCCACATATCCAAAACGAATCCAACATGGATGTTGCAAAACGATTAAACCATATTCACATTGCAGCTCATAACTCACAACAAAACCATGATAACCACATCTGACCCTCAATCGCAGACCTCTTTCCTCTCCTTACTTGTTTAGGAACGTGAGGTACTGCTTGAGCCCCCGGTTTTCTTCCTCCAGTTGATCGGCCTTCTGCGCCTTGATCACTAGTTGAAGTTGCGTGACGTCATGAGACGGCGCCACGACAGGAGACACGACGGGAGGGCGCACAGGAGCAGGTGGTTTCGATTGCGGTTGCGGTTGAGGAGTCCTGCATTCGGGCACATTTTGTTAGTTGGAAGAACTGAATCTCTAAACCCATCTCTAATCCAATTCCATCCCCTCTCTAACCGATACAGCAGGAGATATGAAAGGGTGCGCGTTGGGGCTACCGGTTTCAATTGCGGCTGCGGTTGATAAGTCCTGCGTTCGGGCCCTTCTTCTTTGTTAGTTGGAGAACTGGATCTCTAACCCATCTTCAACCCGTCTCCATCTAATATCTGACCAATACAGCAGGAGGTATAAAAGGGTGCGCGTGTGGGGGCTGGCGGTTTTGATTGCGGCTGCGGTTGAGGAGTCCTGCATTCGGTCACTTCTTGTTACTTGGAACATGTGTCTTAGAAAGAAGTCCTGAAATCAATTGGTTAAAATAACCCTCTTACAAACCTCTTCGACAACTTCAGCAGAAGCGCGTCTGGTGCAGTTGAGGAGTCCTGCATTCGGGCGGATCTTAAGGGTCAGGAGGACTGATAATTCCAGACCCCTCTCTGACGGATCTTTAACCCACATCCATCCCAATCCTAACCCACTACCATCCCACCTCCAACCGGTCTCTTACCCAAAGGTTTAACCAGGTTGCTTTCTTCAAAAAATCCACATTACCCATCAGTAGACCCGTACTTGTGAAGGGAATCAGATAAGCGCTTCGACGGTGTCTGAACTTTAAGAGTCGGTGCTCAGAAGCAGCTGCATGGATAACTGCGACAGGTGCACATCAGCCGGCCGCAAAACGTGGGGCCCGAGAGGCAACATAATGTCAACCAAAAGATTTGAAGGCTTTGGGTAGCAGCGTTGGGGCAACTACGGCTACAATGGGGAAACCTGCATCGAGGTCAACAGAAGTGTTGCGTTGAAGCAAGCACCCCAAAGTGACGTCAGCTTTTTCCCGTCTCATGACGATAACCCGCAGTGGAAGCGAGCGACATTCGGTGCTGACGGCCTGCGTCCGGTGCGAAGTCGACCGACTTAAAAGCGGGGGCGGCACACTATCTCGACTCGGAAAGCAGAAACGCGTCTGGTGTGAAAGTGGGTCCCACACGAAGGATTCGCGCCGAGCAGAATTCAAGAGCGCCTTTGCAGAAAGTAAAAGCGGAGAAACGAGGGAACCGAGGGCGCTTACTTGCGCGGCGCCGGCTTCGTTTCTTTCTCCCCCCGGCCCCGCCTCTTTGTTTCCGCCGGCTTTGCAATGGGGGGCTTTTCGGACGTCCGGATCTCGGAGTACGCGCGGACCACCTCGCTGATGCTGGAGCTGGTGCGGCCGAGCCCCAGAGCATTGTCCGAAACATCTGCGGACAGAAGTTCAGGGTTTAAGAAACATAGAAAGGCAAAGTTCTATCCATTGTTTAGCTTTTCGGACGTCCAGATTTCGGAATACGCGCGGGCCACTTCGCTGATGCTGGAGCTGGTGCGGCCGAGCCCCAGAGCGTTGTCCGAAACATCTGCGGACAAAAGCTCAGGATTTAGAGGGCATAGAGAGGCAAAATGCTATCGAAACATTTGAGGACGTCCGAATACTGGAGTACGCGGCACTTCACTAATGCTGGAGCTGGTGCGTCTGAGTCTTAGCCCGTTATCTGGAAAATCTATGAAAAAGACTCAGTGGAATCACATGTAAGGTTTCAAACAGAGTATCACAGAATCCCAGGGTCTGACAGGAACAAACTGTGGGATTGAGAGTGACCGACCGTCCAGAACGTGCTAAGAGTGCACGGGAACGACCTGGGTATGCTGACGTAGGTGCTTACGAGCTCAGTGTCGAAATGGACGACGGCCAAGCTGGATAGTGAACGTGAAGTTTCGACGGCTGCAAATTGTACGGTCATTGGAAACCGGGTCCGTGTCTCTACGCTGACGGGTCAACGACCAATCGTTCAAAATCGTTGTACACACTAATTCAATCGGGGAGAGGACGCTTGCATGACGACGAGCATATTTGATTGCAGCTTTTGAGGGGGGACTCCCGATTCTTTTGAAGTGCCTTGAAAGAAGTCCACGTCCCTGCAAGGAGAAGTGGTGGCAAGTGGAGAGCGCTCATGGATAAGCGAATCTCAAAAATGGAGAATCTCAAGAGGAAACATCGCCAGACGTTCTTCGTTGTCGTTGTTGGAATATCTGACAATTCCTACACCAATGCAAGAGCAGATGAGCGGGTTGAAAACCCCTTTTTAAAACAAAGTCTCAGCCCGAAGGGGCAAAAGGAACAAACGGCGGTCTAATATCTTGTTCTGGCTGCAGTCGGAGCTTACAGCAAAAGTCGTAAGTCCCACCGCCACTGCCGAGGGACAAAAACTCTCCATGCTTGACGTCACGGGGTTTCTAGCTTCGAACACCATCCTTCATCTTCATCTTCTGACAATCGACGATCGACGCAAACGCTGTTCGCGGGGCACTCACTGCTCGACGAGCGCTTGACAGGTGGCAGCATCTCAGTGGACGGCCCCCGCTTCCGCGAGAGGCTGCCCGGGTCGCTGCTTGCCGCCCGGAGGGGCTCGATCTTTTGCGCTGACGTCAAACCCTTGAGGGGCTGCGGCCGGCCCCGGTGGCGGGGCTGAGTGAGGGGGACGGTCATGAGGGGAGGGACTGACGGATTTTGCGCACCTGCAAAAGTCGCGAAAAATCAGAGCGGGATGAGTGAGGAAAACGGTCATGAGGGGAGGGACTGAGGGATTTTTCGCGCCTGCAAAAGTCGCAAAAGATCAGAGCGGGATAAGTGAGGGGGACGGACCGCGGGGTCCGTCCGCCTGAGAAAGAGTCAGAGGGTATGGATTGAGAAACATCTCTTTCTCGGTTCTCCTTCGCGAAAGTGAGTGAGGGGAACGGTAGAGGGGAGGGACGGATATCGCGCGTTACATCGCGATTTTAGAAGTAACAGTCGTCGTTTACGTCCGGGACGGTAGCATGTCAATTCAGGAGGGCAAAGCTGAGTGCGAACAAGGTGAGATGTCAATCCTCGAGAAGAGTTCCAAAGATCAGTTTCAACCCTCACCCGCGTTGCCTGAAGCGCCCTCTGATTGCGTAATGGAGCTTGGGAAAGGCGAGTCCGGCAACTGCGCGTCTAGCAGTTCTCGCAACCGTGGGGATAGGTACGACAGGGGGCTCTGGTGAGGGGACTGCCGGCTGCCGCGGATCGGTACCGTGGTTTGTTGGTTGGTTCGGTTGACCAGCCTGGCGGAACGAAAGCGTTGCAATAACTTAGCTGAGGTGCAAAAAGATGCATTGCTTCCTGGTGCCAAAGAAAGACATCTGCGGCAGCTTCAAATAACGTACTCCAGAGCAAGACAAGTGCATCAGGCCAGTTTCAGAGAAGGAATCTGAAATAATGAGTACACCAGTTAAAACACCATTTTGCACCCTAGCTCCGCACTGACCTGCTTTTCGAGTTCAGATTCAGTCTCAGTTCAGTATAGAGGATCCTGCAGAGCAATCCGCACCATCGATTGTACCAGGTGTTGACTCGAATTTCAGACCCATCATCCTTTCTTTTCACCAAATATATAACTCTAGAATCTACTACCCTGTTCGTCCACCAGTCATCAGGTTTCGAAAGCTGCTGCCCATCTCAAACCCACCTCTTAAGCTCTTCAGCCATGTCCGGCGGCCGCTCCTTCTCCGGTTGCCCGTTATTTACATCGCCCGGCCCCTTACTCACACCCGCTTGTTCCGTTTTCACACCGTTTTCTTGCGCGGGTCTCGAGGCGGCCGCGTTTTCGGCCGCTGCCTTTGCCCAAACCACCGCAGGATCCACCTTCCCCTCGTCAATTGCTTTCATAACGTTATCTGCGGAGTACCCTTTTTGTTCAACCAGCTTACGCAGCTCAAATGACCGGCTCCGGGTGTAACGGATTGCCGGAGAGGGCGCCTTTGGTTGCGGCCGAGCTGCGTTTGCTACAGGTCCCCCGTTTTGAGCCCCCTCTTCTCTGCAGGTTAGGAAAATAACCGGGTTAGGAATCATGCAGTTTCGTTGTAGGCCTTTGAAGTGTCAGATTGATGTTGGGTGGATCACACTGCCTGGCTTGCAGTCGCTTTTGACATTCAGGACCAGAGACCTGGTGGTGGTCTAGAACTGACGATCTCAATGCACAGGTGTTCAACAGAGTGCCTTAAGATAACTCCTAAAGCAACCGCTGTTTATGGATTGGGCGATATTGAGCAACCGACTTGTTGGAACAGGTTTGCTCCAATGCGTGAAGCCGGCAAGAACCGACTTTCGCAGATTGAGCATGCCCCACAACAATGTAACGAAACCTGAAAGGAAGCCAGCACTCGCATGCGCAAAGGTTCTATCTCCATTCCACTCACACTTCTCTTTCCAAACAAGCAACAAGTCGCAGCCTTCCTTGCTTGAAGAGCAACAAAAGACCTGAACGAGGTTTGCTCTCACTTCTTCGGCGTGGGGGTGTTTCCCAGCTTATCCCAGTCAAAGAGGCTCGAAAGGAACGTATCCGTTGCGGCAGGATTCCCGTTGTCAACGTTACCATTGTCAACGTCCCCCATGCTGACATCAGCGGAGGCCGGGGGCTGCGTTTGCTCGACGCTCCCGTTGATGCCCTCCTCGGTGTCGATCCTGGCAGCAAAAACAGTGTACGTTTGAGTACCCAAATGAGCAAGACTAAGAGGGAGAAGATGGAGTCCGACTGATCGCAGCATGTAGTCAGTTTGAGGATACTTTCGCATGGTTTGGGGAGGAAGTGAGTGGCTCTTCAGAACACCCATGATACATGCGAAAGACGGCTGGTTTGCAAGTCGTGCGCAGGGCAGAGACATTCGCAAAACAGAGAGCAAAGGGCTATATCTGAGAAGACGTTATTCCGCAAAACCGTGTTGTATGCCTCGAGAAAGGCTCACTAAACGTGCAAGCCAGAGAGAATTTTATTCTGAACATGGTTTCATCACATCGTCAAGTTGGAACAAGCACGGCTGACAATCAGGTTAAGCAACACCACCTCAGGTTGATTGCTACAAAACATTCACAAAGCTTTCAGGAACCTCAGGCGACAACAAACAGAATCTAGGGCTTACATGGTTGCGTCCGTGTCAGGCCGTTGGGGGGGGAAGCTTGCATGGGCATCAAACAAGCTTGGCAACTGCAAGAAAGCATACTTGCGATTAAAGGTAACAGAAGACGAAGGGATCTGACGAAGGGATCTGTCAAGGGATATCTCAGACTCGCGTACAAGGGTTTATCAGGCAGGGAGATATTCTTGGCATTGCATGAGGATGCTGGAGGTGCTTTCTGCGGAATCATTCTCTTACAAAATCATGTGCGCAGGGGCTTCAAATATACTGTTAAACGAGCTGCTGAGGTGGAGACTTGAAACCAACGACCACATTGCAGCCCCTTTCAGAAGTTGGACATGAACTAATAGCTATTGAACCATTCAGGGCATGTTGACAAGGAGAACTCAGAAGCCTTGCAGTGTAGTATATTTTGTCTGGGTCAGAATTTACAACCCATGCCTGCATTTCTGAGCAAAACGCTTCTTTCTTCACATAGGGCAGACCTTTGAGAACCAAGTGCTCATGCTCTGGATAGAGCTCTCATGCCAGCATTGAATGCTACAAGCAATCAGCAAACCCGAAATTTTAGGGTTTCCTATGACCCCGTTCTTAAAAACTCAACCGCATCTTTATTTCAAGTCGTCTAGTGGCATCTCTGCATACACTGTACGTTTGCAAGCATGTCACATCAACCTCTCCTGTCCGTGTTTGGACCTTCTTTTGACAGTTCAGCTTCAAGCTTTGAAAATGAACCCAGTCTGTCAAACTCACCTCCTCCCCCAACCCCCCCGGGAGGGACCACTCGCCCTTTGCAATCATGTCGCCCCACTTTGGAGAGGGCCCGATGTCACTTAGAAACTCTGAAACACCCTCCCGGTTGTCCAGAGCCCCGGGAGAGGGCAGCGTAGCCTCCCCGAACGACGTCAACAACTCCGTGTCGCTTTGAACATTTCTGACCTCCTCAAGTTTCAGAGCATGGTTGTTGCGGAGAGCAGGACCGGTGTGCAAGGCTTCTAAACTAGAGGCGGTTTTTTTGCCGCTGAGGCTGCGGGTGAAGGGGCGATTCTCCAGGAAGCTGGCCACCATGCTTCCGGAAATGACCATCCCCGACGACATACTGAGCCGCCAAATTCGCTTGCCCCCTCTAGTTGTTTTTGCAGCTCAGCAAGCTATTTCCTTCACTTACCTCCAAACGGCTGCAACAATAAGGCTGCCAATGCAAGAGCACAGAGACTGGGCAGCTGAAAAGCGTCTTCATCCAAGCACGTCAAAAAGCTGCAGCCCTTTCAACAGCCTTGAAACAGAGTTTGCACCACGCAAACTGCGACACTGCCTACTGAACTTCTTTTCACACACGAACCCCTGACGACCAGAAGAATGGCGTCTCTAACCACGTTCGAAGCTCTTGACATTGTGTTCCAACTTCAAGGTTTCCAATTCGCGTCCGTCAAGCAGCCCACTCACCTGCTACAGTCTCGGTGTAATACCTGCCTGTGCACAGGTACCTACTAGGTACGGTAGGTACGCCGTACGGTACCTAGTACGAAACTTGTACCTTGAGATATGTCATGACGTGTATCCACTGGGGGCCCGCCACCAGCCATTATCGCCCCCAATGGCCGATATCGTCCCCCAATAGGAGGGGCTTGGGGGCCCAACGGGCCCCCAATGCACGAGTTGAGGGGGCCCGACGGGCCTCCAAAGAGCATCGTTAAGGGGCCCTGTTGCCTCCATACTTCAGTGTGAGGGGGCCCAATATTACTATGTATTCTACTCATATGTGACTTGCGATGAATATTGCGTGTACAAATGTGTAATTGATTATCCTCGATTCGTCTACTAGGGGGGTTCTGTCGGAAGACTGATGTATTGAACTAGAAATGCCACCGGATCACCGA